CGGCAACGTCTCGTTTGGTGTTGTTCGGTATACGTATAAGAAATTTTGCAACGCGTCGGCTGGCGTCCCCTCCCCTTTTGACTTAGCCAAAGCTGTTTTAAAAATATCCACAAACCTTTCTGCTTGCCCATTCGACTGTGTGTGGTATGGTGGCGACCGAAAGTGCTTTATGGCTAGCCGTTGACAGAATGACTGGAGTTGGCTGGGGGTGAACTGTGAACCGTTGTCAAATACAATGGCATCCGGTATACCATTTCGAGAGAAAATTCCTGTGAGGATATGTGGTGATTTAATCGTCGTTGGCGGTATTATAGGGTTGATTTCTGGCCATTTCGAAAGGGCGTCGACTACAACTAGAAACATGGTTCCGTTAATTGGGCCTGCAAATTCGACGTGTATCCTGGATCAAGGATGATCAGATTGTGGCCATGAAACTGGGGGAACTTTGGTGTTCACCTTTGCCTCTTGCTAACACCGCATACATTTCTCAACCAATTCTGTTACATGTTGATCCATTAGCGGTCAATATGCATGACTCCTGGCTATGGATTTCATTCGTCTAAACCCCGGATGACCAAAGTGGAGCTGTTTTAGCACTTTTGCACGAAGGGATTCTGGCACAACCACTCTTTCTCCGAAAATCAAGTAGTCCTTTACAATACATAGCGAATCCAGCCGCTGATACGGCTGTTTCATGTCACCATCAAACTTCTTAGACGACCAACCGTTGGTGACATAGCTCATAGTCATCTTGACGATGGGGTCGCTCTTAGAAGCATTTTGTATGTCCGATGCAGATACCGGCAAAGTTCGTATTGCAGTCGTCCGCAACACTAGGCAACCATTACTCGTTGTGAATTTGACGCACGTGACCTTACACAGTTCGCAGCACTATTATTTCATCACTAATGATAATGTTTCCCTTCAATTTAGGCCCGATTCAAAACAATATGGTATATCATTCACGTAAGCAGAAGGGGCCTAACAATCATTTCTTGATGTATCTGTAGGGCCAATGAAGCGCCCTTGAGCCCTAGTCAATTTATTCGCGAAGTCAAGCCTCTTTAACGTCGACTTAAAAAACACTGATCATTGAGAAATCCATTGTAGCGGAAAATAAATCCACAAAATAAATAGCTCTGTAAGTTTTCGACATGGGATGCTGACCACAGTAGTTTAAATGGACTCATCTAGCTAAAGGAGCTCAGTCATGCATCCGCAACAGATCACGAGTGGAAACGCTATACTCAACAACCCCTGCAATCGCTAACCAGATTAGATCAGACGATCCTCGGTATACTGATAGCCTATCAAATATATCTTCTGTCTTTTGATTTCACTTGGTGGGTAAGATTCTTGTCAGAAGGTGTTACTGGTTAAAGTATTGTCAAACTGCAAATGTCTGTGGCATCTTCACCACCAAGCATCGTTAAGGTCAAAAATAGCCAATGGTCACTCGAAAATTGGAAGCCTCGAAGAAGCGTATGTGAGAATGGTTCCGGTTTCTCCTTATGTAATTTAATAATATTTTGGACGACTGGTGTGGGCGATGTGAGTCCATGAATAAGGGCTCTCCTGCATGTAGCATTACTACAGCTAATCCCGGTCCAGATGAAGGGGGATCGGAAATATGGTCAGCAACCACATCCCATAGAGAATAGCATCACTGGGAAACACAAACCTAAAATAAGGCTTGGGTCATAAAACCTGTACCCTGAGAGCTAAAGGACTTTCATTTAGAAACATTATGGCGCCTTATGGTGGAAGCGGAGATTCTCCTAAAGTCACGAGCTCGATACCCCTTCTAACTACCAGAGAAACAGCTATTATAAGTAAACGGAACGCTCAGGTACTATGGGAGACCATAAGTACCAGCCAAATAGCTGCAAATATGAGGAAATACAACTTTGACGTGCTCGGGAAAAATGAAATCCAATGAACCTACTCTGAAAGAAAAGAATGGCTTCGACGAAGGTGCTGTTGTACCCTAGTCATAAAGAAGATTTCACAACCACAGACGCAAGAAGCTACACTTATTCTATATGAAGAAGCGCAAAAAGAACGCATAAGATGTGAATCTTGTGGACCCAGAATCATCAAAGTATCCTTCGAAACACTGAAGAGGGAATTATAATGAATGTCATACAGTGCTACGAACCCACCAATAAACGTGAAAAAGACAGAGATTATTTTTATAAAGGGCTGCAGAAGACCCTAGAACAGTACACAGGAAACGACTTGACCATTCTGCCAAAGTCTGGATAGACAACACTGGGTATGAAGACATCATGGGACGACATGGGTTGGGAGAAAGAAAGGAGGATGATGAGGCATTTACAGATTTATGGGTATAGGTTGCATCGTATTCTCCCGTAAAGTTTTACAGAAAGCTATATGAGTTTCATCGTATCACACTATAGAGAACCTGGTTGATCGTATATATATCAATAAAAAAATTTAGATCCATGTAATACGTAGGAACCAGGAGAGAAGCTGATATAGCTAAAGAAGCACTGACAAAACGAAATCTCACTACTGTGGCTACCAGTGTTGTTGAACTTCATGAAAAATTAGGTAGACGGCAAGCTTCGAGATTGACACGCTGTATTCCGTAAGAATTAGCCATGCACTGACCAAAACACAATATTACTTGTCATTGTTCAACAGTAAATTGAATGAAACTCATCGCCATACAGAAAAATCTTAGATTACGAGAAAGCGTTAGAAGGTGTAGATAACAGAGCATTATGGAGACTTCTTCGACACTGTAATGTACCTGAAAAAACCGTAAACATCATGCGGAACTCAATCGACGGACTACTCATCGATGCTGCACATTAGCCGTAGCCCATATATGCATTGTGAGTGAAGACCAGAGTCAGACAAGTCTAGTTACTCTCGCCCTATCTATTTCTTTTGATGGTTGATTAAGTTATGAAGACCTTCACATCTCAGAAAAAGTACGGAACACAGTGGACTGATTGCATGCAAACAGACGACTTGGACTTCGCAGATGATCTGGCCCATCTATCCCATATACACCAACAAACGTAAGTCAAGACAAACAATGCAACAAAAACCTCTAAATCAGTAGGTCACTACATATACTGGGGAAACAGCATGACCGTCTAGTACAAAACGGTGAACACCAACCCTAACCACTTGATGTAGATGCTCTAGAAAAAGTGGGAACTTTCATATACTTGGTCAGAATAATCAATGAAGAAGGACGGTATAATGCAGGTATAAAGGCACGGATTGGAAAAGTAAGGACGGCAGTCCTATATTTTAAATCATATAGAACTGAAAACAACTTTCAACCAATATCAAAGTCAGAATCTTCAACACGAACGTCAAGGCAGTTCTACTGTACGGAGTTGAAACTTGGAGAACTACTACAACCATCGTCAAAAAAATGCAAGTATTAATAGACAATGGTCTATAAATGACACTCAATGCCCATCGACCGGATATAATCAGAGACAACCTTCTGTGGGAGAGAACAAACCAGCTTCCATTTGAAGAGGAAATTTGGAAAAGACGTTGGAGGTGGATAGGACATACATTACACAAATCATCAAACTGCATTACGAGACAAGCTCCAATGTAGAGCCCCGAAGGGAAACGGAAAAGAGGATGGCCAAAGAACACACTGCACCGAGAATCGGAAGCAGATATCAAAAGGATGAATAGCACTTGGACAACCATGTCAGGGGCCTTTGATTTGTGTGGTTGAAATTTGTCCGGTGTTCCTTGTAACAATGTTTATGAGTTTAAATAAACAATGAAATAACTTGTAGCGAAGCGTCGAGTTGAGATTAACTATGAACACCGCTACCAAAAAACACGTGCCAAATAAATCAGAAGGCGAAGGTTGAACGTAACCAAAGAAACCCATGAAATCCCCGAGAAGCCAAATATCAGAAGGCAATTAATGGACCAAGTCGAGGTTTATTAGCTGGCGATCTCGTGGCATCGAAAGGATACCGAGATCGTGCCAGGATACAAGCTTGGTTACAGAACTTAACCGAATTCGCGTGAAGTTACAATCGAAGTGTAAGTATATGAATGGAAGCAGAAAATAGCTGTCATTAGCACAGTCAAACAAAAGCACGTTAAAACAAACACTGGTACAGTTGGTTATAATAATAATTGTTTTTATTAAACCAGTCGTGTTCTCGTGATAAATGTGAGTCACTACAAACTAACATGGATTATTATTATGTGGAATTCGGTTACTGTATCTGCCTTGATGATCTCATAGAACGAAAATAATGTTTTTAAAGATGTGCATTATTAACCATGGGTTAAGGAAACAGAGCGGCGCAACTACCGCATCCGTATATCCGTGTCTTGTAACTGGCTTGTATGTTATGATTATCCTTGGCCATGACAATGATGGACAAATTTGAAGATGGGACAGGTATTCAGTGTTTGACAACGCTTTTACCAGTAACACCTTCTAATATAACTTGTGCCCATCAAGAGAAACCAAAAGACAGAATTGAGGAGATCAGAAGTTGTATTTGACGATTGCCAATATATCGGGATTGTCTGATCTGATCTGGTTAGCGATTGCAGTAGATGTTGACCACGGCGTTCCCACACGTGATCTGGTGCGAATGCATGACCGAGCGCCTTCAGCGAGATGAGTCCACTAAAACTAATGTGGTCAGCACCCAATGTCAAAAATTTATAGAGCTGTTTATTTTGTGGATTTATTTACCTCTACATTCGATGACCTAACTGCCAGGTGATTTGTCTAAGCCCGAGTGACTGTCCGCCGGCTCCACAATGATAAAATATCACGCCGTTTAAATCAATTATTTGCTATAGTCAGTCTGTGACACATCAGTCAGTTAGTTAGTACCACACCAAAATTAAGTTTAAGTATCTACCTCATAATGTTTTCTCGTAAGCTTGGTGGTCAAACCGTTATTGTCCAACTCGAATAGGCCACGATCATTGACGTAAATCATCCACATTTGTAGTCTGAAAATCAGGCTCTTCACAGATTCTCGGGAAAAGTTTTTTTCTAATTGCATTTATTGTCCAACGATTTTTAATACAGTTTTACAGTCGCACTGAAGGACGTTATCTGACCTTGAAACAATTGTTGTAAGCATAAAGATAAAAATAAATTGTCTAGCCTTTGACAAAAAACCTTCTTGACTTCGATTACCACAGAACATTGTTTGTAAGTGGATATACCTCATGTTGTCGAAAATACAAGGTCTTAACGACGGACAGTAATTTCCAAGTATATGTGTTTGTCAAAGAAACTGACTTAAATTAAAGGATTGCTTACATTCGAATTTATAAAACCTTTCCGACACATGGGTTTGTGAAGGTTTAATCTTGTCAGCGCCTTCAATTAGCTTGTTTAGCAAACAGTGTTATTCAACTAGCTACAGTTTGTATATTTTGATATTAATACCATGTCTATATGAATATGTATGCTTGACCATATGTTACAGAATACGCACATATCCCTCATTCCAGCTTAAACGTTAGTCGCTTAAAAACTGTTTGATGAGTCATTCGTTCTCCTGATATACATAGGTGCGTTAATCTTATTAACTGACTCTCTTCTTCATTCGATTTTTTGTTCGACTAATAATTCGCCTCTTTATTTGCTCGCATTAGCATTTCTGCTGGTATTCGCTTGGTGTGTTTGTGGCTTAATGATCTGTGCTATTCAATAATAAACTAGCTGGTGCATCATGCTGCATTCTGAGATTCATACACCGTTGGGATTTGTTTAATAACAGTTATCGAGACGATTGATTTACCAAGCGTAGGAAATTGTCTAGGAGATAATCCACTACAAATCAGCCTGATGTACGTCATTTTTTAAACCGTGTAATCTACAGTTATATCTAACTGACATTTCCTGATTGAGGTTGGAGGCTTCCTATTCACGTTTATTTACGCGGGGGTTATTGTAAATTTGTCAACTAAAATGATAGTAATTAGTAGTTCGTTAGCGATATATATATATATGCTCGGTTCTGTCACATTAATGTTAATAACTGGGTCCACCTTTTTAAATAATAATACTGTAGGCCGTTCAAAACACTCAAATAACACTATAATGTTGTATAAAGACAAGGAGTTCTATGGTTGATATAGTAAGCAAGGCCCAGAGTTTGAAATCGAAGGAAATTTGTTGACTTTTAACTGCAGTATTATAACTAGATCTGAGTTTATACTGGCTTCGAATCTGTTGCTTCAGTGCCTCCAAGTAGTAGGTTATTTCATGGACTGCAATCCTAACCTTTGGTACTTACATTGTTGATTTGGCTACTTTGACACAATAACGTCGTTAACGATGTGATTGCTTATGGGATTGTGTTTTGGGATCACTCTGGATGGATCTGAGGAGTATGTTAATCAATAATGTCCTCTGAACGGTATACAGAATACTGTATGCTTGGGAAATTTAGAGAAATGTAAGCTTCTTGTGTAGATTCAGATACATACTAGAGATAAGTGACACTAAATCTTGACTCCTTTTCGTTTTTAATTAAGTGCGACTAGGTCATCATATCTTTTATGTGGACGTTTGGTATATGCACACATACTTCTTGTCTAGTCGCTATCTTTCGTTTTATGAATCTTGTTATTTTTTTATTCTTTTGACTCCGTTTTAGTTTTTTAAGAGACAGGAAAGCCTAAACCAGTGAATGTTCGTGCAGATCTCTGTTTCGCTCCTCCTTTCAATTTATTTCATACATCTTATATTTTGATGCATTAAGACAATGTTCACGTTTTCATTTCTCACTAAGTTACATGTATATCCAGTTTTGATCAAAATCTTTACTATTTGTTTCTTTTAACATAGATTGAAAACGTCTATTCCAATGTCAGACACTCCTGGTGTTATTCCTAACATGCCTATTGGTTCACATCAGTCATCTACTAGTGCAAAGTCTAATACAACTAAACGAAAAGAGATATATAGATACAATGCTCCTTGGTGTATTTTCAGCATGAACTGGTCTGTCAGACCAGATAAACGCTTTCGTTTAGCTGTGGGTAGTTTCATTGAGGAGTACAATAATAAAGTCCAAGTAATATATCTAGACGATGAACAAGGAGAGTTCGTTGTACAAAGTACGTTCGCACATCACTACCCAACGTCAAAAATCATGTGGATCCCTGACACAAAGTGTATATTCCCTGATTTACTTGCCACAAGTGGTGATTACCTTCGTGTTTGGAGAATAAATGAAGATTCTGAAGTTAAAAATGAATGCTTATTGAATAATAATAAAAATTCGGATTATTGCGCCCCACTTACTTCCTTTGATTGGAATGAAGTAGACCCGAATATCATTGGAACTTCTAGCATCGATACTACATGCACTATCTGGGCCCTTGAAGTAAGAATCATGAAAATACCATTTGAACTGCTTTACCAACCTTCCGTATACACTTATTAAAGGGGGGAAAGTGTCTTGAGTGATAGAGACTTATTAAACGCCAAGTGATTTCATTAAGTAAACATAGTACACCTCTTACAACTGACTATCAGTTTTAGAATTACAGACAAAATCAGTTTTACTTCTTTGTGGAGCAAAATTTCACTCACCTTGATCTTATATATTGATAAGCGATCTCCCCTAAATTAAAAATGTCTCTACCAGGAAATAAGTTACTTTGTAAGCAATGATGTATAGTGGCTAGCAGTGGGATTTAGGACGCGCGTTTCGTCTCATTTGAGACCCATCAGCTGGATCTACCTGCATCTCAGTGTTGATGTTCACTCTGGGGCTCGAATTCAGTACCATTCGCTTCAAACGCCATTGCGTTATTCACTCAGCTACCGAGTGCTGATAGCCACTTGCTTGTTGAATGAGGTGAATTTAAATTCACTTGGTATTGTTTGGTTTATATCTTCCCATTGAGGTTTAAGACTGTAATTGATCAGTCTGTTATTGGCATATATGCATACTGTGCGTATGCCTCGATATTGCCTTAATTCACAAGCTTTATAAGCAATGATGGATAGTGGCTAGCAGTGGAATCCAGGACACGTGTTTCATCCTATATGCCAATAACAGACTGATCAATTACAGTATTAAACCTTAATGGGAAGATACAAGCCAAACAATACCAAGTGAATTTAAATCCACCTCATTCAACAAGCAAGTGGCTATCTGGACTCAGTAGCTGAGTGAATAACGCAATGGCGTTTGAAGCGAATGGTACTGGGTACGAGTCCCAGAGTGAACATCAACTCTGAGGTGCAGGTACATCCAGCTGACGAGTCCCAAATAAGGAGGAAACGCGAGTCCTGGATTCCACTGCTAGCCACTATCCATCCTTGCACATATGCCTATAACAGACTGATTAATTGCAGTCTTAAACCTCAATGTGAAGATAAAAGCCAAACAATACCGACTGAATATAAGTTACTCTAGTTTTTGAAAATATATGGTGCTTAGTGCGTCAGACACTGCACTTGTCCGAACTTCAGTTCATGCACCAGAGTTTAAAACGTTAATATGAATCGAAAATCAAGTACTTAAATCAGTCGCCTTGGTTGTATTTTGTTTAGTTTTGTTTCATTGTGACTGATGAAAAATACATAGAAAATAGAGCGACAGACCACCATTGCTTGTTGCCCTGAAGCTCATCAATCGTCTGATAATTTACCTTCGGTACAGAAAAAATCTCTGCAAACTAGGGGTTTGTTTTTTAAAATCGTTGTTTCATCTTTTGACCTGGTCTGTGAAGTGTTCAAGAGCCTATTTCAGTCGGAGGCAAGAACGTCAAAACAGTTTTCCAGTACTCTAGTTTACATTACTTATACAATGTAAACTAGCGTACTGGACAACTTTAAGGCTAATCTTCTATAGAAGATGTTTTGTTTTATGTATGAAACTTGTTAACAGTTTCTTTATATAATTATCTATCTTAACTGTTACTTCAAAAGACGGAGCAGGTGATCGGTCATACAAATGTCGTAAGTGGACGTGTAGAATCTCAGTTGATAGCCCATGACAAAGAAGTATATGACATAGCTTTCAGTCGTGCTGGAGGCGGAAGAGATGTTTTCGCTAGTGTTGGTAAGCGATTTTATTTCCAACCTGAATATTTTCTCCTGTAATTTAACTTAACAGAGTCCTTGTCATTTTCCCGTGAAGAACTACATGAAGCTTTAAATTCCTACCTTATGTTATTTCAACCAGTTACAGTGATTAAAATGCAATCAGTTTATAATTTTCTCACTTTACAGCTCTATACAGTAGTCAGAACACTATTATGGTACTATTTACCGAATACATAACATAATTAAGCAACATATTTTGAAATTGAAATAAGCAGTCCAGAAGTATTTGAAAGTGAAAGCACTCAATATATATTCATATATTAAGTATTTGGGTCATGTTATTTTATATTTTCCGAATTTAATGATTCGGCTTTACTAATTATCAGTTTTGTACCATTAATGTCCTATCTATGTACAGATTGTGATTTATTATTTATGGTACGTCATATATAACCACAGAATTTTTGGAGAGTGAATAATGCGATGTACTCACCCGGTTTACGAAGTATTTCGAACTGTAAACGAAGGAACAGGTGATAATTTTGTGGACTACCGGTTGTTAGCTTATATAAGCATGATGTTAGCTGATTATTTGTTAACTGTGATAATCAGTAAAATTCTAGTAGTATTGTATGAATAAAAGTACTAAATTAAATAATTATATGTTAGGAATAACAGACAAGCAACGGCCATAAAAGTCCTAGGGTGAAGTAGCTGTTATAACAGGCTGAAGTGAATACCTCTAGATCTACGTATGATTAATTATGAATAATGTGACGGAACTACTGATGGGATGTTCCGAATGAACAGATACCAGAGAAAAAAACAACTCGTCATTAAAATGTGAGCCATTCTGTGTAACAATGACGTACTCACCTGCAAATATGAGATGAAATTGATTATACATCATTTTTCAGAAACACATGACTAGTGCGTAAGTATCGCAAGCCATCCATCCGCCCGATCATCAAGCTCACTTATTCCACACCATAAAGGTTTTAGTTACTTTTCTTCTTTACCAAATTAAAGAGCGTAGGAATACGCATTTATATATATTTCTATTTAGTGTCTTAAATTGTTAGCACTACTGTGTTTATTTCTTTGTTTTGGAATTGCGCAAATGTGAGATGTGACAACATAGAACCATGCATGCTTAAAACGGGTCAAAATCGTATTTGTCAACTTGTTTTACAATCTTTTAAAGTAATGTTATGTATTACTTTGCTTTGTTAAGTTCAATAATAGTATTATAAGAGACAACTCAGATACATTCCATGTGGTTTTCGCTTTAGATCATCGGTAATTTCGGTTTCTCCATTAAATTGTTATATATTTCGTAGTCCAAATAAAACTGTCCATAATTCCATGCCATTCTGTCTCAGGTAAAGTAATTGGATTTTGAATGATCATATGTTTTAGGTGCAGATGGTTCTGTACGTATGTTTGATCTTCGGCATTTGGAGCATTCTAATATCGTGTATGAAGATTCAAATCATTCCCCACTTTTACGCTTAGCTTGGAATAAGCAAGATGCAAACTATCTAGCGACATTTGCAATGGACTCCGTAGAAGTAAGTTGTTTTAGTTATTCACTTTTTCATCATATATTCGATTGATATTTTCATAATTGGGTAAAACTCTAGTTTTTATAGGAACACCTGATACTATGATAGTTACTAATGATGTTGGATTTTGTTAATAAGTCGAATTGTTTCGTAGACTTAAATAACTTTTTTATTATGAAAGCATCAATGTAAGATCCTGAGGATTATATAATCGAAGACCCGATTGTAATATGTATTACAAGGTATATTTTGATGATAACACGTGTCAGATGGCTTTTATACGAACATTATTCGTTTTATCAACCAACTAACTAGAAAACGCATTCTGTACTAGATCTAAAAACGACGGCGTCTGCCATTGACCAAAGACATTTCCGTGAAATCGCTCAATAAGAAGTTTTCACGTTTATTATCATTTGCACTACTTTACACTAATCTAGTCGTTATTGTTCTTTTTTTTCTTTTACTCTCCTTATCTTCATTTTTTCTCTTCCCATCCTCATTGTTTTGTGTGGCGCATATATATTTGGTGCTGTCTTGTACCAATATTTACGTGTTCAAAGAAAATAAAATAATTTCACGTTTATTACTGTTCAAAGGAAGATTACTAGGACGTTATTTATGCACATCTTATCACCGATTCGAACAAGGCGGCTATTTTGTGGACAGAAATTTAGAAAATAAATGTGTATAACGAAGGTAGATGCTAGATTACCTTGATACTCAAAAGCTGGGACCTTTTGTTTTTCATATAGCTTGAATGCCTTATTACTATTTATTTGTTCGCTCTCATTTTCGTTCACACCTTCCTCATTAAGTTGAATAGATTACTGAAGTTGAGATGTTACTCAAAGGGAAAGGGGTGACTATTTGATGCAACACACTTCTATAGGAGAAAGAATTATCCGCTGTCCCGTTTGTCAATTTATCTCAGGAATCTTCTTGTTAAACCTGCAGTAACCCTATAACTCTTATGTAAATATATTTTCATTTTTGGACAGCTCTTAATCATTCAGATAGGATGTGACTAATGAGCCATCCTGGTAATCTTATATTTGTTATAAATAGCATTGACCTTCAATACATGTACGTCCTTTTTCCGTGCTTAAGTTGCCCGAACCTTGCCTCACGTACTTCGGTTGTGAAAACCAGGGAAATTTATACTTTAAGTCAGAAAACATTAATGTACGGGTGGTTGGCCATTCTAACACACCTCAAATGGCTATGAAATTTTAGAGACCTACTCTAAAGTATATGTCGACAGATGTTGATACATAATATAACGAGATAGAGTAAAAAGTTAATTTACGGTAATTGATTCAGGAACGATGGTTCGCTCAAACCTAATTCTTTACAATTGCATTCATGTTTTTTCCGCCTGTTTGCACAACTCTATACCATTACTTGTAGATAACGCTAAGATTATTGTCCCATTCTCTCATGTGAAGTGAAATAATAATAATAATTCCGTCCAATATATGTTTTGATCTCTTTCAATTTATTTCAACGCTCACTTTGTACAAAAATGCAATCACATAATAGAAATGGGCTTACAGTTAGTTTTAAAGTTGTATAATATACAAATTTCAATTTAACCCACTCTTATATAAGTGCAGATTCATATACTAAGCGTTAAGTTACAATCTTTCCCAAATGTAGGGATACTACCCTTGATAAAGCTTTCGAATATATACCATAGATACTAAAGGCAGAATTCAGTTTATTTATATCTTTGGATAGATGAAACGTGTTATCGACATATGAAAAAGCATACTTGTTTTGTAATCAATTGGTCACTTTCTTTAATTCGCTCTAATTTAGTAGCTATTTCGATTTAACAATTACTGAAAAGATCTCAGCCTCTTTGTTTTACACAATATGCTTACCTATCTTTCAGTATACTGATGTTCTTTTTGGATTTATATTGTTTTAAAACTGCAGATAATTATTTTGGATTTACGTGTACCATGCACTCCAGTAGCTCGTTTAAACAATCACAGAGCATTTGTAAATGGATTAGCATGGGCACCACATTCAAGTTGTCATTTATGTACAGCATCTGAAGATTGTCAAGCTCTTATCTGGGATATTCAGTCTATGCCAAGAGCAATAGAAGATCCTATTCTAGCATATACAGCTGCCGGTGAAATTAATCAAATTCAATGGTCATCAACACAACCAGATTGGATAGCCATTTGTTATAATAATTCGTTAGAAATTTTACGAGTATAATATTTACTGTTTATTTCTTATTTTATCAACTGTTTTAAAGGTGTACTATAATTGAGATCAAATATTATTTCTTCCTTTATGCTTACTAAGTATTGTACGTTATTTTCATGCGTTTAGTTATTATTCTTTTCCAAATATTCTGGATAATTTAACTGTGTACTATTATCGAGATACATGTATTGGTTGAAGTCAAAGTTTCGACTACATATGAATCAATTTCAAATGTTGTTTTGTACATTCACTTGAAAACATTTGTGTTTGTTTAATCAATTTATAAAATTCCTTAAGAATTACCATTATAAAACAGGAAGTTCTTCAATAATAGTTGTATTCAGCAAGATCTGTGAGACAGAAACAAATCGACATTTACTCGATTTTGGGAAAATGACAGACAAAATATAGTCGATGTAAGTTATCTTTATTGGGTAAGAAGATTCGACTCAAATTATGCTGTCTCTAGTAAATAGATGCTACCCTGTTATCTGCAATGTGCAAGGATATTTGTCCACAAAATACAGTTACGGCTGACTGTTGGGTTATATGCTAGTATTTCTATAAACGCCGCAGCACTACACAAGTAACACAAACTTCAGTAAGTAGTAATGGAACACCAAAGGTGGTTAAACTGAGGTGAACGAATAACTCAACTATTTACTACAGTCAGTAGTTTAAATTAGATCCACATTTTGTATTCGTACTTTGTTTTATTCAAAACATAGATTGAAGCGAGATTACTGTCGCAGTGATGAAATTAATATTATCCCTATGGTGTAAACGCGTTTGACTTCAGTGCATTATATGAGACGGTGGAGATTTGTAGCTCAGGTGGATGGTTTTGGTGGAAGTTTGTGCTGATGATATCGTTCAGAAGAACGATGAAAGCTCCACGACCAAACCATCCAGCTCAGAGAACAAAACTCCACCAAAATTATGTGAGACGTTTGAAAGATAGCATATTAGTTTTTCTAATCATTTAGCAATGTTGTGTAAGAGGAGCTTTTCAACGGACCAAAAGACGGAGATATTTTTCCACAATTACATAATGTTTGTAAACGCTCATCTGCAAAAACTGTTCAATATACGACAGTCATACAATTCGCACTCAAACTACTTGCGATCATACCAAACGTTTCCAGTTTCAAGAAATTCCAGCTCTACTATTTCAATTTCTAAATATGTTATGTATTCAGTACATAGTACCATAATAGTCTTCTGACTACTGTATAGAGCTGTAAAGTGTAGCAAGCCCATTCACATCAACTTTAATGTATTCTCCTATTGTTTGTAACGTACAGGTAGTCAATAATTTATCCACACTAGATTGACACCCAAAAATGTATATGGATATTTAACTCACACACACACTCGTGGTTTCACAGTGTTTGCTCGCTGTAAGCTTGTGGATTTTATTTATCTTTAACAAAAAAATATCTCTACAACTGGTGTTCAGGCTTCTGAGTAATCTCGAGTAAATCCATAATCCTACTAAGAGATTTAGCTTACCTTAAATACTAAGTTAACGGGACATCATTTATTGGAGTTAGATATAGAGGAAACTAGCCCTCAACAAAAGTGAGAAAATCATAAGCTGATTGCACTTTAATCACTGTAACTGGTTGAAATAACATAAGGTAGGAATTTAAAGCTTCATGTAGTTTTTCATGGGGAAATGACAAGGACTCTGTTAAGTTAAATTACAGGAGAAAATATTCAGGTTGGAAATAAAATCGCTTACCAACACTAGTGAAAACATCTCTTCCGCCTTTGGAACGACTGGAAGCCTTATCATGTGCTTATACTTTGAAGTCATAACTTTGATCTCAAAATGTCTAATTGTAGACCGGAAAATAAATTTATTTGTTATTCTTCAAAACACATTACTCATGTTCCATATGACTACGATGACCACAAATTTAAGGAGAACAATTCAGCATCAAGTAGTTAAAGTTATGCAGAAAAGGGGGATATCATAAGAGATCCAAAAAGTGAAATAATTGGCCGTAGTATGATGAAAGTAGATCCAGTCTGTATCTATTTTTATCCTTTAAAATCCACCCAGGACAACTGCAAGTCCGTAAGCGAAATATTTTCGGCTTGGATTTGCATTACTGTCTACTAATTCAGCAGTCAGGTAATTGTTTTTAAAGCGACTAGTTCATTATATATTGTCACTGATTATATACGACTAAGAGTTTCCTAACTTCACACTTAAATGCGCTGGTGTTCATGTAGTTCTTGATGATGTGAAACTCGAATAAAACACACTTCAGTATTTATGGTATGCTTGTTAGGATTCGGAAGTTCCAAAGTATTCTTGGAAATGCTTGATTATAAACATAAAAACGCGCTGTGCCATAATGTAAAATCAAAATCTACATTAATTTGAAATATATAACAGTTTGAACCGAGGAAATAAATCTTAAGTTGTTGATATTCAGTTTGCATGGTGCCAGTTTCGGTAGCAAGTCAGTATTAGTCAAAGAAGTACGGAGTATTTGAAGCCGCTTCATCGCATTCTCAGATTCCTGGTATCCAACGTCTTTCCGAGTAATTGGTTCGGTAAAGTCTCTTTGTTGAATACTAATGAGTTGTCTCAGGAGAAAATCTAACCGCTCACCATATTATCTGGCGTACGAATGGGTTAGAAGAAAATTTAGGGCGGCCAAATCAAGTCGTGATATCAATCCATGGTGTCACTGACAATTTGACTAAGGTTCGTTAGTAGACCCAGATCTTTTTGAATGGATTCTAGTTAATAACTGTCATCGGTAATTGGAGACGTTCAGTTCAGAATTAGTCACAGTGACGCAGATGCATTTAGACTTTATCTTCCGCTACGTTTTGAGTTTTATTATTATTTCGTACGCTTTATTCCTCAAACTCATTCTTATCCTTCGAATAGCAACCTCCAATATTTAGTGTTTCTTAGTATAATCGGTACTGATATATATTTTTTAATTATCATTCCTCTTCCCGTGTTGATGTGCTATGGCTTCTTGGGCTGATGCACATTTCTGTCAGATTTGTATGGTGATGAAAACTGATTTAAATAAGTGGTATGTCAATTTTAAATCAAGAACTATTGAAACTCACCTTCAGTTAAATTAATTTTGTTAAAGATTTCAATGAAACTAATTTTATAAATAATACTCAAAACATTGAGAAATAAAGAGAAATAGTTTGATGATTAACTATGAAAGTTTATTTTAGGAAGTTTTATACAATGAATAAATAAAAAACCGAGATTTCACATTTTATCCAATGTTCCGGTTATAGTATATACACATTCTAACTATTTTTCACAGGTAATTATGATTTTAAAAAAGTGAATAATTATCCTTGTAATTTTATTATTAAGGACTTAACTCTTGGAAAAACTGATAAAAATTCATTTCTGACTTGATATGATTCCCAAAAATTTGTCAAATGGCGTAAACAGGAATTAGATTTCATAAATACACGAATCTATAAGATAAAGGTATTATATATATATATATATATATATATATATATATTGTAAAATTTCTATATGACAATTAAGATCAATGTATACAAGAAAATACCTCCGAAAAGTATCGTATTACCGTTACAACTGAAAGTTGTAATACTGGAAAGCACTCCAGTTTCTATGATTCATATAAGAACATCGAAACCGATTGAAGATGAATATCTATTTCATTCACCAAAACACGTTAACAGTTGCTGTAACAGTGGATAATTGGGACTGATTATTTGAACCTGTGAATCGCATGACCGAAATAAGAACATAGAGATTTTAGACGAGGATTTATTTGAAATACATTTTGTAGAGTGAAACAGATCTTCGTCTGCAATCAGTTTTCGTATTCTACTGTTGGTGGTGGAGATCGCAGTGATTTCCGGTACCAAACACTACAAGTTATTCCCAGTTGCAATGACTATCTGTAGCTATCATTTTCATTTCCTTCTTTTTAGTCTTGTGGGTTTATTTTCATATCGCCGATGTGAAAGTGTAGTACGGTGAATCAATAAACAAACATTTGTCTTAGTTTATGATGTGTTTAACTTTCAAGTCCAGCTGATGTCCATTTGGCACCTTTATGAGCTGTCTGTTTTTGGTAAGTTAGTCAATACTACTAGTTGTTTGAAGTTAGTTTTGATCAGCGGTGAAATGGTTTATACTCTAGTAAAAACACGTCAGAAAAAACTTACCTTATTCGAATTACGTAGCAGGAGGTGGCTGGGTTCAGGCTTGTAACCTGATGGTTGGGAGGTGAACACCTTAATTGCTGAGTCACCACTATACAAGTACACTAGTAAAAGTTCGTTAATGCAATATAAGTATCAATAATAGTTTGACAAACTTCATAACAAGTCTAGTAAATTTACTAAAGATGCTTTGGGTGTATCACATTCCAATATTTAGAAAAGTAAATAATGAAACGTTCAATATTTTTCTAAAACGAATGAATTCTTAATTTGTATAGGTAATAATGTAAATAATTGGCAACTACTGTATGGAAATTAGAGTTCGGATTTTTAGTAGGTAATATACACACACCAGACAGAAAGCGATGAAAAAACTATTAGCATTTCGAGAATGGATCGATGAGAGAGGAGAGTTACGACCGCCTGAGTTTCTGAAACTTGTACACAGTTTGAACTTAATTGTCAATGTAGCGTATTAAAGTGAGAACTAAAACAATTAAATGGAACTCACTTTTTTACTGTTATGAATCGCAGCTTCAATAGCACTAAGTACAACTCTAATAGAATATAATGAATTCGTGTCCAAATGAGAATCCAATAATATATCACGAAAACAATTGATAACGTTCAAGTCTGAATAAAAATGTATAAACACGTAGCATTCGCGGTTATTTTAGAAAATATATGGTGACTGTGAATACATAAAATAAATAAATACTCCGATATCACGCTGGTCCAATAAATATTAGCATTCGACTTCAAAGTCATCTGTACTTTATTTATCGAATTATATAGATTGATAACTGATATTCATTTTAAGACAACCATTTAGAGAATCCGAAACGAATCAAAATAAGACTTATCTCATAAAAGAAATCACAGGAAATGGGCGTAAATCACTTTAAATAACTGGTAGATATATGTTAGATATGTTAGATATGCATATAACATGGAAGAAGTGATATGGAGTAGTGGAGAAAACTATCAACGACAGATACACAAGGAACTATTCGAAGCAATTCACTTAAGATACCGTTAAGATCTGATATTTAGTAAATGAAAATCATTTCAAGAAAGTGAGAAGTAAAGATATTACACATAACCAAAGGGTTCGAATTTAACTACAGTATCTCCAAATAGTTCGAGATAATCTCTACTTAAATATTCGTTCTCTCGACCATAACTGCTAGCTTTGATGGATTGATCGGGGGTTGGCTATCTTAATAACTCGATCGAGCTATATTGGCTATATTAATTTTTCCTTTAGGTACTACCACGCAAGAGAGGTTTGATGCAAAATGATAAAACTATAAGCAGGAACTTTAAGTCCGAGAGTAACGTCGTGCAACTGATTAAAATTGGGTTCGACAACAAATGTTTCAGATAACGACCGTTTACAGCAATAATGTCTCCTCACAATGAAAGGAAGGAGTTATAAAAGGTTGACCCTAAAAATGTGAAACAATTTAACCCCACAGACTTTCTTTATAGTGTAGAACAAACACATCCAAAACTTCTCGCTAAAATTGTGTGTGGTCGTCTTAAAGCAGTTACTTCATGGCTTCTGCACTCACGCTCCCAGCTCACTACGAACATTACTAATACAGACCTCTTTCCAAGTTCCTCAGAAAAAACCATTCACAATGTAGGCAAATGAAAAGTAATTACAGCCGTCTTGACCAACGCTCAAAATCACCCACTATTGTTGTTCTGAATAATATCATCAGTGCCTGTATGAAACAAAGCTCTGTATTGTGGATGAGATAGTTTTCTTAGAAGTACAACATGTAAAAACACAGGATATATATATATATATATATATATATATATATATATATATATATATCAAACGAAGACTAACTTGCAGTTAACAATTTCGATTTCAAAATACTGTGTGTGCATAAATTCCGCAAGATTACTAAAGCTGTCTCACGATTATCAGGTTTACAATGATTTATACAATTGATCAAAATTGTGGGTAAATCTGAAAGAAATGTAAATGTTTTATACAAAAAAATAAGTGCGAGACATTACTGTTATCATTCATACAAAACTTACCGATTTAAATGAAATTATTAAGCACTATTGTACTTCGTAGTGTGAGTTATTTGTTAAGCCCATATACTTTATTCTAACTTTTAGACAGCCCAATCTATTCATTCATATTTTGACCTTGTTAATTATTCGCTTATCAGTCTTGACTGTTTTTATATGAGCATATATGTGTGTACAATTCATAACCCATGTCTCATTACATGTTGTAGTTTATTTTGTCTGCCTATAAATATTGAATAACGCCTGGCTAAAAATGAGTTGGCTTACCAGTCATCTCCCTTGCTCGTCATTTTGCTTTGTTCTATTACATTCACTTTACATACAAAATATATGTATTCAAGGTCCATTCTTGTCAATTGAATTATCTAAATTCCGTTATTGACTAACGCGATTCAAGTCGATTGTATACGAGGATAGGTGATAACAAACATCATTACGATCTAATTGGAGTCAGATCCACGGGCCACTAAAACTCCATAATGTTGATTTTACCAATCAAATCAAATCAATCATTTTACAATCGTGATGGAAGTGTTTTACACTAAGTCACGAGACGTCAGAAATTCAAATTTCTACTCATTAAGATGTGTTATTACTAACTTTCTATCTAATGCTCGATTTATTTAAAATTATTAAGTCCAACTTTACTTGGTATTGGTACGTACAATCATTCCACGTTTGACAGATAAATTAATTAATGGTACCAGTTTGACAAATGAAATCTTATCATAGCTTATGTAATCCGATAATCAGATCATTTATATTTTGGGTTTTAATTATAACCACGTCAAGAGGCAATATGAATAAATCAAAATTATTGTAAAACACATGCTTCTGGATGATCGGTGAAACATTGAAGAAAAATAATAATTAAGCATTTACAAATTAGTCGTTATTTTTTTATCATAACAAATAGTAACAGGAAATGTAAGCTGCTAATTATTGTCCAACAATAACTGCAAAAACTCATCTAATTGTAATAAATAAGTATTGGTTTAGTTTATTTATGATTTTTAATCAGGTCTGTAATATCATATGTAAAAGTGATAAGTACATTATTATCTTTTGAATGTATACAATAACAAAAAAGTTAACTACACTGTTTGAGGAACATGAAACATGTTATGTCCCACAGAATAATGGGAAATGATATTGGAACATCGGAAACATCGGATTTACAGTAAAAAGATAGTTTAACATTTCACTTCTAAAATGCCACGTCATATATTAGAAAGATAATAACAAATTCGCTTACTCGGTTGATTAAATAGTATATGTTGTCCATCTTTAGTGAATGATATATTAAGGATCAATTGTAGCCAAAGGGTGAGTATAAAATGTCCACGACGACTTTTGATCAGTGTACGTGGGTTCAATTCTGATATGTGATTAAGGATTTTAGACTAAAAATAAAGAATAAATGCATCATGAATAGTAAAATCAAAATAGTGACAAGTTAATTGGTTGATAGTCCAAAGAGATCATGGTTCAATGTAGGTTCAAGGTACCTTTTATGATTGTAGGTACTGAGTGGTAGGTCCGAAACGAAACACCTGCTCAACTACTTTCCGGCTGAAACCATTTCAGAATAGTAATAATTGTTTAATATTGACTGAATTATGAGCGATAATGTTTTCTCTTCATTCAACATATCTTAATAATACTAAGAAGGAATAAAGTTCAAACATTTATAAATGTCGAACTTAAATTTCTGTCTGGTGTTAACAAAATGATAATCAATATACCTTAGCTTACTTGACCTACCTTTTATCATAGCGTATTAAAATGAAGCCTTTTTGATGTGGTATTTTTGTAGTTTCTAAAGATAAACTACAGAATCTTCCATCATTTGGCAAATTGTTTACAACAAGTCTGTGGAAGAGACTTACGTACCTGTATCAGTTAATAATTGTTTTGTTTAAAATCTAGACGTTTTTGAACTTATTCAAACAGGACTATTTTTTCACGAAGATGCATTTGTAATTATTCAATTACATTTAAACCTAAAATAATACACATCTTATCGAAAACAACTAGTGAGGTTCAATCATATTGATTGTGATAGTTTCATCTTCTTTCGGTGTAAAAAATCAAAATTTATAAACGAAGCAATAATTTTATTTTTATTTGTTATACACCAATTTCAATAGTGTGTTGTACGAAAGCAACAAATAATGGCGACGTCGTGCAGAATGTTGATGAGACATTTACGACTAAGTATCAAGATCCAAAAAAGTCAAACAAAATTGTCAAGACATTGAGCAAATATTCTTCTACTATATCGAAACCATGAATTACAAGTCTTAAAGCAACTACAATTCTTTTAGACTACTGAATCGAAATCCAATTTCACAGATTTTCCATTTTCACTTTAAATTCAATATATTGGTATTATCATCTGGTGTCAGCGGTGTGGATAACTTTATAGTGAACGAGAACTCAACTGGGGAAAACCAGTTTATTCCTTAATGCAAAATTACAGAAATGTGAAAACCATACATTAAATGCATGATTTTCACACCTTATTTCAGTTATCCTGTACGTGTTTTATGATTCTTTCAATTCTGTTTTTAGTACGATTGCTCGGTATTTCTCTTCCTATTCTCTTCAATTTAATTTTTTGCTAGCAGGCATTCCACTTCCGATTGACGCTACATACTAGCTAAGTCTGTCAGCATAAGTAGCATGCACCGAAATTAAAGCATCACCAAATATTAGTTTTGAATCTATCAAAGAGTCTAATTATATGGCTGAGATACACGCGAAATCGAAGTTCGTAAAACAGCGATTTATCTAAAAAGCGTTTCTTTATTGAGTAATATACATAAATTAGTTACAAATCTCATTTTGTGGAGTGCCTGTGGCGCTTAGCATGTCTTTAAATATGAAAGAAAACGGGATTCCTGCAATAGTAACATAAAGAATAATAATGACATACGATAGTGCGAGTGACAGCTGACAGCTGTGTCTAATGTAGATAACAGTTTTTCAACAAGCAAGAACGGAACCAAGATCAAACAAATATTGAAATCAGTTTAGGTGTTGTGGAGATTGTTACGTTTTTAACTGAGATCATGAACCTATTGATGTTAGACCAGCATTCGTCCAATAGGACGAAACGGCGGTCCAGTGCTTCCCAGGTTTTCAATGGTGGTCTAACATCAATCGGTTCATGATCTCAGTCAAAAAATATGGAAATTATTGCGTTTAAACAAAGATAAAGTAACTACATACAGCCGTGAATAACCGCTACAGGGATTGAAAGAACGTCATTCTAATGACAAACACAATAAATGTTATTAATATATGTATATATTTTAGAAAATCACACGAAAAAACGCGTAGAAATTGCTAATATTACAACTATTTACTGAACATTACTAAGTAGTACAAAACAATAAACAAAAAGAGTCGACGGGAAAGGAGTAAGGACAGAAAACGTAAACAAACTTAACAGTCAGTAAAACAAAAAATGTCATAAATTAAGCAAACACATTCAAAGAGCAGTAGCTTTCAGGCTCCTGATAAGTAGCGTTCTACAGCGATTTGTTTTTAACCTAATAAATATTATGATTTAAAGTAGATCGATTGGTATTTTAACTGATAATTTTAAGGTCTTAAATATTTATAAATATGTAACAAAAAGATTCATCGTTGTTTTAAAGCTATGCCCTATATATTATAAAGCAAGTTACCTATATGCTATAATATCCTTGTGTAATATGAATAACTAATAAGAATGTAAACATGAAAAATTCAGTATGAAATATAAGTAAAAACTTACTTTTAATAAAAAGGATCTTGTCTCTGTTGCCCATACCATATTAGCTAATAATTGAAAGATTAACTTATATATATCTTCTTGATGTGTACTTGTACTTTGTTTATTACCCATAATATTGGTACAACAATTAAATTGATATGTTTTGCTAATGTTTCCTGATGTGCTTGTATTACATTTTTTATTTGATTCGGTTAATATGAATTGATTGTAAGTTGGAATTAAATTACATAATGATTGAATAAAAGAACTATTTATTGTCAAGGAATTCGATGCATTGAATAGTATAATGGAAGCTTCTTTTTTGTGCACAGATGTTATGAAAAGTAAAAAAAAGGGTCAAAGAAAACATCATTAAGTATATCATAAAATTAGCATTAAAGATATAACATTTTGGCAAATTTTATTCAAATTGAGGATTGATAACTGTACTAAACCTAATTTCGATTAATGATATATCAAAATGATGAATAGTTTTGGAACGTAAAAAGAATAGTTTAACTGCCTGATTTGATGAATGATTTGAATGGTTGAGATATTGAATTTTTTAGCCAAGTTCTACATTTCTAAAACCTTTGATAATTAAATCACAAATAAAAACGAAATGAGAAAATATGAAAGATCACTTATTCCCAAAAGAGTTTCATTTTCTCTAATCATTGAGTATTTCATCAGGTTTACAGTGAACTTGTAATTCCATAATCATACAGGGAAGATATTGGAATTTATAATGAATTCAAGACTAGATGAGTTAAATTAAAGAAAATTATGATGAGTTTATAGAATTATCTAAGAAATCATTTAAAACACTAATTGGCTAGAAATACTCTTGGCCACTTTCAGGCTTTTGCAGAAGCTTTTAAAATCAATATGAAAACTGTTTCATAAGACTTTAAATAATTCATCTAGAAATGAAGATTAAATATGTATCATTTTATTCAAAGTAAATGAAAGTGACATCCTTGTAGTTTTGAAGGGCGGCCTGCTTGAGCATCTGGGCTACCTGTTCTTGCCATCTAGATATTTCAACAAGTTATCTATTTTGTTTGTTTTAATATATCATTATGTTTATTAGTCGCATGACCTATTCTGTTGCGTTTCTGAACAGTGTACAACCTTTCGCTGTCAAAGTTACAAAAAAACTCAATAAGAGACAATGTAGTTGCTGGTAATATACAGCGAAAAGAATGCACATTATTCAGATGTTCATTTACTGAACTGCTAACATCTAACTGGCGATCACTCAATATTTATCGCCAGGACCGACCAAGAAAAAAGAAACGGAAACTTGTTGAAATACTTTACGCTGAGAATTCTATATTGTACCAAAAATATAATATTGAATAAAGCTAATAATAATAATAATAATAATAATAAGAAGAAGAAGAAGAAGAATTTGATGTTTTCATCTGTCATATTCACTAGAATAATACATCCGAGTTCGATTCAAGTCATAGACTATCTTGATTTTCCCAGAATATTTATATATGAATATATATTTTAATAATGAATAGTTTAACAATGAATAATAACTAGCTGATGTTAGAAATAACTCATATTAAAAAAGTTAAACTCAGTAACAAATGTCAATTCTCATCACAAACAATCCATCGGTTATTTAACGATTGAACAATAAGGGACAAGGAAAGAGGTTATGCGATAACATAATAGTTACTTACGTATATTACAGCTGTAATACACAAATCTCACGGTATTTATACTAGACATACATTAAATGCATGTACGATAATAAATTGTACTCTCAGTTCATTCAAAATCGAACAAGTCTATTCTCTTCGTCATTCCTTTCCAAACAATTCATTGAAGAAAAAACACTTATGATCAATGTCAATGGGCAGAAAATATTAAGCTATTTATACTGTACAACTTCATTATTTGAAGCCAAAGCCGTTTGACTACATTTTATTCACTTCAAGCAACTTATAAGTATGCTTCGAATAAAATTGGAATGCGATATAGTTTTAGAAAAAAGGGACATTTTTTTTTCATGTGATTTCAAATCAGTAATCAGCATTAGTCAATATAGCTGAGAGAGATGTTAGGTAAACTGAGTAAAAAGTTATTCACTTTAGTCTCCCTCCGCAAAAAAGATAAAATAACGGTGATAGAAAGTAAAAAAATTCAGTGGTAAATAAAGATACTCACTGAAGATTGTATTAATGTTATCAAATTTGATGAGAAATCTAGAATAAGTTGTTTTAACATTGAATACCTCAACAATACATTACTATTTCTTGATAAACTATTGTTTTCATATTCGCACATCACCATATGGTCTATGAGAAGCTTTAGGTTACAATCCTATGACCCTTCTTTGTAAACAACCGAAATTAGATTAGTGTACAAACTACATTTGAACACAAGATCAAAGTGCTTAAAAGATGAATCCATAAAAATGTATCAAAATTTATTTAGAAATAATGAAATGAAATGTCATATATTCAACTCATTAAATGATCAAATACACTGCTATACCGTCTGTTTTAGATATGTCCCCTTGAATGTTACTTGAGCCTGCAGTCTGATTCGATTGAGAAATTATGTATGGATTAACTTTAATTGTACTTGGAGGATTAACCAAAACTGAAGAAGCTCGTGGACAGTCAGCTGTTAAATTAGTAAGTAGACCAAGTATTGTACGTAGGATTCGTAAATCTTGCAAAGCCAAAGGCCAAATACATATAATCACCTGTAAATATTTAAATAAATGTTACTGGTTAAGATCCGTTTTAACTGACTAATTATATTCATCGCATGTATTCATGAGCCTTTATAAAAAACGACGTCAAAAGTAATGCAAAGTTAATTACCGAAACATCTAGATAACTGAATGTGAGGTTGATGAAACACAAATAATGCCTGTACCATGTTTCTATCAAAAATATGATATAAGACAAACTTGAAGAGATCAAAATACTTCAACAAGATTTTGGTCAGCGCAGAAAAATCGTTGACAGCAGAAGTGCTGTATATATGGCATAATCAGAACGCATTGAATAGAAAAGATGTAACTCAATAAGCCACACCTTGGCAACTACCTATTAACAAGTAATTTGCACCTTATTTTGATTCACAGGTGGCTTTATTTTAACAAAAAAAATAATTTTAATGTTTTAACATCATAACTATGCATTTGATGTGTCTCGTTTTGAATACACCTTGACGTTCTAAAAAACGTTTTGGTTGTACTAACATTTTTAATAAACAAAATGATCAATGTGTTTGCTGGTAAACAGAAATTGAATTAATTTACTAAATTGTAATTATTAATAATATAAAGATATACACATCCATTTTTTTTCGTATTGTAAACTTGTTACATCATCCACATGTTAGTGACTTACGTTTCCCCACACAACAAAATCAACCTTCGAATATCATTGAATAAACTTCTAATGCAAATTTGTTTATTAAACATTCATTGATATTTTTTATTTCTATCATTAATAACCTGAAGAATTTCAGACAAGATTGCTGAATGAAACGTTAGAATTACTTTAATTTCAATCACTGAGATGATTTTAAATATAATTCTTATACATCATGTTGAATACTTTGTTATACATATTTTTTGAGCATTAATAAGCTAAATGTATATATGATAAGAATTCGTGCATGGAATTCTTAACTCCAACGAATGGGAGTGAATAAAGGTATTCTTATTATTGCATGGTTTATCACTTAGGTGTGACAGTCAGTTATTTACTGATATATGATTCATTTTACTTAAATAATCGCTTTACTATTACGTGTACTTGCAACTTAATTGTATGAGTGGATTAACGTAAATAAGTGGTAGATACGTTACAACTATGAGTTTCGAATTATTTCGGTTATTAAGGCATAAACGAAATCAATAAATCATAGACTGGCTTTAATGTAGTGAAAATATGAATTTGCGAAGAAATTTATGATTCATTTATAATATAAACTCTAAAAACTTGAGATCATTTTAATTCGAATGAAAATTTCGTAAAGGAGTACAAACATTGATCTTACTTGAATAATTCCTGATTCTATAGCACGCATTCTAGCCTCCGGACACATGTAAACAAGATTATGTAATATTTCTAAATTTGCGATCATTTCATCCGAAAGTTTTAGCCATGTAGATACTGTTTGATGTCGACGCTCAGCTTTTTGATCTACAGATACTCTACTTGATAAAGATTGTTTCGAATCACAAGAAGCTGATCTGTCAGATTCTGAATTTACATGAATATTAGTACAACATAGTTCCATTTTTGCTCGAAGAAGTTGCAATTTAGCAATCGACTCTTCTAGAAAGCCATCTAAATTGAACAGAAACGAAACAAACTGGCATTATATATCACAAACAAACAAACACACACAACAGCACAGTATTTGATATGAAATCGAATTACATATACCGCACATCATAATAATGTGTCGATGATAGTGGATTGAGTAAACGAAAGTATCGTTATTCATGAATTGTTATGAAATTTAGTGGTGAACAAAATGAGTAAAAATGATTGAAAAAGAAGTAAGAAATGAATTCTCAGTGGTTTTTTGAATCTTTGCGTCCAACTCTGCTTAAAGCATATTATATATATATATAAGCTCATAGCCTTATCAACTGAGTTATCACCTGTAACTAGTACCTCGCACACAACCACTGAATAACTAACTTAGAGGATCCACCACAGACTACCAATGCCCCACAGTTATCCATGACAAGATATTTTCAGTTTGTAAATATCTAATGCCATTCAAATTCATTTTTCAGAGGAGCAATATAATATAAAGCATATAGCTATGTACTATATTCAACCCGTGATAGAAAAAAGAATGCCTCATCTGTACAACGAGTGAAGAAGCTTGACAAACAGCAATCAGGCATTTCACATTTAAACTGTGATTTTATCAGTTGCTAACACACTAGAGTAAGGAGTACAGAGTAGATGAAATGGTTGATAAGTTCAAACACTAGAACACTTATATTGCCACTTCATCTACTAACAAAAACTAGTCAAGAAATGTCCTCTAATTGTAAGGGAAGATATTTATAACACATATTCTTTCAACGATAGCTCACAAGTTTAAAAGATTCGCAGTTATTAACTTATCTTTATCAAATAGAACCATGTTACCTACGCACTGCAAGTTGACATCAATTTGGAAAACTTCAAGTGAGGTAACGAAAATAAAAATTGTTGTATACTTTCTCGATCGACGGAGTTTAACATCGACTGACGGTCGAACAATACGACTGTAATCGAACGCAATTAGATATAATTAGGTGAAAGAAGTCGAAAAGTAAAAATATTTCCAATACGTTGGCTTTATAAACGATATCAGTATCAGTTTAGGGAAGAATATGAATTACAAAGTTTATTTGATTGCCATTAAGTATACAGTCAAAATTAATGAAAGAAATAATAGAGTAATGTTTATAATTCTAGAAAACTCTATCAGTAACTCTTAAACAGTAACATTACAAACGCAAACACTAGCCGATCATAGTTCTTATATTAAACCAAAACAGTGTTACATAAATATGTGGAAATAATAAAGAACATTTCATTAAACAAATTAGTAACCAAGTAAACTTATATCTGATTACCTTCAAGAGTAGTTATTTTGATTGCATGGCATATTCCAATTAGAGTACGTAAAGCATTATCAATAGCTTTTCTATAGTTAATTATAACTGTAATTGAGTTATGACTTGATAATCTAGGTGATGTTCCATCCTGTGAAAAACAATGACTGGAATTCGATAACTGAACTAAACGTCTAGTAAGATAAATAATATCATTCAATGATTTATCAGAACTTGGATGTTTTGATTTAATCGTATCCAGCGTGTATTCTTTCTCTAGACGATTAAGTACAGGATTCAAAGAAACTGGACGTTGATGTGACATAATAACCACCAACAACTGTAATGCTATACGAGCGTGAGCACAGAATCTATAATTATGAACAAATAAACACAACAAACATATTATTAGGTGACAACAATTTATTGTAATGATGTAACCGAGTACGAAAGATAAATAGAATGATAATACCATCTTAAACACGCTAATTAATTCAATTCGATAGTTATAAGAACTGTATAATCTTAAGATATCTTCCATACTGGATAGCAGTAATTTAATATATTCGAACAACAGTTAGCGATAGTCTCAAATAAATAAAAGCCTAGGAAAAGTGTGCATGGCCAACCTTACTAAATAATTTAGTGCAGAATATTATGTTTTGTGGAACGGAGTTGGGAAATCTTGATTTGCTGCACAACATATCATTTTTTAATGGCTTCATAGACGGATAATGTCATAGTCTTGTGTGTGCTACTTATGTCGACATAAGTAGTATATAACGCTAGTCAGAAATAGAATATCTGGCAGCAGAAGGTTGAGAAGATCAAGGAAAGAAGAATGGGAACAGAAAACAATTAGTATGGAAATGCAGGAATAATGAAGTCTGAGACAACTAATGAAAATTTTTTAAATGAAGTAGTGGAGTATGGTTCTTCTATTTTACCAAGTAAATGTGTAATTTTATGCTAAATAAAATTGGTTGTCCTATATCTGATTGCAGTGTGCATTGGAGTAATGAGTAACACGTGTTATGGTTTACTAAATCGATGAAGATTCGAACGTAATAAATCGCTACAAAAGGTACGATCTATAGTTGATTCTCGTATTAGATGGATAAACGATGGACTCAGTTTATGATATTTAGGACAAATTTATCAGTGGCTTTTCAGCTGAAGATAGATTTTTAGATATCGATTAGTGGAGGAACTTATTCTTCCTGGCCCACATAAGAGCATAGAATAAAACAAACAAGTCATATCAACTTTCTCATTGCATATGATACCACAAAAGAATGGTAAAACGTTTTCGGGTTCTACATTAGACTAATCAATTTGGTATAGAATGGAGACTCACTATGATAATAAAATAATCTACTATATCACTGAAAATCAATCAGTTTTCTATCTCACTTCCAGATTAATTTGAACACTAAATTATCTGGAAAACTATAGTTCTTTTGAGAAGGAGGAATGGTATTATATGGTTTATACGGTGATTGTCTGATGATACTAGTGAAAAGTTGTTATCACTATTATTACCACCTTTTCGTGAACGATTCTTAATGGATGAAACTTTAGTTTATTGTTGAGTAAATTAGATCCTCTTATTGTCTCTATCAAGGATCATGTTAGCTAGGTTCAATCTATTAGAATGTAAGTCTAGTTAATATACATTAATCTATATACATGAAAAAGACTTTATGAACTTAAGGTGGGTTTATTTAGCTGAAATTAACACTGGCTACATTGCAACTTAGCCGATGGAATTCGATCAGCTCTAAGGGCCAAACATGACAATGAATATTACTCAAGGACTAACCAGTTCTATAGCAGGTCCACTGTACCTGTAATATCATTTCTAACATCTTTGTTTGTATTACTAGATGACAAATCCACGAGGAACATTAGTTTTCAAAATATCATAGATACGCTGCCATGACAATTACCTATCAGTATAAGACCTTAATCTAGAATTTCCCATTAATTTTCCCCTAATCATGTAACATTATGCACAGAAACAATTTGAGATTGAGTCAATTAAACTAGTGACCAAAAACAATTTGAATGATAGAGTTTAATCGCGCTATATAATAAATAATACAACCATAGTTACTGTTAGATATTTATAAGTCTCAGTATATTAAACAATATAAGACTATGTTTCAATATTTCTTTGCTTGTATCCTAAATATTAACAAATATATATATAAACGAAGCTTTGATGAAAAGCATACTCACTTTATAGAATGACGATATTTACATTCTTTAGATATTTCTAATTCAGCTCTATCAATAAATGTGAGAATAATATCCATGAAGTTAGGTAGCACATTAGCTAAAGGTTTTAAAATTAAGCGTAAATTTAAGCCTTTTGTTTCTTCATTGTTCGAATAAATTAATAAACAGGTCAAAAGTGAAAAAATTTCTTGCCACAAAGGAGCCATAAGATCAATGTAGCCTAAAAAAAGAAAAGAGGAAAGTAATGTAAGTTTAAGATTTAAATGCAATGAAAAATAAACACATAATCAAACTACACCGGTCAGTTACTGAGTTCGTCTAGTCTTTCTATGCGAGCCGAATTTTACCAATCAAGTTATAATTCGTTTACTAATTCAAATGAATGGATATTGTAGATCTAAGCTTTTGTGAATGAGCACTCGTCTGAAAGTTGTACCTGTAATCTTGAGGATACTGATGCTGTCCGATTCAATTAGACGAGTGGCTTCATTGAAAACTGATCGATGTAATTCGGCCAACATTAGGGATTAGATAAAAATAACACTGTTCATATGACATGAATTAGTGATCAATCAGTATAAATATCCAACTCCTATAATAGGTCGGCTGCAGCCCATATAGCTTAACGTTAACATATCGGACTATTAAGCTGGATTATGCATGTTCGAGACCAAGAGAGAGCATCGGTCTCCTCAAACGTCCAGACACGACATCACTAACTAGCACAAAACCTAGACTTAGTGTTTCTTGTCAATCACTTTCAAAAATAATCAAATAATCCGACTGTTCAAGAATGTTAAAACTAATAAAATGGCAAACCAAGTTCATGAATAAGGGTTTACCAACTTTAGGATTAAGAGTGAGATTAATTGATATATCAGTCAGCAAATAAACGTGATTACGAATACCCGTTTTTATAACATGTTCAAATTTACTGACTGATACAAGGACAGTATACTTTTTTTATATTCTTGGAAAATAAAGGTAATAAATAAATAAGATGTATACTTACTTATCGAAATAGTTAAAATTATAATTATCCGTGTTAAAAAAAGAGAGTCAGAAATTAGATTCATACGACATTCTTCATTCATTGCTGCTTGGCAACGTAAAATATGTATACAACTGGCATAACATTGAATTAATTGGTTGCATGAGCTTTTTGAAATGAACGATCTAGCTAGATCGCAGTTTATATTTTTGTTATTAATAATAGAATAAGAAATAGTACTTTGTTGAATAGCACATTGTAACAAATCTGAAAAAAAGAGAAATGAATATTTTGGAATTCCAATTAAATGCTTAGTAGACGAGAGAAAAATTAAATGAAGTACACTACTATCAGTAGCAGTGACCGTCTGAAATTTTATTCAGTTGAATATTTAAAAATTCATATAAAGAATCGGCCGTCTACAATTACATAACAATTTATTCACAATACTGTCGGCTTGCTACAATGAAGGACTTTTAACTTAGAAGTTAAAAGTTAGAATATAACTTCAGTTCAAATTTTTTTTCAGTTCGAAGAGTAGTTTCCTCATGCAACGAAAAAACCTTATGTCTAGATGGTGTGAAATGAATTTCAAAATATTTTAAGGACATGTTTTATAGTTCGTTTGTGAGAGCGTCTGGAATCAATCCATTAGGAACACCCTAGGTTTTTATACTTCGAGACAAGTCTAAACATATTGATCAGGGTTAAAAAAACTGAATACAACACGATTGAAATTATTAATGCTTAGACTACGAACATGTAGCTAAATCGATTGTGTCATGAGGTTTAAATTGAAGTTAAAAGCATTCAATGAAAATGAAATTAAAATGGTACAGAAAGTTACTTGGATCAATTATATTCATCAATAATGGATTGATACGATGTAGTTTCAATTGACTTAAAATAAATTTGGGTAAATGATGCATCAAATTAATAAGCAAGTGAATAACTGTACTCAAAAGGGAAGGTGTACAAATGCATGGAATATGAGATGCTGACGAAGTATTAGATATAGCATTATTTGGAAAATTAACAGATTGACTTGTGCCAGTTGTTTCTGTAGTTGTTATCGTTGAAGTAACCGCCTCCTGTATGTTATTAAGTGTTGTTTCAGTTTTCATCAATGTTGAAGATTGCAGATTAGTTAAATTAGTACCAGGTAAAGTCTAAGCATACAGTAAAACAGATGGATCAAGAGATATAATTTATTATTATCCAGTTGGATTTTTCTCCAAAAAAATATAAATAAAATTGAAAAAAAAAGAAAAATGCATATGTAAACACCAATTAAAACTAACGCATCTCTAACTTAAATAAAAATGAATAACTTGATTCTCAATACTTATAATTCAAGATCTAGATATTTTGATCATTTGAAACTTCATAAATAACATTGTGTCTTGGACAAGCATATTAGTTGAAAAAAGTTTTATATTTAGAATTACTAAAACAAAACACCGCAAAGAAAAATACATTATGTTCACTAAATAATTGAATGATTACAATTCAAAGGACAGATACCTCAATTTGATGAATGATGCATATTATCATACTTTTATAATACTCTTGGAGTTTTTTTCCCTGTATAACCCACTGGTCACGGCTTCTCATCAGAAATCGCAGAACTTTCTCACGAAGCTAGTCACTAGTGAGCACATGGTGAGCAAAATGGTAACTAACAATCCATGTCGGGTACAAACAGGTGTCTACCTCAGTACAATAGAAGATGGTCGCGCAATCTCGTGGATTGGTTGGGGTTAGACATTAAAGCGATTGGATGCCGGCTCAGTTTTCCAGTAGGTTAAGCGTTCGCGTGCAAGGCTGAAGGTCCTGAGTTCAAATCCCGCTAGCGGGATCGTAAATATGCACTGCTGAGGAGTCTCACAATAGGACGAAACGGCCGTCCAGTGCTTCCAGGTTTTCAATGGTGGTCTAACATCAATCGGTTCATGATCTCGATAAAAAATAATGAAAGTGAATTGATTTGGAAGAAAAACGACAAATTCAAGTAATTCATAAAACATTTCATTTCCAACCTTTTCAATATTGCTTTGAGATGGCATGGTAAGTCGTTGCCATTGAGATAAACTGAACATTGTTTGAGGTATATGTGAAATGACCAAACGACAAAGATAGTTAAAGAAGTCTTTCGAAACTAATAATTGGTGTAATGCAGGTAACCCGATGAGGTAAAACTGAAAATTAATTTTGAAAAAATACAAGTTAGAAATGGGAAAATACTAATTGCGTGACTTGTGCATTCTCTTAATTTCACATACTAATGTGATCATAATAAGGCGTTTTATTCTTCAAATACAAACTTTTGCACTCCGCTTTTAAACACTGTTTGCTTTAGTGTTAGTGATATTATCTAATCACCCAAACTTCAATAAGTGAAACTCTGTATTGAGCTCATGACTTATGGGGCTAGAAATAAAATTCCTTAACTGATGCTTCAAAAGAATATCATATAGAATAGAATCAAATAATTAGATATATGAATGAAAAGTATGGGTTTCAATTTTTGAATAACCCAAATTAGTAACAAAATAAAAGTTAGTGGCATATGATCAAAATCATACTAAAAGGATATTAATTTGGATTTTTTATCACGCTTTCATATGTAACGCTAGTTACAATTACAAAGATTCATCACGTAAACAAACTGATATCAGGTAACATAAAAAAGTAATTGAGTATTAAATTGAAACAAATTCAAGCTGAGTTATAACTAACTAGATAATCTAGGCAGCTTAGGACTTTGTTAAACTATGGTATATACATATAAAGTAGATTAAACATAGTCTTCTTAACCATTATTGGCGGTGACTACCTTCGAATTGATCAGTCATTTCAAAAACTAAATAAATTAAACGATTAGGTTGATACTTAAGAAGCTAGTATTTGAAAAACATTACCATCAGTTTAAAAGTCATTTACAACCCGATAATATTGGATAACAGATTTATACTGGTATAAAAGTTCATAAAGTGGCTTTTTCACTTAAATTCAAACTGATTTAAATAAAAGACTGTCACATTTCATGAGTGGCTTTAACCGATGAACCGAACTTACGAACAACGTCGATCTGTTTACGTTCAATCTAATAAGTTTTGCTTTGAAACACAAAATATCAAGTGTTCTTACCTAAAGTGAGTTAACAGTAAAATTTAAATTCAAAGATTATCACATGCCTTTCATTTTGATTAAATAAAAAATAGAAAACAATGACGTAATACGACAATTCGCAAACAAATTCGAATAGGAAATTCAACTTACATTGGCATTAAGGTCTGAGTAAACAGGCATAGTAATATTCTTTGGTGGTTTTGAAACACGCACTGGCATGAATTGCATTTGATGATCTACCAAAACAGAAGTAAACTCATATCAGAACACAAAATACATACCTATACTGCTCATCATGTTCTCTAGAGTAAACAATTCATCAGTCCATGGTTTTAAAACATCCATAAGCTGTGTAATGTTATCTCTTAGCTGTTGAGAAGATTGATCTGAATTGAGAATATCCTGCAACTCTAAAATAGGCTCATTAGAATCATGAATATTATATCCAATATTATTTATTGTTCGACTTCGTAAAGTGGCTGAATTGAATGGAATACGTGAAAACTGAAATTTATCGCACAGATTAGTTTTTTCTAAGCAGCCTGACGTAAATTCATTTATCGCTGGAGGGAAAAACATCACCGAATCCCTTGGATTTAAAGGCAGAGCTGTCAAATTAATAAGTAGCTGTGCAGCCATTATGCGAACCCAGCAAGATTCAGATGAATCCATCAGAAAATGGAAAGCCACCTCCCAAATAGCACCTGGAGATGACCATTCAAGTGAATGAGCAGACAAAAGTGTGCGTGTTTCTGTAGAAATATTGCGCGTCAGCAAACGTTGTAACCAAATAGGAACTAAGCATATACGACTAAGAATCGACAAAGCTAGAGCCCGAACCTATACATGGGAATAAAAAACGATCAAACTATAAAATACCATTATTAATTAATCTCTATCAACAAGTGATGAAAAAAGGATAATTTAACTGGAACAGTTTTGATTAAACGATGAAGTGAGTAAAAATGTCTACTACTTTTAAAAAACAATATCTTTATCGATTGATTGCCAAAAGAAGTCGAATAGCATATATTTTAACTGAGAAAATAATAAAACATCAGTTTCGAAAAGCGGAGATAACATAAGCGTCTTAAAAACTAACAATTAATTAGAGTTCAAATGAATTCTTAAAGATCTTCAAAAAACTATGGTAACTGAATAAAGTCGTTGTCTGTTTACCGAGGTATAATAAAAGAAAGGATGCTAAAGTGTTAGTCAATTGTTTCAAAGATTACATTTAATATCGCATAATAACAATTTTTATTATTTACACTTAGCAAATCATTTACTACATAAAAAGCTGGTTATTCAGATCACACTTACAAATTAATTAATGTAATCCGATTATACTATTTTGTCACCACGATGCAGATATATCCTAGTGTTGATCGTAAATTCCACTGTTAGCCATAATTCATCCATTTTAAGTCTTTAAGTGCTATTGTTACTAGACGTCGAATTCTTACTAATAATACATTTACACCATAATCTAGTATTAGACACTATTAAAGATATGAAACTTGAGTTTATAAGATGAAGAAAAAAAAAGCCAGAAAAACGACTCCTACATTTACCTCTATTTGGCGATAGGTTAAGCTTTTCAAAATCCACTCTTCATCAATCCAAGATAAATATTTATGAAAATTATTCATATTATCACTATTATTATTGCTATTATTTCTATTACTATCTAGTAGGACATCATTTAAATCTAATTGTTGAATAAATGGTTGAACAGATAGTGTATGAATTAAATTATTTATTACAGTTAGAAATAAAACAATATTAGATGACCCAATATATGAATAATTAGCTTGATGATTAGGCTGTTGAATAAATGCTGAAAGTAATATTGATACATGATTAATTAAACGTCCAATAATTTCACCATCATTTAAAATGTGAACGATTTCTTGAAATTTACTATAATATAGAGAAAGAAATGTTAAAATTAAAATCATAATGATATAATATAAAATTCAGCATGGGAATCACTTTTCAACGAACTTGCTATTAGATTCTTTGGTTAAAATTAGTTCATTGGAAAAACATCCCTAAGTTAAATTTCATGTTCTTTTCATGTGTAAAAGTAATTATAAATCTATTAAAAATGGGACAGTTCATGCAAAATCAATGTAAGGTGGTGATTAAAAGTAATCGACAAGATAACCTGGAGCTAAATTTCGTGCCACTTGATACTCGTCAGCTAGGTGTACCTGTGATCTTGAGAGAAGTGATGCTCCCTAACGAATTCGACCCTGTATCACCAAGTATAATAGTTAAAAACGTTACTGCTGATCTACCCTACAAAATGAATATAGATATGTGTCTTTTTAATTTCAATTTAATCTACTGCAAATCATTATCCATGTGAACTTAACCTTTTTCTCAAATATTCATTCGAAGGACAGATTAATGTTATTAACTAGCTGTAAAGCCTTGATAGATAAAAGCATCTTTTATCGGAACACGATACGTTTACCAACTGAATGATCTCTCAATAATTAGTCTATAAAAATAATACTAACTGGTGTACTTCACCTTGAAACATAGCTTTGGTATGAAAATTCATAACGAATAAATTATCTAAACCAAAATGTGTGAGGCAGTATTTTAGCTTACGATCTAGTTGTTGATATTTAAATGCTTTAATTACGTAACAGTTGAGTCAGTCTAGTGAAAAAAGTATACCAATGACATTTCTACAATGTATTCAAGATTGGGACACCGATATACATGATAAACGACATTGTATGATTTCTCACGAAAATTAATATGTGCAGAGTGGTTGGAAAAACCAAATGACAAAAGCTCAAATATCAGAAAAAGGAAACTAACTGTAGACAACCTATGGGTTTTCAAATATTTATTATATAAAATAGTGATAAACCTATCAAACCACTTAGCTTGTAAATTGAGGCAATATTGAGGCATACGCACAGTATGCACATATGCCAATAACAGACTGATCAATTACAGTCTTAAACCTCAATGGGAAAATTCAAGTAAAACAATATCAAGTGAATTAAACTTGACCCCATTGCATAAGCAAGTGGCTATCAGGACTTAGTAGCTGAGTGGATAACGCGATGGCGTTTGAAGCGAACGGTATTGAGTTTGAGTCCCAGAGTCAACATCAACTTAGATGCAGGCACATCCAGCTGACGAGTCCAAAACAGGATGAAACGCGGGTCCTGGATCCCACTGCTAGCCACTATCCATCTTTGCTTATAATGCTGTTTGTTCTAGTTTGAATTATGACGAATGAAATAAAAAAACTAACTATCCAACATCATCCAAAGTATCTACATGTTTCTATTAACAATAACATCAGTCCAAAATTATATGAACGATAATTTCAGTAAGAAAACAAAAGGTGAATAGATGGAAAAAAGCCTATAGAGTTATTCAGGAGAGTCCAAGTTTATCTAGTTCTTTTTTTATTATGAAAAGTTAGCTTATTTCTTAGAAGATAACTTGAATAACCTTCTTTCGAATTTATATCCTTCTTTATATACCATCTTTGTTATTTATCTGATTATGTATTATCATTTATAACTTGCTAATTTTTGTGCATTAATATCACACATGTAATTTTATTATCTAAGTAAAATTATTCCATTTCCATTTTCAACTTCTATTCAGAATATAAAGTCAGTCTGAAAGTTTCTTATTCTCTATATTCTTATATATTAGTATGACTTAATAACAATGAAATGTTATCTGTTTATTGTTGATTTACTTATCGAGTTCATTTTCATATTAGAAGAATTTCAATTATTTTTATTCAGAATAGGTCGTTATACAAATTGCTTCTATATCTATTTCTTTTCAATTTACAAAGAAAGAACTTTAATTTTAATTCATTTTATAATATTATAGCAACTCCGCCCGGAGTCCCTCCGGGGGCTACTGCCGGTCCCAAGCCCGGACAAAGGAGGAGGGTTGGGTATGGGGTTAGCGACCCCATCCCGTAGAAAAATAACTCGCTAAAAAACGCTAACTAGAAAAATTATTCAAAATAATATTATAGCAACAAATTAATTAATTCACTATAATTTGAATGGAATGACGAAAAATAATATGAATAATAATTGAATTACGGTGAAGTTAATTGAGCCAATATACTAGCCAATAGATTTAGTCGGACTAGATCAGAGAATGGAGAAACAATAAATTCTTTTAAAGTATTACAAGCCCATTGAAAACAAACTTCATACACTTTGAAATCACATATATTATGTAATCTAAAATAATAGAAAAAACAAAAAACAACTTCATTATTTTAATTTTATAATAATTAAATACTTCTGAAAATCTGTAAAGAACAATGATGGTAATTTAGTGTAGTAAAATATTTAGTGAAAAATGTGGACTATTATGAAATAACAATTCAAGGATTAGAATACACGTTAACTACTCATTCCTTAGAAGAAATAGCTAGTATTTTTAACCAGTATATTTAAAGTGTTCAACATACAGTTTTACAAAAAAAGCAAAGGTGAAAAACGACTGAAATTTAAAGATAAGTATCTCCCAGTTTGGCGTTGGGGAGATCAAAAGTCCTAGATTCAAATCCCGCCTACGGGATTGTTGATTCTCGCCTGCTGAGGAGTTCCATATTAGAAAGAAGCGGCTGTCCAGTGCTTCCAGGTTTTCAATGGTTGTCTAGTATTAATCGACTCATGAATTCAATGAAATATCTTCTAATTGAAAATTTTGGGCTAATATTTATATGAAATATATATCTCCAAGTATTTAAAAAAGTAGAAAATTCAGTATCCCGTTGAGATCATTCATTACAGGGTCAACTTTGTATTATGAAGACATTTATTAACACAATGAAGAATATAAATGGGAGTTAATACTTTCATTTTTAGTATACTGTAGGAAAAATTGAAATTCTTATTCCATTATATATCAATGTCGATAACAGGTACATACACAATTAGAACCCATGAGTAAATTTACATGTCTAATGGCAAAAGTACTGACTTGCTTTCTTACTCTCTAAAACCTATACAATCTAATGTCAAACAAGATTTTACTTTTATTTTTATTCAGAAATATGTAAGATACTGAGTAAGTAGTTCACAATTAATTGCCAAGAATATATTAGATAATTTAAAGTTGTAATACAGCTTGGATCATAAGGCTCACACTATAGTCGTACTAATATTTGAAGAATTCATAGAATAGGAAAATCATTAGATCAACTATGAAATTAAACTCAATACTATCTGGTTCTTAATTGTTAATCATTTTGAGAATAAAATTATATTCCGATTATTTGAGTTCTCACAGGTCAATATTGATAATTAATAGTTCTTTTAATTGTTACTTAACAAAAAGCAATGAATTAGTTATCATGCTGAAGACAATTTGGAAAAAGTAGAACTATGCAGAATTATTGTATACCTTTTTATTACCTAATTAATAGATGCCCGAATTACCGTGATTTTATATTCTCTCCTATTTGTAAGCTTTTCTTTAACCCATAAGTCGTTGTTGTTACTATTTCAGATTTGTAATTCATAAATTGTATGCTTATATTGCCTCATTTGTAGCACTTATGACTGAGTTGTGCATTTAGGATAATTCCTTATTTGTGTTGTCGTGCGGTTAAGTATTTGATACATACCGTTGTATGAGTTTTGAGTTATGAATGAATTACAATGGAAAATTAATTTGCTTGTTATTTCCTTTTTTGATTGATAGGAGATTGTATGCCAATAAAGCTCTCCAGTAATCATTCACAGCTATTGTGTATTTGGTTAAGAGGGGGTCGCTGCTTAATTTGAGACAGGCTGCCGCTCCGACAGGCAGTCTATGAAAGTAATTCAGTACACAAACAGGACAATACAACTCTTCCGAATAACAACACGTTAGATTATATGAGCCTCAATACAACTCAAGAATCTAATCTTTTTAAGGATGTAACACTGACAAAACATGTAATGACATAATATACAAGTACTTTCAAAGTATAAATGAAAAAAGGAACATACTGTGATTCAGAATACTTTGTGAGTATACTATTGAAATTTTTATCTTCTATAATATTGTTCAATTTACCAATCGTATTAAACAAATCACTTAATAAACAGGGCAAAGTATGATAAATTAGGTGTTTTTTAGCAGATACTAATCGTGGACTGTCTGTTTCACCAACTCCAGCTTTCGGTTGCAGAAGACAATAACTCAAGGGGCCTTGTGGATCCCCTATTAGAAACATCAACCAATCGCACATATATTCCTGAAAAATCGACAAAGAAAAAGTGGAATTTATGAAACAACGACTAAATGAATGTTCACTGAAACTCAAATGTATTACGAAAGCAGTTAGACTATAATACTGGACAAACGTAAAGCGATATTAATGTGGCGTTGAGAAAATTAACCCAGTTACGTGGGTTGAAACAAGGTTATAAATAAGTGTGAGGAAGTAGGAATAAAATTTAGATCTGGAAGTTAAAGAAAGAAATTAGAATTAGGGTTTTCACAACGAAGTGTTCTTTTTCTATACGAAAGAATAAATTCCATGCCAAAATCCAAAACTTGCTATTTTAAACTTTTATGGTTCATCCATAAGTTATAGATCTACAGTTGGTAATCATTAGAAAAACATCTTACCAACTTTGATATAATTAATGCTTTAAGTCAGTTGATAGAATCAAATCAATCATAAAGATTAAATAATCTTTATTACTCAGTGACTGATCAGCTTAAAATAGACATGAACTAAATCAGCTGAACTTTGGTGGTCCAAAAACGGCGATACATATAATGTTGAAATGAATAACCAAAATAATTCATCGGTAACGGATATTTATTCATTTGTTTTTTGTAGCTAACCAGACAAATAGAATATTTAACGTCCAGTTCAATAATCATCTTATATGTTATTTAGTTGACTCATTTATATTTAAATATAACATGAACGTAGATTGTTCTGGCAACAAATAAGATAATGAGAAAAACTATTACTTACATCATTGCTAAACATTCACTTAAAACACTTATTTTTAGTCATCGGTAAACTTGTATTTTTTACCACTAAATATTCTGAATCCCTACAATATTTAATCATTAAAAGAGACCGCAATTTCATAGAACATTTAAACTGCATTCATACATATGTGTAATTACTTAGAACATGACTCACAATGTACTTATAGTAGTGCAAGTGTATTTATCATTTATCTGCCGCTAGCTTTTAACTATTTGTTATATATCGCTTTTCTTACGGTTATGACCCGGCTATTCCTATTGCTTAGTATTCTCGGACACCGATTCACTCGACAAGTCCCCAAATCAAAACACGGTTGAACAGGAAGAGATTATATTCCAAATAACAAGGTTAGATGGAAGTCAGAAGCACAATAGAGAAAAACGTCAGTATATTTATAGTATCCTACATGAGAAGATTCTAGAGTGTTCTCCAACTATCGACTAGTGCTGATTGGTTAAGAATTAGCCAATCAGCGTGCACCAAAGCAATCATGCATTGAGCATGCTTTAATCCGGTCTATGTCCCGCTAACACCTCCCCTTTGAGCAGATTCGTAGGATCTGGTGCTAGGGTCCAACTGCAACCGAGTGACTGGCCTGTGCTTTCGATTAGTCCATCGTCTAGGCAATAGTGAAGTATCACTCTTTTCTTGCACAGAAACTGACGTGTCTATTCCCGGCGTTTTGATTTCAAAGGTGTCTAGCAGAACATCAAGAGGTAATCGATATTGAATCTTGTTGCTGGCTATCGAAGTTGCTTTCAATTGGTTAGCATGACGTACCCAAACTTCCGAGCCAACTGACACCTCGTAAACCACACTCCCCTTCTTTTTCACGATCCGACCAGCTGTCCATGTAGGGTGTTTCCCACGATAGTCCATAGCAAGCACTTTTTGTCCCACCGTGAACAATCGTCTTTGTGCCCCATGATGTCGGTTAAACTGATTCTCCATCGATAGGTTTCGATGGGGTTCAATAGCTGGCGTAGGACGGATGGCATCGAAATGTGTTCGTATCTTTCTGCCAAGTAGAGCTTCTGCTGGAGAGACCCCGTTAATTGTCTGAGGGTTCGGTGTAGAGCGATAAATAAACAGGAACCTCTCTAAGATATCTTCAGTGGTCCCTTCCCCTTTGGATTTTTTTAGAGCATTTTTAAATGTACTCACAAAGCGTTCCACTTGGCCATTTGATTGGGGATGGAATGGAGGTGTTCGCAGGTGCTGGATTCCGTTCTGCCGACAAAATTGTGAGAAGATTCCGGACGTAAACTGTGTTCCGTTGTCACTAACTATCAATTCCGGGATTCCAAAACGACTGAATAGTTGACGTAGTTTACTGACTGTGCAGCTTGCAGTAGGGTGTTCCATGAGAAAAATTTCTGGCCACTTGCTATATGCATCAACCACCAAAAGATAATTTTGTCCATGGGGTGGACCAGCAAAGTCCAAATGTATACGCTGCCACGGTAACTGTGGTATTGGCCATGATTGCAGCTCTGCTTTTCGCGGTGCTTTTGTCGCTAATGCACATTTGGTACAGGAACGGGATAGCTGCTCCAGTTGGGTGTCTAAATGCGGCCAGTATACATAACTTCGTGCTAGTGCTTTCATGCGATTTATTCCAGGATGTCCTGCATGCAACTGTTCAAGCACTGCTGGTTGTAGCTTCTTGGGAATTATGACACGTTCGGCAAACAGCAGACAGTCATCGATGATTGAAAGAGAGAGTCTTCGTTGGTAAAACTGTTGAAGCTCTGTGGAACTGATTTTCGAGGGCCACCCTTCTAGGTGGAACTTTCTAACTTCTTGTAGTGTTGGGTCTCGAAGCGTTTCTTCCCTGACTTCATCTGACGACACTGGAGTGTTTCGAATGGCATCTGCCACTATACTTCGTATTTCTGGATCTACTGTTGTGGAGGCAATGATTATATCCTCTGGTCCAGGATGTTGAACTCCAATTAATCGGGAGAGAGCATCAGCTTGACCGATAGTATTTGTCGACTGATACTTGATATTAAAATCATAACTCAGGAGCATTGTTGCCCAGCGCTGTAGTCTATTAGCCGTATAGACAGGGATTCCTTTCTTAGAACCAAAGATTGCAATCAAAGGTTTGTGATCTGTCAGTAGAGTAAATGTACGACCATAGAGCATTTTATGAAATCTTTTGACTGCGAAAATGATTGCAAGAGCTTCCTTTTCAATTTGGCTGTAGTTTCGCTCGGCTGGAGTAAGTGATCTAGCAGCATGGGCAATTGTCTTTTCTGATTTATCCGGAAACACGTGAGATATCACTGCTCCAACTCCATGACTTGAGGCATCAGATGCAACAACAATTTCCAAGCTGGGATCGAAGTGCGTCAAAAGAATCTTTGAGCTGAGCATTGATTTGACTCTGTCAAAAGATGCTTGACATTCTGCTGACCACTGCCAAGGTTTATCTTTCGATAGTAATTCATTTAGGGGACCTCTCACTCGATGCATTTCAGGCAAGAATGTGCTGTAATGACTGATTAACCCCAAGAAGGATCTTAATGAAGAAACATCAGTTGGTGCAGGCATCTTCTGAATGGCTTCGATGTTGGCAGGATCTGGTCGGCGACCGTTCTTATCTAAGATAAAACCAAGGTATTTGATCGAATGCATGAAAAAGATACATTTTTCCTCACGTAGTTGGAAACCATACTCCAACACTCGGTTAAGGACTTGGTGTAGTCGATCAGAAAGTTCACTATCAGTTGAACCCATAACTATGATATCATCTAGGTAAGCTGCTGTACCAGGTATACCTGTTAGCATCGTATCCATTATTTGCTGAAAGATGGCGGGTGCGGTCTTGATGCCAAATGGTAGACGAGTGTATTGAAATAACCCTCGATGAGTGTTAATAGTCAGAAGCTCTCTACTATCTTCATCTACTTCCACTTGGAGATAAGCATCAGAGAAGTCTATTTTCGCGAAGCATGTCCCACCATTAAGCTTGGCAAACAGGTCTTCAGGAACTGGTAATGGATATTGATATACATCTAATGCAGCATTTAAACCGGTCGAGAAATCGGCACATATGCGTATAGTCCCATTGGCCTTCTTAATCACTACGATCGGTGCGGCCCATGCAGAGTAGTTAACTGGTCGGATTACACCAGCCTGTTGCAAGCGATTAAGTTCCTGGTCGACTAGCTCAAGAGCAGCATATGGTACAGGACGTCTCGGGCGAAAAATAGGTATGGCATCTGGTTTTACTGGTAAATGCGCTTTCATCTTGGTACAGTGGCCAAGGCTATTCTGAAAAACAGAGGCAAACTTTCTTTTCAGTTTTTCTAGTAACCTTTCACCTGTCTTCTTTGGAAGTACTGAGCTGTTCAATGATGAACACGATACGTTACAGACACTGTTAATTGGTACATCCATTATTCCAAGTTTGTCTAACATATCTAGACCAAGAAGATCAAGGTTCGGCCGTTCTGTTAGGTAACATATTCCTGTACAGTTAGTTCCATTGAAGGAAAATTCACACTGTAATTCACCAACCAGTTTTAGCACACCACCTGATGCGTTTTTAGCCGTTTTCTTAGATGGCTTTATTGGCGGTTTACCCAGCAAGTTATATGTTTCTCTAGACACTAACGTGATATCTGATGCCGTGTCAATTTGAAGACGAGCTGATATGCCGTTTATCTGGATAGTAACATACTTTCTCTGAATGTCATAGTTTGTTTGAAAGGCAGCTACCAAAGAAAGAGATTTGGACTCGGCTGATTTCACATGTCGAGGACGTTTATGCTTCTTCTTAGGCTGAGACGTACGCTTCGGTGGACAATGACCTTCTTTATGTCCACGTTTGTTGCACTCCTGACATTTATGCTTCTTGAACGGACAGAATCGTGCATAATGCCAATCACCGCATAACCAGCATGCAGTCCTTGGTTTGTTACGAGTTGTTACCGGCTTCTGAACTTTTAACCTAGTAATAGTATTTACACTACCGCAGGTTAAATTAGGATTTACCTGTTCAATCAACTCGTTGTCGTGTCTGATGCTTTGTAGACGCTTACACTCATCTGTCAATGTTCTGAGTGTGACGTTTGGATCTTGGTCCAGTCGAGCCAAAAGTCTAGTCCTGATCTCAGCGTCTTGTGGTGACTGAAGAGCTTTGATGAATATTAAGCATTTAAATTGGTCATCAGTCAACGAGCGCAACTTGAAACGTTCACATTCTCTGTTGACAATGTCTGCTAGAACACCATATTCATCAGCTTCGCGTTTCACCAAATTTAGACACCGATATCGAATACTAAACAACGAGGATGACTCGCCGAATATCTCTGACAGCTGAAATACCGTCTCCTCGAAACTGAGCTCTCGAGGTAACTTTGGCAAAATATGGTCAGCAAAACGTGCATGTTCGTTGCTTCCCAACTTACGTACCAACAATCGGGTCTTCCACGCATCGTCTTGATTACAGGATTCTGTTCTAAATGTATCTTCCCAACGTCTGAACCACGTGAGAAAAGTATTTCCATTTTCGGGATCATAGACGAATTCTGGGATGCTGCTAGCAACTGCATCACAAGACGAACTTGAAATAGCGTGTGAACTCGAACTGTGGATGTTGAACTGTCGAGTCAGAGTCTCCAACAACCGCATTTGTGCATCAAGTTGTGCTTGCTGTTGTTGTAGTATTCGGTTAAGCTGGTCATCTGATATAGGCATCTTGAATTTGTTTTCCTTTTTCCCCGTCGCCACTGTTATATATCTCTTTTCTTACGGTTATGACCCGGCTATTCCTATTGCTTAGTATTCTCGGACACCGATTCACTCGACAAGTCCCCAAATCAAAACACGGTTGAACAGGAAGAGATTATATTCCAAATAACAAGGTTAGATGGAAGTCAGAAGCACAATAGAGAAAAACGTCAGTATATTTATAGTATCCTACATGAGAAGATTCTAGAGTGTTCTCCAACTATCGACTAGTGCTGATTGGTTAAGAATTAGCCAATCAGCGTGCACCAAAGCAATCATGCATTGAGCATGCTTTAATCCGGTCTATGTCCCGCTAACACTATTAATACTTTCAATTTCTCAGATTTATTGCTTTGTGGAAGTGTTGTGCTCTCCAAGTTGGATGGTTTAGTTGTGTTAATGAGAAAATACAATTGTTCATTTATTTTAGCTTACTTCTTAACGCTGCTCTGACATCTCTGAATGACGAGAAGCGTGTTGCGCCGGAACGATTTTCAGATGGAGAATACCTGTAGCTCAGGATGAGAATTTGGGGAATCTCGTGTTCACTGAGCTAACTAGAACCACTAAGCTCAGAGAACAAAAACTTCCTAAAGCTCTAATTGTGAACTATAAATACTCTTCATCATATCACTTTCAATAACACGGATTACATTATTGCTTTAATTTTTTACTATCTATTCGTTTATTCCTTTTCTATTACCTCGTTTGAATTGTCACAACTTGAGCTGATGCATATTTTTTCAAGGTCCCAACATTATTTATGATCGATTAAATTGCAACAAGTAAAAGACTATGTATTTTAACACAAATCAACCCACTGTAATCACATTCATTCAATGTAGATAAATCAATCAATCTATTGTACAATAAGTAGTTGATATTAAGTTTTGAAATCTTATGAATATCATTTTACAGAATTCACAGAATAGTAGTAGTAGTTTAATGGTATGATCTGATTCTATTTCATTTTAGTTGTTATATGAATGAATTATAATAGTATTAAGTGATATCTGTTCATTTTAAAACAAATTAGATATTTCGATAATGCAATGAGAAAAGGAAGTTTATCAGAATTATGTGATATATTTGCGCAATACAATCTGATCACACATATACCTGTTAAGAACATTTATATATGGGTGATCAGATTGTTCGAAATGTATCGCGCAAATATATCACATAATTCTGATAAACTTCATCTTCTCATTGCATTATCGAAATTTATCAAAGGGACTAATTGTTTTAAACAAATTAGATAATTATAAAAGCACAATAAATAATTCATGAAATATCTCTCAAGTATTTTGTAAATAAATTAAATGAAATTTAATTTAGTAAAAATGATTACTTTAGATGAATTTGTAAAGTAATTTAAACTGAACGGAATTAAATGAAGTCCAACTTCATGAAGAGCACACAATAATGAAGCAAGTAGATTATAATCAGATGAACAAGATGGTAAAGTAGACATAAATCGATCAAGTTGTGCATAGATCCACCAACAATCTTTAGACTTGTTAGACTCCATAATTTGATTTACATTATTTGATGAATAATGATTATTGATATCTTGACATTGATAATATTGTGTTTTATGAGCTGATAGAGATCGATATAAAAATCCTAGCGATTCTAGTAAATGGGAATGATTAGAAGCACGACGAATACATGATAAACTGAGTAAAAAACTTGAGGCTGGATGACTGACAAGTAGTAGAGTAACATCCAAACAAGATAATGAAAATTGACTGAGGAGACTGAAAGTTTTGGAAAAAAATAACATGACGATAAGTCAATCACATTAATACATAATGCTTAGTTAATTAAACTGGTTTTAATACAGTAACAATTTTAATATTTTAAATTTATCATATAGAAATAACTATATAAATGACCTTTCAACTGAGCAGTAGATAAACGAAAATTCGTAAAAGAATAGACAGAACGAATACTAAACATGTAGAGGAAAAGAAAGTCACTGATGAAGAGAAAAGGAAGGAAATACTTTAACAAAACATCAATTAGTCCTATATTTGAGACCGGTGGACACACAGTCTTTTGCAGCTGTAATAAAATAATATAGAATGAGAAAATATCAATCTCCTGATGTTCTACTGAAACTTGTTATCAGAAGAGTTCAACAAGAAACAAATAACTATTCTAAGGAAACTTCCATCACGTGAAATGACTGCTTGCAGAATTAAACTTAATAAAAGCTGAAAATAATGCAAACAGTGCCTTGTATAGTGAAAATTTAATTTGTCCGACAGTTCCCTGAAACATTTCTTCGGTTGCACTTCATAGAAAGACAGTACGGAAAACCATTTTTAAAGAACATTTCAAGATACTTCATCACAACTTATTATTATTTAAAACATTCCAGTTCGTTATAACTTCCAATTCAATACGAATAGGACAACGGAAAAATGATTTTCTTATCTTCAACAAATCATATATGACATTTTTATTTGGCATACATTTTCGACAGCAAACATAACTGCAGAGTAGATAACTAAGTCAATCAGAAGTCCTCTCATCACGATATAAGCAATGAATAATATCTAGTTAGTCATACGTAGTTAATTGTAGTACTAAATAAAGTACAACGTAGAGGGTTCGGAAAACCAAATGCCAAACCAAAAAAGGAAAAGATTCACTTCAAATAAAAAATTACAATAACAAGATTACTTCAATCAAAAATGTTAACGCTTTTCTAACACGTTTTCAACGGAATTTTGATGTTGTATGTATAGCAATAATCTAGGCAGCTAATTAGATTCCAAAAGAATCCTAAAAAATAATAAGTAAAACATAGGGCTATAAGAAATGTTTGGTGTCAACGGTCAACCTGCTGAAGTAACGGATGACATAATAGCGACAATATGTACTATTCAATACTTATTTCGGTACAATCGCAATTAGTTTAACAACACACTTGTTTGTACAGGTGTTGGAATATTCAGGAAAATATCCCAAAAATTATCCTGTTAAGCCTAGTGCTATCCTTGGACATGAAATGGTATCATCTTATTGGTCAATATTTGCTAACGTGTCAGTTTCCTACTGGCCATTATTGTACAATGTTATTTTCTATCTTATGGTACATTGTGGTCTGCTTGACTGGTATATAAACAAAGTATGTTTGAAATATAGTGATTCATATATCCGAGGCTGTGACTTTCGTTCTGGACTCATCTGGTTGGGCTAGACAGGGAAGCGAGACCAATCAGAACCCTAGGTCGTTCTACGTGTTTGCGCGTCTTCGGTCCGATTAATAATTCGTTACCCCATAATCAGCAGCATTATTTTTCACAGTTATAACAACAGGCAAACAGAATCACCGGTTATTCACTGATTTAACTTCATAGATTACTATGTATTAAGGTAACAACTTGTCTCTAATTCCCTGGTTCTTTTCATTTCTCAATTTTCAAGTAAAGTTTAATCCCATAATCTCCAGTACACTTTTCTTAATATTTTTCTTTGCTGAAAGGTTTTTTAAATTAACATTAAAATCAGCTGCATAGTACAATGAAATTAATAGGCATGTGATTCATTACTAAGTGACAAGTGATTCTAAATGATTATGCTAAACCTTTCAGTTCATAATAATAATTACAAAGAGAGTTAATTTACAACATGGATAACAGACAAAATAAAAACTTACGGACTATATTCACATGCTCTTTTTAGACACATATCCACACTACACGGATCAACTGAGGTCGAATTCGGAATAGAATCGATCATAAACAAAGTATGAGAAATAAAATTAGATAGACCTTTATGGCAAGCAAAAGCCCAAATAAATTTGAAATTTCGTCTCATTACACTACAAAAAACGTTTGTATTTTGATCTTCACTTGTACAGTTGGCTAATTTGAAAAGAGGCTGAAAACGCCCAACTAGTTCATTCCCATTAGGATCACGCAATTTTGAGCGAAACGAATAAATTGGGCATGTAAACGGTAATTGATAGCCAGCTACAACTTCTTGAGGTAAACAAATAGGACTTCTGGTAAGAGAATATAAAATGAAAAATAAACTTTCATCCAATTAAGAGCACAAAATTCATTAGGTATTCACATACAATGAAAACTGTCGAAGATATATAAATTTCTTTACCGAATATTCATATGATATTGTCACTAGAAATTAAGTGTTTAATCTTAACCTATTTTTTGTCAAAGAGTACGTTCAACAATTATGACGAGAAGTGACAATACGTTATCTCCACTGAATATGATGAAAAATAAACATTGTATTATTGAACATCACCTATCATGAAATGCCTTGATATATGTACATATGTACACGTTTTCGCATTGCATTAAATGAAAAAAAGTTCAAATCTGTTATCTGATGATTACTGAAAACCAGTTATATATTTATTAGATTGAAACATAGAAATTATGATAGTAAACTCTAAATAAAAAAATACATGTTGAATTTATACAAAATAGAAATTACTCGTTTGAAACTTGAATAACTGGAGTGAAAGCGATCAAAGTAATTAGATCAACAAAATCTCGATGTAACGTTTCCGAACCAGGAAATACGCTCATTACTAAACAACAACAAAAAATTGACAAAGAAATAAGTGTAAAAAAATTGTCATTGTAATAAACCTAATTTAAGTGTCATTAAAACAATAACGACAATAAAAAAACACAGGTATATTAAACTTCCTGATGATTGAAATTAAACAAATATAATGCCTACACATGGATATGATGAACATTTATGTTATGATAATAAGAAAAACATAAGAGTCAATCTTTATGAAATGATCAAAGTTACTAACGAAACACTAATGATTAAATAATAAATCTAGGAGAATATAGTAAAATTATCATCTTCATAATAAACTACAAATTCGATATATATATATATATATATATATATATATATGATTGTACAGCTTTAAAAATGAATTCACCGAAGAGGAACCTCTTCGTAGGACCAATCTTTCTGATTTTATGTTTCAATGGGTGCATTCCCTTTACTCATTTGTAATTTCACCAAATACAATCATCCATGTCATATGGTTCACGACATTATAATATACGAAAATTTTGAGCCTCCAGAGGATTGTGTCAAATCAAATATACTCAAATAATATGTATCATGATTTCAAATTATTTGAGAAAATCATTGGCTACCTTGTGATTAACTGATCAGAGATATTCGACCAACAGAAAGGTCTACACAACATGATATTGGTTACGCAACTGATACTACTAAGTGATCGATTTTCGTATGACTCACTGATAAAAAAGAGTACCAGTAATGATCAAAGTACATGTTCATAACAAACGTTAGCATTTATTATTTCAAAAAATCATAAGTTCGACTATCGTCAAAATAAACATACAATAAATTATGCTGCATAAGAAATCTGGTTCCCAAGAAAAAATAATACGTGTTGATGTATCCCATATGGCAGTCAAACAAGCTAAATGAACCATATAAGGTAATAACAAAGTAATAGATGAGTTTGGATTGTTTGTTGGATTGGAAATATTTATTTCCGATGGATTTTTTTGAATTGACAACAATAGTAATTCATTTGCAACTTGATTAAACCAACTAACTAGAAACTCAGGTCCGTGATGTACACGCCAAGCTGATAATAGTACAGGACCTGGATAAATAACAATTTCATTAAAAAAAATTTAGCGGTAAATATAGTAACGATGATAGTACAGAGTTTACTTTTAAACACAGCCATCATATCGGTATGAAAAAAATTATTACAGCACTAATTCAAGCTGCTCTTTATTTCAAAAATAAGTATCACTGATATTACTAAACACAGAGTTTCCATCTCTTTTCATCATGCTATCGACGAAATAACAAGATTATTTCCTGTAGTTACAAGCTTGATATTACTGACCTCATACACAAACAGGTGCCGTATGAATTTAGAGAGTGGCAAAATCAAAAATAATAGTTATCGACGTCACTAATGATGATTATCTGACACGAAAGCATATTAGATCATGCTATGATATGTAAATTGACCCACGTTGCATTTAGGATAGAATAATAATAATAGTACAATCTATCTGAGATTTCCCAATTTACTGGAAGATATAAGTAATTTCAACAGTATGAAGACACAAACAGTATGTGAGGTGAACTTGATGAGTAGCTAACCAAGTAGGTTTCAAAATTTTGATTGAAATATTTTCATAAATGCTAAACACTTCCATGACTAACTAGTTGTTTTTATTTGTTAGAATAGATTTTCTTCTATTATGCTTTAAGAATAAGGGAAAAACAAACCTAATGGTTCTATATAATGGTCAATCAATTAAGCTAGAAATATCAGTCAGTGCTTTCAAATTAAATGGCCTGAAGGTAGTGCGTCGATTATAAAGCTTGGAGGTGTCTGGATCTCACCTTTGACGAGATTGTGGATCCCCATTATTGCTGGAAAATTCGGAAACTAAACAAAGTAGGCTTCAAGCGCTTCAATATTGTATTTCTTTTACTTACACATAATAAATATAACTCACATATTTAAACAAAAACTAATAAATGGTAGTGGTTAAAGCGAGAGAGAGACAAACTAATCATGTAACATACGTCGAATAAATATGATCACTTGTTCAATAGCTGCTTTTCTAGCCGTCAGATTTATCTGATCATCCGCTAAAAGCTTCATCATTTGAATTAAACACTCAATCGGTTCTAATAATTTATTTCCAAAATCTAATGATGTGATTTGTTCACGATTCAAAATAAGTGGAAGCGGTTTCGAATTGAATTGTGTCATTAATTGACTTCGTAAACGTTCAGAACATGAGCTAGAATTAAAGCAAAGAACTGGTGTATCTGGTTTATAAATATTGTTTTGGCTTGATTCACTGCCTACTTGAATACCATTCTCAGTAACTACATGACAGTTATGCAAAGTTGATGATATATTATTCATATTTTGTTCATTCAGTATGGTAGAATTAGGTCTACATGTTAGATTTCTCCAATGAAACTGTAAACACCAATTAATGACAACAGCAGCTTCAGAACGTACTTCATTAATAGGATGCAATAACAGACGACAACATGACGTTAAAATGTTCATCAAACTGTGCTTCTGAAGAAAAAAATGTATTACACAATTTATTGAGAAATAAAACTAGCTAAACACTTATATGGTAGTTGTAATATACCGTAATTCGATAATAAAAAAAGAACTACAAATGTTGTGCTATTTAAAGAATTTTTGTAGACATTTTGTGTCGGATGGTCACGTCAAATTACACATATAAAACTAGGTTACCAATATACATTTAACTTTTATTTATGAATAAATTACTCTGAACTTATTTTTAGCATAAAGAAGATATAATTAGATATGTCAGTGAGTTTGCATATGAGGATATAATAATGACACTCTGAAAACAATATGGATACTGTGTTACCATATTAAACCAATATAGCTTCAAAAAGGTGAATTTTAGAAAGACAATCCATTCAGTGAATAACAACTGAAACTACCAATTATACTTTCAAGCACGATAATAAAATATAAAACGAAATGAAGAAGATATAAAATATTCATAACTGCAAGGTTAGAGTTGTAGACGATTTCTTTTAACTTGCAAAATATTTTAAACGTTACTCAGATGAACACAAATAAACTAGTCATTAGATGAAAACCATGCTGTATTCAACCTCAATAAGACCAAGTGAACAATTGCAATTTCATTGATTCGGTTTTAAGCAACAAACTTAGTATATAGGTTAATAACATTACAAAGGCGCCAAAACGGATACAAGTGAAGCATGGTTCTTCCCAGTGATCCCGAGGTTAAAAACAAACGAGTGGAGAAGACTTGGTCAAAGTACAACACTAATATAGAGAAAAACGTCATCTGTTTGTTCTCACTGTCAAAACTACTTCCATTCAAAATAACAGGTGGCCCAATTGCGTATTGATAATTACTAAGGAAAAGAATAAACAGAGTAAATCTCTCAAACGTATTCGACAAACAAGGAGAGAGTCAACAAAAAAGTTATTTCACTGTCTTTAAAACAGAACGTTCGTAGAATAGACTTTTGATGTAAAGCGAAATATTACAAGAGTAGTGGATTGTTATTAAGTAAAATCATGCTTTAAGTTTGAAATCTTAGTAACAGAGCATAACTTACATCCAAATTTTGTTCTTCTATCTTCTGTCTCCCTAAAGGACTCATAAGACCCAAACACCAGTCTAGCGCGACACTACCAAGAGTATTTAATTTCAAATCTGTTGTTTGAGGTTCTTTAAAAGCAAATGGACCCAAAGAAATAGTAAGTGGTCTGAATACTTTTATCGATGGACTGGGTGAAGCTGGTTCAATTAATAGATGGTGTAATTTTTTCCATCCCGTATCACTTATATATTCATATGAATTTAACAATAAAGCGAATCCTTCACAAGCTAATGAAGCTACCTGATTAAAATAAGTAGAGTATTTTTTAAATGAAATAATTAATGAAGCTTCATTACGAACATAGTTTATCTTAGTATTAAAATAACAATTATATGGTGAGCATGTTAATACATTCATTATTATTGCATGTAATTTTATGCAAACAATTAGCTTGCAACGTATCACGTATTATCTGGTTATTTTTATAATTCTAATTCACCTCAACAGAAGTAAACAAATGAGTTCCTTTAGTAAAGTAGGAGTATTCTAATGACAAACCAAACAATGGACATTTGGCTGGTACAAGCCAAAAACGTTTTTCGTAAACCTAAAGGATTATATTTTAACATTGATATTATAAATAAATAAATAAAATAAAATAAATTTAGCAAGTATAAATTAATGTACTTGAATTTAAGTCATACATTTTGTTAATGAGCTATAAAAACTACTCGCCTACCTACCTACACTGAACTAGGTAAAATAAAGTTAGAATCGGTAATTCGGAACATTTCTCTGCATACATGTTAACTATTTGTTTGACAACTAGCTATACATATTAGCTGAAATACTCCCAAAGGTTCGCTAGTAAATGATAAGAATGATTAGACAGTAAATAGGATGATCTGTATTCTTGGCCAGTTACATGGTTCTTTTACTTGTTCAGGAATAAGCATCCACGCAGACTTAACTCAATTAGATGAATCTGAATTAAGTAAGAAAACCTAAATAAATTAGTTATACTAATAAGGTTATTCGATAAACTAGTTGTCCAAAAATTGTGTAGTCATAGTGAATGTTTAATACAAATAGGCTTTTTGTAATTGTTCAACTGTAACCATAAAATTTCTCCTTAAAACTATTCTCCGGAAAAATTTCAAAGTATGCAAGCGAAATATACAAGTAAACAAAATCTGGAATTAGGTAATGCTTTATGCAAAAAAATATCACCGGTTAGTGCTTTGATAATGAGTTTGAGTAGTATACAAACACTTCATTTCGATCAGTCCTTTAGTTCATTAGTTCACCTTATTCGGTGAAGCATACTGGTCGTAACTCGGATTGTTAAATGAGTAGATCCTAATGAAAACTTTACCGATATCGTTATCATAAATATGAACAGTGTGAAGATAAACCAAACATTTAGAGAAAAATCACTGTTTCTTTATTTCTAATAATCATTTTTCTAATGTATAGTTTAACAAGTCAACTTTAAATTATGTAACCAAAAATAATAAATTACTTCTGGATTTTCATCTTTCAAACCAAAATTAATCCATTCACATAGAATCTCATCTTCCAGAAGAAAATTAACAGTATCCAAAGAAGAAGATGGATTTGCAGCAAAATTTGGATGAATAGCAACCTGTCGAAATATGTAGGGTACAAAGAACATTGACGTTATCACCAAATAGAGTATTTCATACAAATACATCTTCAAGTATGAAAGATGTAGTAAGTATTACGATGTTTTACTATGACAGGAATGTCCTTCGGGCTCAATTAATACAAACTGCGTAACGCTCACTATTATTCATAATGGATTGATAGACAACTTGTGGATATAGATTCTAAACCTTAGTCACATCTAATTCAAAAGTTAGTTCTTCACCATGGATTGGACAATGGCTAAACAATAATCAAAAACCAGGAAGCAATGGACAACTGCTTAAGATTCCTAGTATAGGGGTTGTGGAGATTATTAAGTTTTTGATTGAGATCATGAACCGATTGATGATAGACCACCACCATTGAAAACCTGGAAGCACTGGATGGCCGTTTCGTCCTACTGTGGGACTCCTCAGAGTGCGCATCCACGAACCCGCTCGTGGGATTCGAACCCAGGGCCTTCGGTCTCGCGCGCGAACGCTTAACCTACTGGACCACCGAGCCGGCATCCAATGGTGATAGTGTCTAACATCAACCAATCCACGAAATTACGCGACCATCTTCCATTGTACTGAGGAAGAAACCTGTCTCTACCTGACATGGATTGGCTCCACTGATCATGGTTGATGTTAGACACTATCACCATTGGATGCCGGCTCAGTGGTCCAGTTGGTTGAGCGTTCGCGCGCGAGACCGAAGGCCCTGGGTTCGAATCCCACGAGCAGGATTGTGGATGCGCACTGCTGAGGAGTCCCACAGTAGGACGAAACGGCCGTCCAGTGCTTCCAGGTTTCCAAAGGTGGTGGTCTAACATCAATCGGTTCATGATCTCAATGTTTAAGATTCGTTATAAATGCCCACACAAGAGCTCTCATAAAATCGAACAAAAGATATCTAGGTCTCGCAAACTGGCCAGTGTGTTGAGGTTATATATTTCACGTTTCCAACTTCAATCAGTTCACTAACCATGTGCTCTTCCTTATGTAAATTCCTGGAGATTTAATAAAGAACAGTGACCAGTTAATTACGACTGCAATAGGAATAGGACAAATATCAATGGTCAAATTGAATGGTTGTTACACAATGTTATAAATTGACTGAAGTTGTGAATATGAGCTACTGGATACTAACTTAACGGACATAAAATTCGAGGTTTGTAAATGAGCAAAAACGAGTGATTCCCTGATTGGCAATTATTCATCAACTAATCTTGATCTGTGAGGAAAAAATAAACTCAATAACTGTATTCACCAGAAATCTCAATATTAATATACGACTACTGTACAATATATTTCAACGCTAAAATAAAGATTTCAAAATGTGAATTGAATCATGCTAAAACAAACAAACCGAAACATTTATACTCGTTATTTTCAAAGATATAATAAAACTAACTTTCAGCAGTTTAAGTATTTGAGAATATGTAGCCTTGCGAATAGCTACCAACTCATGGCTAAGTAACCGAAGTAAGACAAGTTGACCACGCCATAAAACAGTTGATGATGTATTTTGATGTTTTACATAGCTGTGAATTTATCAAAGAGAGAAAAATATTATTTAGTATTTACTTTAAACATGAAATGATCAGAAACTACAATACAGTTTTTTTGAAAAACAAAAGAGCTTAAAATAAGCATATTATAAATGGAAAATATATATACATGCAATTATCTGGTACCTTTTGCAAACTGTTCAAATCAATAAGTTGGACTGACTTGCAGTCTACACAGGCAATTACGCTACACAATCTAGTAATGAATAAACACAAAAAACATTCACTCAATACCATAGAAATTTTGCTTATCTTTGCTGAATATAGTATAAGTGACGATGAACGAAATGAATAAGTGATGGTTAAACAGTATAATTAGGACGTATTCAGTCGACTGAAAACAGCAATGTAAGATAAGTTGTCTTGTTAAAGAACTATATTTACTTTATTTATGTACAATATATAATCCCAATATTAGTTTATACGCTTTGCCATTAAAGGCTAATAATACTACTTAGATAAAATTAAAAGAACATTGAGAGCTGGAAAACATTTTTGCCGCAGAAAACATGAACCTCTCAAATGCATGACGAGACTATGTGCACTCAGCTCATTGCAATCAGACGTTCCTCAAATGCTGTCATAGATCAGTTTTGTCTACTTCTATTCTTATTGTAACAAGCACAGTAAAACGTTTGAACTCTATTTCTTCTTTCCTGAAATGAACGGAACTACTTCTAATACATGGAAATAAACGACATAGCCCATGCTATAATAGAATTTTCGCATACGAAGATAATCCTTTAATCATTAAACATGAATCCTCTCAAAAGTATACAACAAAATAGTTATTTTTAAAGAAAATTATCTTCATAACGGACAAACGTTGTGCATTTCAGTACAGTGCCAACAAAACCAATTACTTTAATCAATCCACAACCTTCGTCTCCAATGACCATGGTGTTAATAAGAAACACTAGTGCAAAAAACAAAGTGTACGAGTATTTAAAATAAGACTGACAGAATATGACTTGAGAACCTATGTCTGACAAACCGAAAAGCTCTTTCATTGAGGGTCACCATATTCCTCTTATCAACTAGTTATTATTCATGAGATAATACTCCAACTACTCTAGACTCCATTTTTTAAATAACTTATCTTGATTGGCCAACTGCCTATCAGGAAGCTGAACAGTTTAATCTAGTGCACAAAATGCATCAACATAATTATTATAGCCAGTTACTACAGAAAATAGATGACAGAGTTAACCAATATCTGTTGAATGTATGAACAAGTAATCGCGTTCCACCGTCTAGTAATAAACGTAATGATTCATCTATCACCGAAATCATGCTAGCAGTAACGGAAGATCAACTCAGTTATTAACACGGTAAGAAGTAATGTCTTTTTTTATTTTAACACATAGATATTGGTACAAGGAGGTACCAAATGCATATGCGCCACACAAATCCCATTTGATTTGTGTGAGAGTTGTGATACTGTCCGGGTGCCCAAACCGAAGCAGATGGTTTTCTTAGGGGGCCACACCCGGAGCCTTCGACATGAAGGTCTGATCCACAAGGCAATGGAGCACCGTGAGGAGATGCAGTCCCATGGTAGCCGGCGACCAACAATCTGCTCATACGCCATTTGTTCCTTCAGGATACTGGAGCCCATGTGTACCATTGGTTTGGAATCAGGGTTTTCCAACTCCCCTAGGTGGACTCTCTATGTCCACCAACCCGGTTAAAGCGCCGGACATTCGCTTTTCGTCCTCTCATTTTTGACAACAACACCCTCACTACGAGAAGGCAATCAGTAGGACTTCCCTGGCAGAGGCTATATACGCGTGGACATGTGAAAGCATTTCGAGAGGGAGTGGAATCTCCCCACTCTTGGCCGTACCAGGGCATTTGAGGGCTATTCAATAACAAACCTAACTATTATACATGGATTGCGAAGAACTACCAAAAGTGAGAAGATAAGATTGAAACGAAGATGCCTTCCAGAACTAGGTACATCAACTGATGATACAGGTATTGCACGTTTTTCCTTTTCCGAACAAAATGCTTTTAATAGGTTGAACCACGAAGTTATCTGATATCGGATCATTTTTATAATTCAGCAGAACTATATGGTGAATAAATATGTTTCCCATTCATAAAGATTAGAGCAGTGGCTCAGTTATCGATGTGTTAGGCTTTCCACTTATTTCGGCTTAGGCCCCCACTCACCCTTGGGATATGGCTAGAAGTACGTGAATTCATACCTAGTAAGTTAGATTTGTTCACGGAAATAATTCTTTTAGTTTATAACAATCTAAAAATCCAAGAAAAAGTAGAGTTTGGAACTTACAATTGACTCAGAAACTCTACAAAGTTAGAAGCGAAACGAGTTGATCCGGTGATTTCAAGTGAGTTCACAGCATCCACAGCTAAATTCAAATTGGTTTCATTAATCTATCAAAGTAAACAACCATCTAAGCTAGATTTTATTATCAATGCAAAATGATAAATAAAAGCAATCAAGTTAGCTAAAACACTGCTTCAAACAATCAACTATCTTAATCATTCTTATTTTGAACTCTAATTATTTTCTATCAAAAACAATAAATATTTGTTTTAAACAAAGTACGAGAATCTAAAACGTGGTACTTAAAAAACTAAAGTTTTAGTTCAATATTAAGATATAATCAAATGATAAACATATAACATAAAACATATAAGTAATGTATCTAGTTCAAGGAATAGGTACCTTGTCATTAGAAGTAGATAAAAGTGAAATTTCACTGATATCAAGAAAATCAATCAAATGAAAAATAGATGTTTGAAGTTGTTGTAAAAGTAACCAAGTTGTGTAAATTGTAAAGTTGAATAAAGCTACATAGGCTGGTAGTCCAATTTTTTGTGATTCGTTTCTAGGTTCTGGGTTAATTAGTAATGACATGTCCAACAGAGCAACAGATAACTGGTTTTTAACATTGGTGGGAAGAACGGCCAATGCCTAAATGGACAAAATCTAATTAGTTTTAGCTGTAAAATTTACAACGTTAAGCAATAAAACATCAAAAAATACACTAAGGTGAAATATATAGCTTATTTAACCCCCGGAAATTTATATAAAATAATAACTTAATAATAATGATAAATAACAATCACCATGAGAACCTTGAGTTTTCATCCAATTTATTAGTCTTCACGACTTTATCGATTTCAATTTAGTTTATATTACAAGTTATTATTGGTCGAAGAACCGCTAGAAACTTTAGAGTACAGAGCACCTGTTTCATCTGGATAGAAAGAAGGCTTGTAAATTACTCAATGAGAATCGATAGGCAAATATCTTCTAATCTAATGCGGCTTCTAAAACTGTGCGAGTATGGTTTAATTTATTTGTTTCTTACCTAGTGTTATAATGTGAAAAATATTTGCTGCGGATTAAGGGGTAGCGAATTATTGATCGGACCAAAGACGCGCAACACGTAGAACGACCTAGGGTTCTGATTGGTCTCGCTTCCCTGTCTAACCCAGCCAGTTGAGTCCAGAACGAAAGTCACAGCCTCGGATATATGAATCACTATATTTCAAACATACTTTGTTTATATACCAGTCAAGCAGTCCACAACGTACCACAAAATAGAAAATAACATTGTACAATAATGGCCAGTAGGAAAATAACACGTTAAATAAATATTGACCAATAAGATTATACCATTTCATGTCCAAGGATAGCATTAGGACTAGCAGAATAATCTTTGGGATATTTTCCTGAATATCCCAACACCTAGACAACTGGTTACACTGGCCCATTCCATAATGTGAGAGAACATCAACTTATGCCATGTGATTATCCCGATAGCTGAATGTCTGACACTATATTCTGATAGCGATTTGGAAGCCATTAATTATTAAAGGGGAAAAAACAGCTGTCGAATTTTAACTAGCCCGGAGATCAACTAAGAGATTTGAATTTCATGTTTAAATCAGTATATATCATGCAATAATTATTTCAAAACAATTTGAATTTGAAGTAGTCTGGTTCATTTTATCATGAAAACTATCCGAACAGAATAATCTGGTCTTTAACTGTCTACCATTAAAAATGTCAAGTTTTTTTAATTTAATAAGTTTAATATAATAATAATCATGATTCTAATTAAATAATAAACATACCGTTTCTGGAGTGAATAAAGAGCTAATCAATTGAAATATTTTAGTAATCAAACCAAAATAAGTTTGTCGTTCACATTCACCGGGTAAATTAGCTTTATTAATATAGTTGACCATCTCAAAAGTATTCCAACTTATGAGAGATTCCATGATTGTTGCATTATCATGAACTTGATTGGTTGAATAAACGGACAAAACCGAACCTAACTGTTCCATACATGTATAAAAGTCAGGTGGCTAAATAAATTACGCAATAAGATAAGATAGAAAAACTTAAGTTTTTTATCTCATTATGCAATAAAATTTAGAAATATTCCATTAAAAACTATAGTAAATTCGAATCTAATATTGTAAAATGGTTTAAACTAATGAAACCATCTGTAGAATATAAGGAAAAGAGGTTGAATAATTCAGTTCTAAAGTCAGTATAGTGTAATTTTATAATGTACGAAAGTTTATACGATATTTGCTGACTAAATCTTGTAACTGTAGTCCAGGTCGTTAGAATGCTATGTTAAACAATGAAATCAACTAAAGTAAATGAAAAACATGAACTGTAATATCATTCGAGTATAGATTGAAGTTACAGTTTGGTAATTCGATTAAACTTCATTTCAAATTCATTTAATCTTTCTTGTAAAATACCAACATTCAAAATGGAACATTCACATATTAACTCATCAATTATTTAACATTTCTTCCTATGTGGTATTATTTAACTGAAGGCGAGTTGAATAAGCATTGTCGAGATGTCACCATAAAAAAATATGGTACGATATTTGGAATTAAGACTAATTAGATTGAGTTATTCAAGCACTAGAGTCAGTCAATCAGTCAGTCAGCTAAAAGGTAGGATCAGGCAAATATATGCATCGTTCCAAGTAGCATAACAAGATGAACGTCAAATTCATAGAAGTAGTTACTTCAACGGTAGTAATATATAAAGGAAAGATTGCATATAAAAATATGATACAGAGAGAAATAGTTAGTTCGTAGAAAGACAGGTATAAAGTAATTTTTATCTCATGGTTTAAGAGAAGACAAATAGTGTATACGCCCACACCATTGTGATAGATTCTGAGCCATGTCATCCGACCGTTGCTGCCACCTTGACGTGGTGGTCGGTCTTGCCTATGATAATGAACCACTCGGGCTATACTGGCTGGAAAAGTCGTTCCTCAGGGCCCTACCTTGCCAGACAGGTCGGTAAGACTAAAAGCAGTAAACCCAATGTCCAAGGGCAAGGTGGTACTGCTGACTGTACAGAGGTGTGAAGGCAGTAAGGTGTTTCCTTCAGACAACCAGCATAACAGCAATGCTGCCTTCCCACAATAAAGGGTGGGGTTAGAAAAGGTCAACCCTACAAATGCGCACCTCGCCTTATCCCACGGACTTCCATCTCCGTTGATAAAATCTCAACAAGTAAGGAGCCAACACAAAAACTACTCACAAGAAGGTTGTGTGTGACCGGTCTCAAGAATTTGTCCCTTGGGCACTGCGGTCACTCTCTCAGGTCACTAAGATCAACTCTAATCTAATTTTCTTTTCAGGTACCTTTAGAAGTGCTAGAGTTTTCAGATACCAAGTTGAAAACGGCTAATTCAAAACATATAGCGACCACGAATCTTTTTTTCAAAAATTAGTCATTATGTATGTTGTTCTACGCTTATTTTTCCTGTAATTATGCTAATTAATCTCACAATATATAAATCCTATAATCTGAACTTACCGATTCAGAAGATTTAATAAGGTCGACAGCAGGAGGAACAATTAGGAATACTGCGTTGATAAATGACATAGGGTCGCTTGTTTGATTCTTTTGACAAAACTTGTCATATTGATTTGTATAACGATGAGGAGATAAACTAGTCAGTAACAAATTGATCCCAACATCGAGAAGGAGTAGAAAATTAGACTCCAATTTGTATTCCCAGTCATGCTTACTACAACTTGTATTGATGTGTGATGTCTTACAGGCATTTTGTTTTGTCGATTGGTTACGATAATCTAGGACTGTTAATAACCCACTACCTATTACGTTGAATAACTGGAAGCAAAAGTCTAGCATTGAATAAGACTGTTTCTGTACGTCTTCGTCGGAATATCGAACTCTTGTTCCTGGAGTGGTAGATCCACAAACTCTGGGTTGTGTTGAGTCATTGATGAACGTAAAAAATGTTTGCTCAGTTTCACTGAAGAGTTTGGAAACAATTAGATTTTTATGGATAATACACAGGCTATAGATAATTATGTACGAATGTCATAACGTGAACGTATTGAAATCAAGTGACCAAATATCTAACTACGGCAATAAATAAGAAAACTAGTCACTTTCCATCTTAGAGTAACCGCATAGCAAGCAAAATAACACTGGTTTCATAGGCTTTAAGTTTAATTAGATTATATATTCTTATGTGCAGCTTCGCTTACTTATGTTTTATTTTTATACAGATGAAAAGTCATTGAGAACATTCAGTTGAAATAAACTAAGCTTACCACAAATGTTCAAGTGCTATAGTGAATTTCAATGGCCTGAAAATACTAAAAGCAGGGAGTGTTGTAGCTGTTTAAATCATTATATCACATAAAATCACTTTGAAAAGAATAAAATAGTGACCAAGCATGATCAATACATATCTTAGTTAACATAAACGATTCAAGTTCACAACCCAAAATCTAAAATAAAACTTTCACGTCACTACTTTACAGTTCAAAAACAAATAAATGATACTAGGAAACACTGAATTAAGATTTCGGAATATTACATCTTATCTGAAATTGAAAATATGAACTACTGGATTACTACTCAGTAGCTGAAATTCAGCCAATTATGCGACAAAGAATGAGTGCTTCTCAAAACTTGAAAGCCAAATGGAAACAGACGATGAATAATAAATGGTGGAGAACTTACCTCTTACTATTATTCAGAATAGACATCAAACAATGTAAAAATTTCAAGATCAATGAATAAATCAATGTCAAATGGGTCAAATTTAGTCGGTATCCGCAATGACTTTGTGGGAAATTGAATATGATAATTATTGTTATTGAATATAATACAGAAACAATCAGGCATAAACTGATATTGGACTTTTATCAACATAAACGAAACATCTAGATGTATAGCCAGCAACTGTGGTACAGTGTATGGATTGTGGCTAGCAGTGGAATCCAAAGCGCACATTTTCTTTTTATTAAGGACTAGTAAAGTGGATTTAATTGCATCTCAGTCTTAGTGTTCATGAAGGGACTTGAACCCACAACATATCTATTGTACAAAACTTACGACAATATGGGTAAATCTAGGCGATCCACACACAACGTAAATTTGCTCATTAAGACTGGTTAAAACTCAATGAAGAATATTAACAATAAAATAATTAAAACTTCTACAGATTAGATTGGATGCTACTGTGGTTTCGATTATGAAGTATGTTGGTCAGCATCGACGCACAGTTTAGCATAAATGTGCGTTGACCTACTGTGGTGTGTACTACGGATGTCGACAGATACAACTGTGGTGCGTGCTACTTATAATGACATAAGTAGTATATGACGCGAGTCAGGAATGTAATGTCTGGCAGCAGAAGATGGGGAAGATCAAGAAAGGAAGAGCGGGAATAGAAAGCAATTAGTATGGAAATGCAAGAACAACGAAGTTTGTGACAATTATTGAACATTGTGCAAATTAAGTATTAAAGTATGGTTTTTCTATTTTACCAACTAACTCTGTAATTTTGCGCTAAATATAATTCGATTGTCCCCACCCGTGTTCTGTTCACTACACAAGTAGTGTGTTTCACCATTCGGAAGTGGAATGACTGGCGGCAGGTTAAGATGGAAGAGAAGAGAACGGGAATAGAGATTGATTGGTGTGGAAACGAAGGAAGAATCATGTCTGCGACAATTGGTAGACATTTTGCAAATGAAGTATCTACAGTATGGTTCACAGATGTTACTAAGAAACTATGTAATCTTATGTTTAGGTACACTTATTTTTCCCCATTGGTGTTCTCGTTCACTACAATAGTTTTCTGTACCATATTGGCACGATGAAATGAAGTGAACAAGATCAACACCAAAAGAGGATCAAATAGTAATAATGGGTAAGACCGAATATTGGAATGTTTCGAAAAGACATTCGAAACATTCAGACAGTCCATTTGATTATCAAACTCGGAAATGTTGACATACCATATATACACTTACTGTGTTCCCGAAGGGCCAGAGGACGGCATCCGGTCACCAGTTTCTGAGGTGTGTGTTTAAAAAATCAATAGTATGTTTTCTCCATTATTGTTAATTTTAAATCGAAAAACAAAATTAATATGTACATATCTAAAAAAACATCCAAAGGTTCAATGAATATTAAAGATAACTACCGATCGAAGCATTTACATGGCGATCTTTGTTTATATTTATATATTGCATTTTGACCTAAAGCATCACCCTAGACGAGTTTCATACAAAATACATTTGGTCTATCAGTGGCGAAATATGAGATATACAGATTTTACTGATATAGTTACTAACCATTTAGACTCAAGTTCGTGAAATGAACTTAGTTTTAAGAACTGAAGTATATGAAAAAAATCAATCTATTCGGCGGGTTTTATTGAAGCCTATTAAGGAGCAACACTAATTTTAAAAAAGGTAGACCAGGAGTGGAAAACTCGAAGTAAACAAGCACGGTTTAAACCCAACGCTTAAAGTACTGGCAAAGTTCTTCATTTTTTCGCTAAACATATATACAAACCAACTTTAATTTTAACCAAGGTTTTTAATTTCACTCTTTTTTAATGTCTAAGACTGAGAGCTCTACAAAATAAGTGTTCAACTGGTTTCAATCATTAATAATCCCAGTTTGTAGCAAATGGGAAGAATTTTGTGTATTAAAGTTTCTCACAACAATTAATCATAAACCGAAAATTTCGAGTACACTTAGTACCATTTACTGCAATTCCGTATGATATTTGAAAGATCAATCACTTGAGAAACTTCACTTTATTTGCTAAAAAGTCAAAAACTGTGTTCTTTTATATATTCACGGGAAGTATGAAAATGGGTGTAAAAAGTAAACACTAAACCACCAATATAATTGCAAGTTAATTCAAGTTGTATAAAAATGATCAACTAAAATTATTTTTCTGAAATATCCAAGTCCACCTATTATATAGACAAATAAGTTGTCTTAAAAACCCACCCAATACTAAAATCAGATTTGGCTTTTAGAATTCTCTCGAAGCGAAATTCAATAAACCTAATATTTCACTTTTATTCCTCGTATTCCTTCTTATTGTATAAGTTTAATTCATATGGAGAATAGATGCTTGTTTACTTCATGTCTCTAGTTGTGAAAATCTGAACAATTGCCTTCTCCATTACCCGAAACCACAGGCATGTATAGAATCTTATAATAAAACTCATGAGCCATTTTTTAAGAAAGGTAAGCTTACGACTTGAATATACGTAATTGTTAGGATCCAAGTGATAATAAATTCTTGTGATAAGAGCACGACAAAGGCTAATCAAACAACTGGTAGCTGAATAAACGATCTCCAAATTCTTTTCATTTAAAATTCGAAAAAGATTCTACATAAATAGAAACACATGTAGTGATATAAAAATTGGCAAAAACGTGATGGATATAAAATGTGTAAAGTTAAAATTAATACACTTTAGTAAACTACAACATAATCATGTTCAGTATGTTGTCAGTAGCATTTTGAGAAAAACCTCATTTATTGAGGTAGAATTCAGTAAAAATATATGCGTTGTGACGTAAAGTACAAAAGAGGGATTTTGTAAGAGATAAGATTAATAAGTCAGTCATTCTGTCATAAGGAACGTGGAACCCGGCAATATGTGCATCGATTCAAGTTTCCAAACTATATCAGCACGGCAAGATTCTAGATTAGTAAAAGTAGTGACGATATTGAGTGCAAAATACATGGTCCAAGAAAAAGATGTAGACTCTTGAAGTAACAAAGATTAGGATAATTAAAAGACCTAGAGGCTAAGGGAAGACAAGGAGTGAATGCATCTGCTCCATAGCAAACAATTCTGAACTATTTTATTCAGAGTTTTTGACAACTAGTTATAGTAATTGCTTTGACCACAACCAGATGGTCTGTATCTAATTATGTGACTCAGTTCAACGGTTATTGACGTTATGTGATGATGTAAAGTTTTAGTCTGACCGATTCTTTCCTTCTTCCGACCTACTTCTACACCAGACACGCGCATAGAGGTAAGTGGGGGTTAGAAATATATAATACATGTCCAAACCTCCACAACTGATCTGGTATCCTCACTAAGTGCCCAATTTCTGACCTCAATATTCTTCACTTAGTGACCCCATAACACATGATCAATGATTAGGAGACACCTATGATCCAACAAAAATCCTCTAGTCTTGACAGTCACGATTCACAAGCACAACAATTATTAAGTTATTGAAACTTACTAATCAAGTGACAATTCGCGCACATAGCTTTCAGTAAGGAAGATAAATGAGGATAGAAAATATCAGAAAGTAAGTATAAGACCAAGAATAGTTCGAGAGCATTCAGTAAAATTGTATGTACAAAAAGAAAAGTTTACAGTATATACGAATCTGACCGCGATTTTGAAGTATGGTCAATAACCTCTTAATCTGGTTATTTGCATCATTCTAGGACCTCATTCAGGTAGTTCTGATACATCAACAGATCCAACCACAACATAATTCCCTTTTACTCTTCAATGTCACTTCATAAAACTTAGCTTTTTATAACCTGTACCAAATTTATCAGCGACTGCCTAATATAAAAGAGCTAATCTACGATCAAATTAGCATAAAGAGGATTTCAAAAATAACCGGCTATCTACACATCACTAGTGGCTTTCGTACTCAAAGGTTAATCTGTCACTCCCTCAATGGTATAATGATGTTCCTATTGTCCCTACTACCGGCTAGACCAAAGTACAAAAACATCAGTTTGCCTAAAGACAATTTCTTCTTGTAGTCAAAATATTAGGATATCGAGCATGGTTAAAAAGTGATACTCGAGAAAAAACCTTATGAAAAAAGGTAACTTATGCAGATTAAGAGATAGACCAGAAACTTAGCACTTCATAGAGCTGAAGTAACCAAAGTACTGAGATATAAAATGTTAACTTATACAACAGAGAAAACTGTCTTTTACCTCTATGAAATCAGTTCTTTGAAGAAATAATTCGGCTGGGAAGTCTTTAAGTACAACATCATGGAGAAAGCGAATACCAGAAATACAAATATTAGGTTCCTTTGAACAGAGAGATCTGAAGAGTCAATTCTTTGGAAAATGAGAATAACCTACTTTAAAGTTGTGCATAGAACACCGACATCGTCTTTTGTAAGCACGACAATGGGAAAATATAAGAAATGACTTCCTAAAATAAGGAAAATATCAAACTAGTTCGGACTGAGGATCAACGTACATAGTTTGCAAAAAATATATTTGCAACATCAGCCAAACTGAAAATCAGTCTCATGAATTTACTAATAGAAACTTCTGATTGAATACACTAGGTAACATAGTTCATAATCATCTCATTTCTGAAGACGAATTCACCACAAGCCATATTTGAAACCCTGAACAGTCTCATCTTATTTATTTTCCCTTTTCGGCTCACGGTAATGCTGCCAGCTCAAACTTCCTTTGCGTTGTGATTTTCTGTTTGTCCTGTTTAGGAGCTTAACAAGTTAAATATGAAGCGTCTAATAACCCAAGTTTCTTATAACACATCTATATCACATTCTATTAATTAGGAAGTCTAACCCTGAATACATGTAATATTACTATTATATACGATGAAGAAAGATGAAAGACGAAACCTATAATACAAATAAACAGAATGTAACAAAAACCGTTTACAATATCAGTGTAATTACATTCTTGCCATAACCACACAGTGGTGGAAATAACCTAATTTGGTGGTGAAACTCAGAAGAAAGTTGTGAGTTACTTTTAAAAACATGGTTTCATATACTTTCACCTAGATATACTAGCTATTTTGTATCAATGAATCACTATTGTGTTACGAACATGCACAATTAGTACTGAACTTACGTTGTCCCACGAGGAAAAAAAATACTTCAAGACATTTTAACCAACCAAGTAACTTAAGTAATTAAAGATCTTACCGAAACTATCAGCCATCTTTTTCACTACCTAGATCATGTATTAACTTAAAGTCCAGAAAATGAATTCTCATCTGATGGTTAATTCTACGTCGATCATCTCCATACCGACCCGGATTGATTTAATGCACTTTGAATTCTACTATGTAAAGACAACTGTTTGATCTCGTTCAGTTATATATCTTTTGAACATCTTATTAAGTTGATGTTAAAAGTCGTCAGTCACCAGGTAAGATGCCGTAAATAGTTCCTACGACTGATCTTCACAAATTCGGAAAAAAAGACGAGTAAATCTTTCCTGGTGCTAGCAAAGCACAAACTCTAGTTTTGAAGTAAATGAATGAGGTACGTTTGTTTTATGAATGTACATAAACCATGATCATTAACGAGGACTAGAGGACTTAACTACTTTTTTGCCACCTAATATATATTACACCAAGTTACTGAGTACTTCCCATCTACTTCATGAAAGCAAACGAAAAACTTACGACAGACTTGGTTGAATGAATAGGACGATGTAAACTGGTTTAAATCTAAGTTATTGGTATTTCCTTGTGTAACAGATAAATTGGACGAACCTTTACGAGTTTGCGAGAAATCTGGTGAAGTAGGCATTACAAAATTGGATTCAGTAGAATTTAGATCACTGTATTCCTGTATTCCTTTTAGAGTATTATTCTTGAAATCTCTGGTTGTTTCAATTAAGGACGGATCCTCAGTAATCAAAACGCATATGTCATCAATATCCCTTTTTAATTCACTGTTTGATGTCGAATTACGCATCTTTGTGAGCACAGAACATCCTCCAGCTAATGCTAAAAGTGTTTTGGTTTCGGGATTCTAGAACAAAGACTAGGTAATTAATCTCAAGCCTTACCAGAAGCAGTTTTTTGAGTATCGTAAATATGCGATTGGTTTCAAAAGATGGACTCTGCTCCAAAGAGAACAGCAGTACTTTAACAAGTTTCGACAGAAATTTCTTATCTGATGGCAATAAACCTCGATTTAATTTCGACTGAATATTGGCTAAAGTACGACATCTGATCTCTTCTACAGGATTATCTTCTAAACGAATCAAAGTTTATTTTTACGTCACTTACTCAGTTTTTCGATGAGAAGGTTGAACTGGTCAGTATTACACATTCGGAGAGAGTGACAAATTTATTTGCGTCCTTCTCACTATTAAGTCGTATTTCCGCAAAAAGTGTTAGAAACCAATCAGATTACTGTATTTCTGATGACCTTAAAAGTAAAGAACCACTTTTTCCTTGGGATGTGTAATGAATTTAAACCTGACATTAGCACTCCTAGTTCTAATCTTCAAGTTGTTTTATCTGGTAGCTTCGTTACTGCAAATCTGCCATCTAATATTTTTTGCTCACTATTGTATATACCAACGGATTCGTTTGCATTCACTTCTTGTTTTTTAGATAATGTTCCAGGTATTTGTTGATGATTAATCGGCGGCGTCTTAACCACTCTGATTCATTACTTCTAGCAGTTTTGTAGTTATTAATCGACTTTTACATCTTTCAGTTTGAGTGGGTAGGTTTGTCTCAGAGAAGTAGGTATACTGGATACCAGCAACTGTCGCATTACCGTGCATGTGGTTGGTTAATTGAGATGTGGAAATAATAAAGTGATAATTGGAGTGCCCTGAGGAAATGACTGTCCCAAGAATAATAAATAAGTTAATTAATTGGTAATGTATAAGAAAACGGGATCAAAAGAATAAAGGGAAAAGTGGGCGGTAATAAGAGACGTAGGAAATAATTACTGATATATAGTAATGATAACCGCGAACATTTATCGGAAATGCATCAGATGGCTGGTCCAAGAGAAGGATGGTAATTCATTGATGAGTACGATCTCATCAAGTCTCTTCCTAATGCTAACCACTGATGGGGTTGTGGTCACTTCGGCTGGAAGTGCATTTCGAATGTAGGCAGCTTACTTTACCTAGGCCTGCTACCCCTTGTGGAGTAGCTTAGGCCGCCCACCAGCATCCTCCATCCAACTCTGTCAATGAAAATCCTTTCCAGATGTCTCCTGTCGCCATTCATTCATTTGATGTCTGCTTCCGATTCTCACCGCTGCGTGTTCATTAGTCTTCCCTATTTTCTATCAGCAAGTTGGCGACTGCTTTGTTATGCAGTTTGATTATTTCCCTAATGTATGTCCCATCTATCAAGTTCCTATTTTCATAATTTTCTGTCCAGATGGAAGTTGGTCTAGTCTCCCATAGTAGGCTGTTGCTGATGGTATCCAGTCAATGGATACTGAGTATCTTACGTAGAAAATTGTCTATAAATGCTTTTTAAAATGACGGTTTTGACTGTTCTCCAGGTTTTAGCTCCGTATACTGGAACTCTTTTGACCTCCGTATTGAAGATTGGGACGTTGATGTTGGTTGACAGTTGTTGTGAGTTGCATATGTTCTTCAACCGTAGGAATGCTGACCTTACTTTACCAATCTTTGAGTTTACGTTTGTATTAGTTCCTTCTTATTCATCGATGATTCTGACGATGTACGTGAAAGTTCCCACCTCTTTTAGTGCTTCTCCACCAAGTGTAGATGATGGCAAATATTAGTGAGAGAGAGAGTGGGAGCGTAACTGAATGTTCACTCTTTTATATGCAACCTTCAAAACGTTATCTCATGAAGCTTGGTCTTGATGTTTTGGTTTTACTCCCGTATTGGAGTAGCTTGGCGTACTTAATATGTTGTATGTCACCATCAGATCACCCCTTATTCTCCTACAGCTCAACGAAAACGATAGCAGGTGTTAGTGCCTGTCCTCGTAAGATTCGTGTTTTACCCAATCATACACTTAGTTCCGGGTTTACACAATTAGTCCAGAAGATTTATACCTTTTTTGAAGAAATGAGGTGCAAGGACATTTCGAAACTTAAGTTGAAGCAGTGCGCATTCTTTAAACAGTTTAAGGAGAAACTCTGAGGTGACTGAGTAGAGTTACATTTGAATAAAGTGAACAGTTACGCTTAACTTGACTGAATCCTCCACGAATTTGGAGCCAGTGTATAAGTTCTTTATAGTTACATGCTCGTGATCACGCTCTGAAGAGACAATCGGGAGTGGATTTCTATGGCAGATGTAAGTCTTCTGCGCTAAATAAAGCAGAACGTTCATGAAATAATATTTCGATATGTTAAGCTTCACCCCATTGTCTAATGCCTATTCCTCTTTTATTGTAAGGTTCTTTTTAAAACCAAGTGGATCATTTTCAATTTTATAGATCTCCAGACCTTTGTGTCGTCTGCACAGATCAGTACTGCCAAGCCAACTTTGTCTAACAAGTTGTTAATAAAGATTAAGAACAGGAGTGGACCTAAAATTATTCCCGATGAAACTCCTGATATAGAGACCTCCAAACTCGTGTGCCTTCTATTTAACTTCATACAAAACATCCTATTCCCTAGTGGTCTTCGAGCAGGGATAAATTTGGATTAGTGAAACACATCTTTGCAACCTTCACTATGAGTATTACATGAGACTACGTGTCAAAGACTTTCGACAAATAGAGGAATCGTACATAACTCGGTACCTTTAAGTCCCGGAAGGTCATCCAGGTTCTCCAGGTTGTGAGAAGTCTTCATGGGGAACATTTTTTTTACTCATGAATTCGCTTATTTGCTCACTGACCAGTCCTTCCATTAATTTTGACACTACTGAGAGTAATGCCTCTGAGTTCTACATGCTGGGTCTTCTCTACATCCTCCTTTGAAGATTGACGTTTAATGAGCTTTCATTCTCTTTGCCAATCGGTGTGAGTTAAGTGAGTTTTTGAACAGGTCACACACTGATGTTTGATACTGTTTCAGGATTAAAGATCGGATGTTGCCTAACACGCAGACATCTTAGCCTTTTGTATTAACCCAAGAGTTAGTTAGACAACTCACAGACCCACAACCAGCGCTAATGTTGATAGGTGTTCTATGCCTTCAAGCTTCTAGTTTAGTTAGTCCATTAAGTTTACGTTACAAAACTCTGCTACCTTTAAATTATTGAGGAATTGTCACTTGGTCTTTTGAAAGTAGAGATACTCTGGTTTATAGGCTTTCCCCTAATGATGATTCGGCAGAAATATTAAGAGTTAGTTTGTTATTCGGTTGATAGCTTGCTTTGAACACATCTCGTATTGCTGCGAACTTCAGCGACGAATCTACTTCTCAATGTCAAGTGAAAGCAACAATCAGAATACTTTGGTGAGACTTTATTTTTACTGGGCTCTTTATTTGGTCTGTGACAAAAGACACATACCTTGCTCAACCCAGAATCTTAGGTGTAGCCTAGATGAGGATTATTCTCGTCCCTCCGAAGTAGACCTGATCCTAAGTTTATAGATTTGTCATGATGTAACTGCCTAATCTATGATATCTTACGTGGAAATCACATCATTGTCCACACCAACTCATCGCATCGTAACAATCACCAATATATGATGGAGAAAATACTTGGGCCAGAGATAGAACAAGATATTCGGTATGAATGAAAGATTGTGTGACTACACTTAGGGGTGACATCGCCTGCAATACCGAGCCATGCCGTCCGATCAATACGAATTAATTCAGTTCATTTTCCCCGTCTTCTCCATCGTTGAGTTTTTTCCACGTTAAATGTAAAATATCAACCTTTCAAGTTGTCTCGTCTTCAGCTTTGAGGGTTGTGTGGTAAGGGCCCAATGCCACCACATTCAGCTAAGTAGTGACCTTGTGGTAGTGTTGAGTCGCAGTTGACTATGATCACCACTGCAGATCGATTACGTGCCAATTACCAAGTTAAATCCCCCCGTAGGATAACTATTAGAAGGGCAGTTTTGGATTGTAGTTAGGATATATTTGTTTGTGATCTTGTGGTATCGAAACAATATTGAAATCATGACAAAGTTTACAAATGAGACTACCGTGCGTACGTAAGTTCAAGAAACAAACAACCGAAAAAGTCCGTTTTTGGTACAGTTAAACGAAAAGGTACACTAAAACAATCACTGGTACAGTTGGTTAAAATAATTGATGTTTCCATTACAGCAATCGCGTTCTCTTCATATAAGTAGATCACTACAACCTAATAATCGAAAGACGGATAGAGATGCCACAAATATTCGAATTGTGAAAACGAGTTAACTAGTAGCACCCTTATAGTCGAAGTATGCTAACCCAGTAAATCAGGACTGAAGGAGTCCGAAGATATATTCGGAAGGCTATTGGTGTGTCGGGGGGACATTTTGTCTAAGCTGGCTAGCAGTTGAAATGGAAGCGTTACACGGCTTATACCCTCTCCACGATCTGATGCGGGTGCATGACCGCGCACCTCTGGCTAGGTGGGTTCAATAAAACCAATTAGGTTGGTATCAAACGTCAAAGACCTGAAGGGTTATTTATTTTGGGGATTTATTTACCGCTACACGGACTTAAGGGCTATTAATTTTTATGCAAAGCACTTGTAATCCCATTCAACTAAATCACATGTTCTCATTAACTTGTTTTTAAAGCTTACTTTTTTTATTCAGAATATTCCTAAGAAGGGTTAGTTACTTAATGTATTCTAAATAACCAACAAATAGCTAGAATGAAAGTTAGGAAGTGTGTAACTCATTCTCTAGGTTCATGGACTGCTACTAACTCATTACATAAATCTTGAATAGTGTTGTAAATTACCAGCGTAGATGCTCTATGTCGAATGATTGAGGGCCTACTAAAGTAAGACGGGAATGGTGTAACGAACCAGCTAACGCCAGAGTCACATCTCACGGTCATTATTTTACGCGAATTGCTCCATCGACGTATCGAGGTACTAAAGATGCTTTGAAGACTGTACAACACAAATTATGTTATCACGGAAATAAATTAGTTAAAGTTCATGGAGAACGATTAACTGTTGCTCACTGGTCGTCCTTGACCTTGACAGGGACTGATGATCGGTTCGATATTCAATGACCCAACTGCCGGATGATCTGGCTAGGGCTTAGTGACATTTCACTGGCCCTACAGTGTTGACACAGTCGCATTAATCAATTTCTTGATAATGTAAATTATTCTTATTCTGTCAGGTTAGTTATTAGTGTCACAAGCTATCTTAACAGAAAGACAAATATAAGTGATAGATTTTGGCGATCTAACTAAGATCTAATAAGACAATGAAATGTTAGGACTACGTCATTTTAAACCATAGCAATAAACATAAGCGATTCAAGTCTCACACAAAAATGTAACATGGGCGTGGCACTTTATTTATTCATTTATTTAAGGTTAAGGAGAATGTGAACATCTGACAAACCTTTCAAAACACCATACTCACTCTACTATTGTTGTGAATTATAATAAGAATTCTCAAATACAGTCAAAATGTCGCAAACGCAATTTAATTAAAGTGTGTACAAATAATAAAGTTAGTTGCATCATGAAACTTACTCTGCTAAACAGTCTAGCTCAATATAGTAGCACTTCTGTTGATAGAATGAATTTCAGTAGCTTAAGTGAATCAATTAAATAGCTAATCAAACTACAATGGATTTCATTTTATTTAATCAATAATAGAACATTTGAGAGAGTCATTTAAATTAGGATTTAAAAGAGCCACCAGTAGTTTCGTGCGCTCAAGTCACTAATTTCTAAATACTGCATAAAAGTAGCTAACTTAAACTAAAAATAGATTTTAACTGGTAAACCGTTGTTCTAGATTAAGGACGATGGGTTTTACAACAACTTGGAGGATTTATTATGAGTACAGTTCAAAGGCTATGTAATAAAAACCAGGAAAAAGGTCGTAAGATTACGTGTGACTAATAATCAACAAATGTACCATAACTAAGTATTTATTTATTTGAACACATATATATTGGTACATGAGTGCGCCATGACTAAGTGGATATAATACAATGTCGATAATTCTTATGGTTACTGTGGAAACAATATTCGTAATATAAAAAAAAGTTAAGGAACATAAATGCACAAATGTGAATACCTTACAAGAAAAGGTTAAAGTAAATATATAAACTGAAAGTCAGGAGTAAGCATTCCCTATTCTTGATATGTGGAGCTGAATCAAATAAATAAGACTGACACGTATGCCTTACAATTTAGGATCTAAAGGTTAATCCATTGATACAATTGTCCACCCAAATATTTTCCCAATTTGACAATATTAAGGATCCATAATAAATCTGGTAAATTTTCTTACAAAAATTTATAGTCTATATTGACACACTAAACAGTAGTACTTTCCAACTGATTATAGATTTTCAATAATATTCAAATGACTGATAAACAGAGGACGGAAAAATATTGTGTTAGTGAATTCACCTATTTGGAATTTTAATGCCACTGCCTCACAGCGTTTGTATCTAATATGTCTCTGCAGCATTGTAAATTACACTAATATTTTGCGCTATTTTATTTGTGACTCAATTCAATGTTTTCTTGTTCTAACCCCTTACAAATGATCTGAAAAATAATAGAGTTTAACTGTTTTCTTTGTTTAGGATATGGCAAAACCGTAGCCTAGTTATATTTAGATGTCCGTTCTTACAATCTATCTCGGACTCTTATGTGCTCATCAGATTTTTTCCCTGAAACACTACAAATAAAGGTCAATATACATTCAATGTAGCACGATCTCCGCAGAATATAGAACAAATGCGGTCACCTTTTTATTTTGATTAATTGTATTCATCTTTAAATGTTTCTGTCCTTCATTTCTTCATAGCTATGATATCCATATGTAATAAGCAAGATGAAATATCCATTTCGTTGATGTCGAAACCACATCCTCTTGAATACGTTTGTTACAATGAGCATTAGTTAAATAAAGCTGCAGAAATGTTTTCAGGAACAGATTAACTACAATTGTACGATATGTACTTTGGGAACTAGGTAAGAACAGGAATGATTTCTGGCTTTTCGCTTGGAAAGCTACGAAATTTAAACAAATGATCTTTACGAACGGACAGACAATCTGGACTGAGTAAGCTGAAGCAGGTGGTAGGATGATAAAAGGAATTTCAATAGAACAGTTCTTATGAAATAAGAATTAGGTGATTAATCACGTAACGAAGATCAATCAATGTAACGGTAATTTCAGGTCTAGCTGACTGAGTCCCCAAACAATATGATTGTATTCAAAATATTTATTTCTAAGAAAACTGTTGGGTCTTTTTCAACACAACAGACATTAAGAGAAGTGAAGGGTATATAACAAACTACTGAACAAAATAGTAATTAATTAATTCTCATTTTGTTTTCAATGACAAAGACGAAAAACTTTATCTTATCTATAACAAACTACGACTACAGTAAATTAGTAAAAACATCTCTAGGACTTTATCTGGTAATTGGAACTGAAAATCTTAAGTCAATACTAAAAACTCAATAATCTCATCACTAATTTTCCTTAAGACCGGAATAGTTTTTATTTGAAATTATCACCTTTAACTGATTTCTCCTAGGTCAAAGTCAACATAATATTATCAATATGATTCTACACTTGAACAGACTAGTAGGTGGAAAAATAACAGAAAGGAAAACGATCGAATACATAATGATAAACGAAAACCGGGTTTCGTATTCGTAATCCTCTACATCACTCAGCATTAAACCCAATGCATTGTGATGCCACTTATCTTTACTATGTCCAGATTGCCAATTTTAACACACCAGCAGTGACATTCGTAGGCAGAGCCTATTTTTAAAAATGTCGTGGTAGAAAAAGGCTATCACTGACCCTATAAAAGTACGTTACTTTTGAGTGCTTTAATCCAATATAATTATGATATCTTGAAGAAAGGAATCGTCTTTCAATAGGGGTTCCTCTGTGAATAACCTGTCATCTAAATGCTATATGGAGTGAAAATAATTGAACCGTGAATAACCCTGCCCATACTGGAATATGATCAAAAGCATGTGTGTTTTGAACTTGATATCTAGTTAATTTCGAAGTACAGATGATTTGTGGTTGTCTTTAGATCAACATCAGTGTTTGTAAAAATTGGTACTACACAAATGAAGAATGGCAGGGATTTACAAAACTTACTTCCTGTGGAATATTTCTGACAAGTTCATATGATCAATCAATCACTGAAGTGAGTAATACCGGGGTTCTATGAAATAGTTTTGCCAATAAGTGACAGGTTCATTCGAAATCCTAGTTGTTTTCCATCTGTAATCAATCAATTACGCTTTAGTGTATAATCAGTAATGTTATTAGCACTATTTGTATCAGTATTTAGACGAATAGGTGATGATTTTCCCACTAGCTTAAAGACCATTTCTGATTTAAGCCTCATAGTATGTATAACTCATAGATTATTTTATTTGAACACAGATATTGGTACAAGGAGGCACCAAATACATATGCACCACACAAATCTCATTTGATTTGTGTGAGAGCTGTGATACTGTCCGGGTGCCCAAACCGAAGCAGGTGGTTTTCTTAGGGGGCCACACCCCGAGCCTTCGACCTGAAGGTCTGATCCACAGGGCAATGGGGCATCGTAAAGAGATGTAGTCCCATGGTAGCAGGTGACCGACGATTAGTTCATATGCCATTTGTTCCCTCAGGACACTGTAGCCCATGTGCATCATTGGTTTGGAATCAGGGTTTTCCAACTCCCATAGGTGGACTCTCCATGTCCAACACCCTCGCCACGAGAAGGCAATGAGTAGGACTTCCCTGACAGAGGCTATATACGCATGGCCATGTGAGAGCATTTCGAGCGGCAGAGTGGACTCTCCCTACTGTCGGCCGTATTAGGGCATTTGGAGGCACTCACAGATGTACCTTTGTAGTGCTTCACTTTTTGGTTTATGTGGTTGTTGTGTTACACCAGATGATTTGATCTAAGCATATGACATTAAATACACGAATTTTCATATTGGAAATAAGCCTATATTTAAGATAAGTTCGGTTAGGCGTTCTTTCAAACTCAGTGCTAATATAAGGTTTACCAGGCCATTATATTCTAGTGATTATACTACTCAGTGTTACTTAACAATTCCAATCACAGAGTTGAGACAAATGAGTAATGTCTGGAGGTAAATGGTTGAACAATTTATATAAATATGCACCTAAATCTTTTGACGATCCCATTATAAATTCAAAAAGGTTTCTATCTTAACTAAACAAATTCACTTTTTAAAATAAAAACATACATAAAAGCAATGAGAAAATTCTTTGTTTACATTCAAACATAGACACAATGACAAAATAGAAAAAGGGAACTGAGAAAGATGCGCTAAAAACAGGAAAAAACGAGACGACAAGTGAAAAGAAAACAAACAGACAGGTAAGAGTACACGTCACATTTGAAGAGATGGAGAAAAATGATGTAAAAATTAAAACTGAGCAAGTGTTTCAGAAAACAAGATAACTTGGAGCCAAATCATATACACATGAGAGTACTATGTTGAAGAAATAGGATTGATATCAACTATCATTTACAAATCATCCCTGGATTCTTTCCCTGTGACAAAATGCACTTCCCATTCATCATTTAATGGAAGATCAGGTTTACGAACAACGACAATGCGTGGTACGTGTTTAAAACCAGCAGAGGACGGAGTAATGGAAAACCCTATATTTCTTCGTGGTTTATGGGCATCGATCACAGTAATTCTTTCCAAGGGACTACTGAACCCAACAATAACAAAGCGTTCAATTTTCGGTATAAAAACATCATCTTCAGGTAGTAATATGGAAGTTTCCCCTGGTAATGGTAAACGTTGTAAGCGCAATCGTCCACCATGCACACCTGCACCCGTTGGGTCGACAACTCGTTGGTAAATAATTTTGAAAAACTGGGCATTTGATTTAGAAGTTGAATGGAAATCATCTATGTATATATAACCAACGGCATCAGGCTTCTGAGGGTCCAAACAAACAACAAATGTATAGGGATCACTACGCATAAGCCATGAAGAACGACGTATACGCTCTTTTCGTGGTATAATCCACCCACCTCGATAAAATACAGGTATGGAATTTATCGTTACTGGATATTGTGTCGACTGTCCACCTGCAAATACCTAGAATTAAATATAGGAATTTCATATGACTTTTTCTATTGATAAATTTAACTTCGCACGAATAACAATTACAGGACTTTATCGAATCGACCAGAACAGTTTATGATAGGACAACAAACATAATTCATTGATTTAACAATTAGTAAAATGTAAGCTTTAATGACATTATTATGTTAAATAACAGTTATAGACACATGATATTTTATTTCAAAACATCAAAACACATCCATATAATGGTTTCTGGAGGCATTAAAAACCTTAACTGATAATTATATAGATACCACTGACAAGGTTTAACTTGATAGTTTCATATAAATTGAGCATCGGGTAGAATTTATTTATTTGAACACATAAATATTGGTACAAGAATGCGCCACACAAAACAATGAGAATTTAAGGGGAAGAAAAAAAGAGAATAATAACAGAGATTGATCTAAGGTGGTGTAATAATAATAATGGTAAAAATGGGGGAACGGAAAGGTACAATCAGAAAAAATCTTTCAGTTAAGGAAGACACAACCACTTTTTTTATGAAGAAAGTAAAAGAAGGTTACAGTAGAATCGCTCTTATGGCTTCTATTCTGAACCATATCTGATAACGTCTCTAGCCACTGTGTCGCACCATCTCTCGGACCCCAGCCAGGGAGTCGTGAAGGTCCAACACGAGCCAGTCCTTTGCAGCTTTCTTTCATCCCACGACACCATGTCATACACTGATCACCTCTCCGCTTCTTCCAACCAGTCCCAGAGTCGGCAAATAATGCACAACGTGGAACTCTCTGGGACAACATTCGTAGAACATGTCCAAGCCACCGAAGTCGGTGTTTCAAGATGGTGACACCGATTGCGTTATCGTCTCTGTGCCCGAACACACGATGCCGAACCTCTGCATTACTGACATGGTGTTGCCACTGAATGTCAGCAATCCTTCGGAGACAGCGATGATCGAACACAGATAGTCGTCTAACGTCCTCAACTCCGAGAGACCAGGTTTCACAAGCATAGAGCAAAACTGCTCTCACCGACGCGTTGTAGATCCGACCTTTTACAGCCAGACTAACATCACGAAGGCGCCAAAGGTGGCCCAGATTGGCATAAGCCACTCTGGCTTTCACTATACGTGCATTGATCTCATCACTCACACCCCCACTAGCACTCATGCAGCTACCCAGATACACGAACTTCTCGACTACTTCTATCTGCTCATCATCCAGGTTGAGTACAGGATTAGGATCCTGCCAGTCTTGTAGAAGTACTTTGCACTTCGAAGGTGCAAAGCAAATACTGTACCTACGGACACTGATTGCCAACTGATTAAGTGCGGATTGCGTGCCTTGGGCATTATCGCACAGTAAGACAATATCGTCCGCATACTCAAGGTCGAGAAGTCTTTCTCCAGGCAACAGATCCACACCGTCATTACTTACTGTTATGGATGCAGAATAATGTGCCAATCATTATCATGTTAAGCCTAGTGATGTCCTTGGACGTTAAATGGACATTTCCTATTGGCCATTACTTATTTCGTCCGTTAAATATTGTACAAATGTTGTTTTCTATTTTTATAGTACGATGTGGTATGTTTGGTTAGCATATAAATGTAGTATGTCTGAAATACAATGATTCATATCTCAGAGGTTGTGACTTGTGTTCTGGACTCGACTGACTGGGCTAGACAGGGAAGCGGGACCAATCGAGACTCTAGGCCGTTCATGCGTGTTTACGTGTCATTGAATCGATCGATAAATACGCTGCTCTCTAATTTTTCCAGTCAGGGACACAACAATTAGTACAGGGTAAAAATCAACCCAACTTAAAGTCATAACACTTACATTCATCAGAGCTGTTTCCAGAATGTCATCGATGGCAAAGTTGAAGAGGAATGGTGAGATTGGGCAACCCTGCTTAACCCCACTGCTCGAATGGAACAATGGTGAGAGGTGGTTGTATGCCCTCACTTTTTTGAGGTGTTTGTATATAGAGCTTTTAGGATGTTAATAAACTTCTCAGGCACACCCTTCTTCAATAGACAATCTCAGAGAACAGTCCTGTCTAACGATTCAAAGGCAGCCCTGATGTCAAAAAACACTACGATCGTTGGCCTGTGATAAGTATGGCGGTGTTCTAACATTTGGTGGAGGGTGAAGATATGATCAATACATCCTCGACTCGAACGAAACCCAGCCTGCTCCTGGCCAGTCAATCTTTCTCGGGTTTTGAACAACCTACGAAGTATGACGGAAGCCAATAGCTTGGACGCAATCGGAAGTAGACTTATCCCCCGATAGTTGTTACAGGAACGACGTGAACCCTTTTTAAAGATAGGGACAACTATCGACTCATTCCATGACGTTGGTACACTCTCTAGCTCCCAAACCTTTGTAAACAACGTCGTCAGTTCGTTAGTCAGAAAGTCATCACCATCTTTAAAAAGAGCCGGAGGTAAGTCATCTGGGCCAGGTGATTTGTAACGCTTCAAGAGCTGGAGTTCCTTGCGGACTTCCGCCTCATTTGGTGGATCAGTCGTCACCGGCCATGGAGGGCAGGACAGTCCGACCGATGTTGCCGGAGCATCAGGCCAGTTGAACTGCCCTTCGAAAAACTCTGCCCATCGTCCAAGGCGTCAATGGATGTCAGTGACTGGCATCCCATCATCCTCGTAGATTGTTTCGCTCACACCAGACTTTTTGCTGTCGGTGGCTCGGATGAGTTGGGAGAGCTTCCGGTAGTTGTCAGATGCAGCTGCTGCTTCCAGCTCATTAGCACGCTCCGACCACCAGGCTTCTCGGTCCTAACGCAAGCTTTGCCCAATTTAATTACGTAAAATCCTTCATTTGTGGTCAAACTCACGGTCACCCGGAGTAGACCGACTGGCTTCTTTGAATTGTAAGCAGTCTGAAGAAACCCAGTGCTTATAAGCGAGACGTTTCGCGAACCCACAACTGACTGTACCCGCCATTTTCATGGCGTCATGCAATTGCAACCAATGCTCATCAATACTTTTCGGTGGAATGGTAGCTAGCTCGGTTCGATACTTACTAGCAACAGAAGTTACAACCAGCTTGCTAATATAAATCCGTTGATGGCGGTCACTGAAAAGTAAGGTAAGATTGGCGCAGACCAAAGCATGGTCAGAGTCCCGATAGGTACTCCAAAAGGAGCGGCAGTCTTGTACACAACCACGCCAGCGGTAGCTGAACGCGATGTGATCAATCTGAGTCCAGGCTTGGGATGCAGATGGAGGACGCCAGATGGCACATCGGCGATGACTGTGTTGAAAGTTAGTGCTAGCCAGAAACAGGTTGTGGTCTGTGCATAGTTGCAGTAGACGGTCCCCGTTATCTGACCTGCGACCAACGAGTCCCCATCGATCACCTAAGCGACTCTCTTCTGTGCCTAGACGCCCGACCTGAGCATTCAAGTCTCCGGCTAGTACTACAATATCTGTAGAACGCACTTCCTGGAGAAGAACAGTTAACTGGTGATAGAATTCATCCTTGATCGCATCCGGGCTGCAATCTGTCGGAGCACAGGCGGAGATGAGGAAAAGACACCGTTTCTCACGCCGATTTCTTCTCACTTTGATGGAACTTTCTAATCTAACAACACATGACCGACTGTCGATGGGGATCCAATCGATTAGTGCTGCCTCAGCTCTAGCGTTTAGTGCGACACCAACGCCAGCAAGACGAGATGAAAATGCCACGGGGTCCCTGGATAAACGCACGTAAAGCAAGCTTTTCGAAGCGACAGATGGAGAGCAAATTTGTAGTACTTCACCAGAGTCTTGAATACGGGTCTCAGATAGACAGCAAACATCGATATTAAGACTTTCTAAAGACATAGCCAGCCCTATCTGTTGTCCAACCTGCATAAGTGTGCGAACGTTGAAGGCAGCCAGTTTGAATGGTGCATGTGGTTTCAGAAAAACTGCTTCAGTACTCACATCGGGTAGAAGGTTATTAATAAATATATTTTTGTTATATCCTAAATCGTATTTCTGACGTTTCGTGACTTCATGCAAGCCACTTCTTCTGCGTAAATAAATAACCGAATTAAACTAACACGCGTTTGAATAGTACTAATCAAACTGAATAGGCGATTCTTAAATAGTATAGTTTTTTTGGTAGCTTAAGGTAGCTCTTGATAACTATAACAGTATTATAGAAAAGAAGACATTCACGTACTTGTCTGTTGAACTCAATAAATAAAGTCGTTCTATTTTTTCAATGAGTCTGTACATTACTCAATGAATATTTTGATTACCGGTATAATTAAAGACAAACTGTTCCTTTAACATTTTACCATAACTCTATCTCTTCTTTTCATAGAGTTATAAATAAAAGGTCTAGATTTTTATGTAGGATTTACCCTTATTTTCATATTACACATTAGCTGTGAAGCAAAACTATTTAAAACCCCATACAAATGATCATTTACCTCAAGCGATGGATAATGATACCATGTTCCCTTTGGAAAATATAACTGCACATAGCCAGCACCTTGATCAGTGACAGGACTCACAAGCACAGCTTCTCCAATCATATATTGATCATCCAAACCATACGTATTCACATCTTTAGGAAAATGAAACCACATTGGTGCCATAACTGGTTGACCGTTTGCTTCCGAACGAGCAAACAATGTATACCAGTATGGAAGTAATTGATAGCGAGCTTGTATTGCCTTTCTGTGAAATAAAAGCGATCATTTTATTATCAAAAGTTGAAAAACATCTGGCTACATATAAGAGTATTTCAATAATCAACATAAACTCAAAATATATGGTTAGGTGCACACGGTTCTGGCCCAAATATGATGAGAAACAAACTATCTAAAGTTGTAACCATGTCCGGACTCAGACTTGAACTAGTGATAGGATAATTACTATACCTTATTATCATTAAAATGTTAATCAATGAACAAATTATTAGCTTTCATATCCATATTAAAACAATAATGGCCGATTATGCCAATTTTAAAATCATTAATATTATTGAGCTACAGGTTTAATGAGTGCAAAGAGCGAGGACGTGAAAAATTGTTGATTAATACGGCGACGAGTGTGACCAATAAATTTAAAGTAGTTGCTTTAATGTTATCCTGAGTGCTTGGACCATAATGATAAAAGGTTCGAAATTCGCTGCCAAACCCTACTACAAGTTTGAATTTCTTTTAGTCGGGTAAATTTTCATGTCATCGTCAGCTATAGCGCAATGTATGTGGGGACGATTTAAACCAAGTATTTCATGCAAAAGCATTTCCAACGACACAGTCAAAAAGTTATAACTGTGAAATAAGTCGCCGGAAGAGTCTCGCTACACATATTTTACACTGGAAGAAAGCATTAAGAAGCTCAATGAATTCTCTCCACTTTGTTTTAATTATTTATACTAAATAAATTACGTCTGTGCGCTACGCTGTCCAAGAATGTAAAAGCTGGATTGTTTACCCTAATGAGCTTATAATAGATAATATCATGAAAACAATACTATCGAGGTAAATGGTTAGACCTTTGAACTAAAAGACATTTAGACCACACTAAAACCTTGGTGTGATAATAACAAAGTACACTAGTGGTTTTAATTTACCTAAACATAGAATCAATTAAGACATGCTAGTTTCCAATTAAATGAACCCCATTTCGTGATCGTACCTTAGTCAACAGTCAGGATATTAAGCTAATCTGTTCGATGGAAACTGCAGAATACTTATTTCTTAAGATGATCTCACTAAGCGATAACAGTTTCTGTGCAAAGTGTACGGTAGAAAATTGATGACAGTTTAAAGGTGGGGTGTTGTGACTTTATGTCCGGCCTTTATCACGTGATTTATCCACTAATCAAAATACGACTTACACAATCTTAGCACTGTGCCAAATCAATGACGTTCAACCGGTAAGGGCAGTCTAGCGTCCTTATTGGTCTTATGTCCGCCTAGCCCGCCCACTTGAGTCCAGAACAACAATACCAGCTTCCGATATGAGAATCAAATAATTTATTTCAGACATACTGGGTTTATATATCAATCAAACAGACCGCAACGCACCATAAAATATGAAATAACATTTGTACACAATAAAGCCAAAAAGTGACTGTGAACGTGGGAGACAGTAGTTAATAAACTGAGCATAATTTAGGGACAGTAAATCGTATAATAATAAATTATAGGTCAAAATGAAGCTTATAATAAGAGGAATATAAATATACATAATCTAATTATTGAATGACTATACCATGAGAATGTGTAGATAATCTTAGTCAATTAATGTCTCAGAAGTTACTCGTGATTTAATCTTCGCTCGGATATAGCATGGGGGGGTATAGCGACGAATGTATTGAAACATGACAAGTTTCTCTTGAGTACTCAATGGTCTAGAAAAATCTAAGTTCAGTTGCAAAATCCATGAAACTTACGAATTACAATTTGCGCAATCTTTCATACTGTCATGTATTATCTCTAGAAATCTTGAACTATATGCAAAAACTTACAGTATCTCAACTTTGCGTCAATTAAACCTTAGATATGTATTATAGGTTAACAGGATGAATCAGTTAAGGTGAGCACATCACAAAAGCGATGAGGTCGTTTGGGTATATGAGCCAGAAGATATAGGATTTCAGATGGTATGAAATACAGTTGAATGGAGTGGGTTAAACACCTTTTGATATATATCCCGAACAACTAACTATTCTTTTAGGATACAGTTTCTTTCTCTTGTGCTTTTCCCGGTTCATTGGTACACTTTGACCTGTTAGCTGGATTTCTGTTTTTGTGTTCTTAAAAGACATGGGAAACTAACCACGTTTTTAACCAGAATTAACTTACTACCACTAAATACAATGATGAAAGTGCAAGTGAATGGTTTCGATAAATTTAAAATCTACACCAACTACTTTAGTCTGGAAGGCTGATCAATGTTATCATTTCCACACAAAGCACGTCTCATATTCTTCGTACAAAGAAGTCATTGTATTAAACCAGGAGGAATATTGCACTTACCGAATGGGATCAATATATTCCGACGCCACTAGCCAAGGTTCACGGCGTTTGCTATCTATGTGTGCATGAGCTCTGAAGAAAGGTTGATAAGCAGCCGCCTGATACCATCTTGTCAATAACTCAGAATCTGTATTGCCAAAAAAACCTCCCACGTCAGCTCCACATAGGGTTATCCCTACGACTGATATGCTGAGAAGCATAGAAGTTGAAATCTACAGTAGCGAAAAATACCATGGATAGTAACCAAGTGCGTAATACATAATCTATAGTCTCTAAAACAGTCAGGTCAGTCAGTCAGTCAGCTACAACGTAGGACCAGGCACATATGTGCATCGGTCCAGGTTGCCATACCTCATTAGCACAGCAAGATGAACAGCGGATTCATAGGAGTGGTTAGGTCAAAGGTTGCAATAAGGATATAGTATAGGAAGAAAGAATTAGTTCGTAGACAGAAAGAATGAAGTGATTTTAGTCTCTTAGTTTAAGGGAAGACAGGGAGTGTATGCACCGACGCCATTGTGGTCGATTCTGAGCCATGTCACCAAGAGTCTCCAACCATTGGTTACGAAAGTCACGCGGACCCCAACCAAGTAGTCTGCATCTACCAACATGGCTCAGACTAGAAGTTAGTGACTTCAGGCACTGATGCCACGTTTTGGTTTGGCTGCCCCTAACTTTCTTCCAACCATTTCCAATACCGGATAGCATTGCACGTCGTGGTAATCGGTGTTCAGGCATACGTAATACGTGGCCCAACCATCTCAGTCGATGAAGATTCATAACCTCATCAACTGATTTACCATCATTCCCTAATACCCTGCGTCTAACCTCGCTATTACTTACCCGGTGATCCCAACAGATGCCAGCAATATTTCTAAGGCATCTGTGGTCAAATATTAGTAGCTTACGGGTGTCTTCTACTCTTAAGGGCCATGTTTCGCTGCCGTAAATTAAAACAGAACGAACTGCCACGCAGTATACTCGTCCTTTTATTGATAGACGGATATCTCGCCTTCGCCAAAGGTGACGTAAGTTGGCAAAAGCCAAACGAGCTTTTCGAATCCGTGCTGAGATTTCGTCCGATACCAACCCATTAGGGCTGATCACACTTCCAAGATAAGTGAAGTTATCAACGCGTTCGACTACTTCACTCCCTATCCTTAGTTCAGGTGTTGACGCAGACCAGTCCTGAAGCAACAACTTGCATTTAGAGGGAGAGAAGCGCATTCCAAACATTCTGGCATTGTTGCTTAGTGCTACCAAAAGACTCTGCATTTTGTCAGCGTCTTCGCCAAACAGGACTATGTCATCTGCGTATTCTAAGTCGATAAGTGGACCTCCTGGAAGGAGATCAATACCCGAGAATTCAGTCTATGAGAGCGTTATTTCCATCAGTAGGTCTATGATGAAGTTAAACAAAAATGGAGAAAGTGGACAGCCTTGACGGACACCACTTGAGGTTGCAAAAGTAGATGACAGTTCGCCATAAGCCCTGACTCGACTAGTAGTGTTCGAGTAAAGAGCCTTCACAAGGTTTATGTACTTCTGAGGTACGCCTTTCAATGACAGACACTGCCACAGAGTCTCGCGGTCTACCGAGTCAAATGCTGCTTTTAAGTCAAGAAAGACCACCATCGTCGGACGCCGATAGGTATGCCTGTGTTCTAGAACCTGACGAATGGTGAATATGTGGTCGATGCAGCCACGACCAGGTCTAAAGCCAGCTTGGTTCTCTCGAGTTTGTAGTTCACGAGTCTTAGTTAGGCGTTTGATAATTATCGAGGCCAGTATTTTAGATACTATGTTTGTTAAACTAATCCCTCTGTGGTTGTCACAGGATGATTTTGACCCTTTCTTATATATTGGGACGATAAGTGATTGCGACCAGTCAGATGGGATAAATTCTAATTCACAGATCTTAGCTAAAATATTAGTCAACTTAATCGCTAAAATTGGACCACCATCCTTAAAGACCTCTGGAGCCAATCCATCTGGACCAGCTGCCCTTCCTCGTTTCAGATTAACTATAGCCTTTTGAACTTCAGCAAGAGTCGGGGGACCTACTTCAATGTTCCATTCACACTGTCTGGGAATGGAGGGTAGTTGTAGAGTAGCTGAAGGCCAGCTGAACTGTTCTCTAAAATGTTCCGCCCATCGTTCTAAACGTCTGGACTGGGAGCAGATGAGAGTATCATCCTTTTCCGAAACAATCTCACTTACACTTGACTTATTAATTCCAGATTCTTTTATTAGTCTGTAAAGCTGTCTTGTGTTCCCTATAGTCGCCGCCTTTTCCATCTCTTTTGCTTTCGTTACCCACCACTGCTCACGGTCGTTTTTTAGACTTTTTCTTAACCTAGATCTAATTTGTTTTCGCTCTTCATCATGTTCAGGACCTGATGGGACGAGTTTGTGAGAATCCAGCAGTGTGACAGACCTTGAAGAAATCCACTGGTTCCTTGCAACTCTGTGGTTTAAGTCACTAATAGATGTCACTGCTGTTTCCACAGCTGATTGTATGCCCTTCCAAGCAACATCTGGGTCAGCCTCGTCTTCACAACTACCTAAGTGTGACCTCAGTTGTTCCTGGAACCTACTTTTGGTTTTCTCGTTACTCAAATCAGTTCTAACGGGTCTTTTTAATGTGGCTTTTTTGCGTCCAGTGAGGCGCAAGCAGATGCGTGCCCGTATTAGGGCATGGTCGGAGTCCAAGCAGGTACTCCAGAATGAGCGACAATCTTCTACCGACCCTCTCCAACGATGACTGATGGCAATATGGTCTATTTGAGTCCATCGTTGGTTTGGTGTAGGGGGTCGCCATGTTAGACGATGTCTTTTCTTACGCTTAAAATTTGTGTTTGCTAAAAATAAACGATTGTCTGAGCACAGCTGCAGCAGACGATCACCATTATTTGTTCGCTGTGTCGGAATACTAAAATATCCACCTAAATGCCTTTCTGTTTGCTTTAAACTGCCTATCTGAGCATTAAAATCACCCCCTACGAGTACTATGTCTGAGCGTTTAGCTTTCTGAAGAAGTTCGGACAGCTTTCTGTAAAATTCATCTTTCACATCATCTGAGCTGCAGTCAGTGGGAGCGTAGGCAGAAACGACAAAAAGGCAACGACGTGTGTCCCTATCCTTCCGAGTTCTTACGTAGCCGTTCAGCCGAACAGCACATAGACGACTGTTGACGGGGATCCACTCTAGCAGTGCTTGTTCGGCCCTCATGCTTAGTGCTATGCCTACACCTGCCAGTCCACGAGAACTTGCCATCGGGTCACCAGATACACGAAGGGTGTACCTCGTTGGCTCTCCGTTTTGCCGAGGTGGGGTCAGGTGAATGACCACACTGGAATCCTGTATGCGTGTTTCGGAGACACAGCACACGTCAATGGTAAGAGACTCTAGGGTTTTAGCCAAGGAAGCCTGCTGACCGATTTGACATAGGGTTCGTACGTTGAAGGCTCCAATGTGTAGTGTGGAGCGAGGTTTCAGTAGACCTGGGACAGTATTTTGCGCACTAGAATCGTTGGCTATGGTGACACTTGAGGTGGAAGCCGAGAGAGGAAATTTAAAGTTGAAAGTCGATGTAGGAGGAATAATAGGAATTGAAGAGGAAGGTTGATTATGAATACAGTGGTCTTGAGTGCTGTTAGAGGTATGAGGGCGGTTTTCACTTCCCGGTTGCCCACACCGTGAAAGGGTTGTTCTGGAGGTACCTGAAAAGGAATTTGGATTAAAGGTGGTCTTAGTGACCTGAGAGCGTGACCGCAGTGCCCAAGGGACAACTGCTTGAGGTCGGTCACAAACGACCTTGTTATGGGTAATTTTTGTGTTAGCTCCGTACTTATTGGGACCTTACCGCCGGAGACGGATATCCGTGGGATAAGGCGAGGTGTGCATTTTTAGGGTCGACCTTTTCTAACCCCACCCCTCCTTGTGGGAAGGCAGCATCGCTGTCATGCTGGTTGTCTGAAGGAAACACCTTACTGCTGTCACACCTCTGTACAGTCAGCAGTACGACTTCGCCTTCGGACCTTGGGTTTGTTGCTTTTAGTCTTACCGCTCTTCAACCGACCTGTCTGACATGGTAGGACCTTGAGGAACGGTTGTTCCAGCCAGTATAGCTCGGTTGCTTCATCACGATAGGCAAGCCCGACCACCACGTCAAGGTAGCAACAAGGTAGTAACAACTGATAACATGTCTCAGGAATTATTGTAGTAAAATGTCAGTAGCTATATCCAGAAAGTAATAATAATCATCGCAAATGATGAGTTTTAATGCTAAAACCATTATTAGTATCCTTTAAACACAACAAAATGGTCCAAGACAAAAGACTGGTTGTGATTTGAATTGTATTTCAACTTACTAAAACCAATTCAATCAGTCAGTCATACGTAACACAGAACCTGAGATAGTAAGTCAAAATATTTGACGTTTTTTTATCAAGCTTCCATAACTTTTAGTCCTTAAGGTGAAGACTGGTCGGACAACTAATTGTGGTCAATATATATATATATATATATATATATATATATATATATATATTGAACACAATTAGTTGTCCGATCAGTCTTCACCTTAAGGACTAGAAGTTATGGAAGCTTAATAAAAAAAGTCAAATATTTTGACTTACTATCTAAGGTCTTAATGCAGAAGGAACTGCTCCTCAGATCTGAATTGTTCACAGGGTAATGCGCACGTACAAACACAGAGATTTCACTCGGAATTGTATGGTCCGAAAGCCATTTTGTTAATAGATGCTATTTTAACTAAATGTCAACCTAAGGTGAAAATTTAGATGTAAATGTCTGAAAAATGTGTACAAAATAACCGTTTCCTTTTATCTTTTATGACTAGTTTCGTGAACTGTATCAATACATCCTTTATTGAATGACCATAATCCTAGATAAGAAAACAACTTTTAATGGTTGCTCTGAAAACCGTGGTTATTATAATTACACGGGACAATGAATGAAACTAAATCAAGCACACATCATAATTATTTACTAGGTATGATCCACACCGTTAACGAACTCTTTCATCAATGAAAATAAATCTTAAGACCAAGAAATTACCTTTAAGTGTGACCAATCAGCAGTATTGTCTCCAGTCCAAACAGCTGCTGTCTGTTGTGAACCAACAAAAAACGCACGGGTCAACACAAAAGGACGTTCTACGCCGTTCGACCTCAACATGAGTCCATCCCAAGTTGACTTATGTACGTATAACCCATATAAGTTATGTATATCACGATGCTCCCAATTACCTGCATGCTTAGCATCCTTCAAGCAAAAATGGAAAAATGTAACAGGGAAAATTAGCAAACAGGTAAATACGGAGATATTCGACTTTACAAAATGAAACTGATAATTAGTTCGCATTTCAACCGACTGTTTAGTAGATTTTTAATGTAGACGTTATTTAGTGGCTATTCTAAAGTTGTCTGTCTTAGGATTACAAGTTGTTTAATAAGAAAACACAAATAACGCGAGACCTGACACGTATTTATCACTCTGTAGTGTCAGTTATTATATTAAGCCCATGTATCTTATTCTAGCTTTCGGACATTCCATTCTATTTATCCTACTTGAGTCATATTTTGACCTTGTCAATTATTCGCTTATCAGTCTTGGCTGTTTTTATATGAGCGTATATGTGTGTACACTTCACATCCCATGACTCATCACATGTCTGTAGTTTATTTTGTCTGACTATAAATATTGAGTAACGCTCGACTAAAATGGAGTTGGCTTCCCAGCCATCTTCCCTGCATGTCATTTTGCTTTACTCTGTTTCATTCGCTTCATATACGAAATATATGTATTCACATGTCAATTCTCGTTATTCGACTTATTTAATTCCGTTATTGGATAACTTGATTTAAGTCGACGATTGTATACGAGAATAGGCGATAGCAAACATTCGTACGATCTTGGAGTCAGGTCCATGGGCCACTAAAATGGTGAGCCCTTCAACGAATATCGTCGATCTAAATGATGACAAAACCAAACTACTGGCCTCCACTAAAACTCTTAGTCACTACATTCCACATTAAGATCATATAAAATTGAAGAGGGTGAAAATAATATCAAAAGTTGTGGGGAATTGAACATTAGTATTTTTAAAGGAGTGAATAAAATCGAGAGATAAAACGTTGAGAACATTGATATGTTTAAAACTTAGTGGGAGACGAGTAATCAAAAGACTTAAACTACTGTGACAGATCTTGAGCCAATATCTCAGAATTTGGATTGCAAAATACTAATATTTCAACTAATACAAGACTTTCCCTTGATAACGCTACTGAGACTAAGGATTATTAGACTTATCGATTGAGGTCAGATCATAATTTGACAATCTTTAGGCTTTTTCAACCAGCTCCTATGGTGATCAGCAAGTGTGCACTAGAATCTTTCATACACCTCATTTTGGTGAGGGCTAGTAGTTTAATCAACCACTTCTACCTAATAATCTACATATAACATCAATATTTTTCACTCAGTAGTTCTATTATGGCGATGCAACGTTTTAAAGATACTGACGATTGAATGGCATCAACCTACCCATGTTTTCTAAGCCGTCCCTTGTACTCTTAATACAGAAGGAATCAGAATTTATAATAACAAAGCCCCCAAATGCCCTGGTACAGTCGAGGGTGGGGAGAGTCCACTCTCCCTTTCGAAATACTCTCACATGGCCACGAGCATACAGCCACTGTCAGAGAAGTTCTACTCACTGCCTTCTCGCCGTGGGGGTGTTTTTACGAGATTAAGAGGGTGAAAAGCGAATGTCCGGCGCTTTAACCGGGTTTGTGGATACGGAGGTTTTACCTAGGAGAGTTGGAAAACTCTGATTTAAAATCAGTGGTGAACATGGGCTCCTGGATCGTGGGGGAACAAGTGGTGTATAAACCTATTGTTGGTCACCGGCTACCACGGAACTGTATCTCCTAACACTGCTCCACTGACTTGTGTGTTAGACCTTTAGGTCAAAGGCTCTGAGTGTGGCCCCCTAAGAAAGTCACTTGCTTCGGTTTGGGCGCCCAGACAGTATCCAATCACTCACACAAATCAATGACAACTACTATTGGCCTCATCCTTATTGAGTAGTGCATATGTATTTGGTGCTCCCTTGTACCAACGTTGGTGTTCAAATAAATAGTAAATAAATAACAGTGAAGTAGACATTTTATTAACGATTATAATTTGTAAGTTATAGAAAGTTTCAAAAACCCCTAATTAAATCTTGTCAACACCCAAACCATCATGACTGATAAAACTTAAATAAGTGGTAGACAGGGTCAACTTATTAGTCTCCTGCTGTCAAGATACATGATAACACAAACCATCTTAGGAACATTAAATTCGAAGAGAAAGAAACATAGCTTGTACAGTATCGCAACGTCACTTGAGACGTTTAAAAGTACATCACTCTTATAAGCTATCAGCAGACAAATGCATACATTCTGTGTACATCACATCGTTGAAACTCTTTAGGTAAGTCAATACCTGAGAAATCAGGCAAAAGTTACCCATAGGAGGATATTCACAGAATTATGTTAAAATGTGGAAGGCAGACATCTTCAACAGAGCAGTGGCTTAGTGGTCAAAGCACCTGACTTCCAATTATTATATAGCTGGTTGCAGCTTTGGTCTCAACAGTCAACTTTCATACAAACTGCAGCTTAAGGCTGAGTGTATGAAAGCGCACTCGGAAAAACAGTGACATCAATTATCAAAGAACTAATGGACACTACTTGATCCTATAAGGTTCTCTGATAAAGATCTTTAAGCAAAGTGCACATTTGTGTTACGCCACTTAAGATGACAAAAACATTTTATAGAGCCTATTGACTGACAACGTTTGATGGTGACGTCAAGTCAAATAATTCACCAACAGCAATCAATGATGGAAAACTTGAAAATAACACGAATTCATCTTTTGTGGAAATTCCATTGTTAATTTGCGAAAAGTATTAAATTTAGGATGAGTCCCGACCGTTGTTGCTACCTTGACGTGGTGGTCGGGCTTGTCTATCGTGATGAAGCAACCGAGCTATACTGGCTGGAACAACCGTTCCTCAAGGTCCTACCATGTCAGACAGGTCGGTTGAAGAGCGGTAAGACTAAAAGCAACAAACCCAAGGTCCGAAGGCGAAGTCGTACTGCTGACTGTACAGAGGTGTGACAGCAGTAAGGTGTTTCCTTCAGACAACCAGCATGACAGCGATGCTGCCTTCCCACAAGGAGGGGTGGGGTTAGAAAAGGTCGACCCTAAAAATGCACACCTCGCCTTATCCCACGGATATCCGTCTCCGGCGGTAAGGTCCCAATAAGTACGGAGCTAACACAAAAATTACCCATAACAAGGTCGTGTGTGACCGACCTCAAGCAGTTGTCCCTTGGGCACTGCGGTCACGCTCTCAGGTCACTAAGACCACCTTTAATCCAAATTCCTTTTCAGGTACCTCCAGAACAACCCTTTCACGGTGTGGGCAACCGGGAAGTGAAAACCGCCCTCATACCTCTAACAGCACTCAAGACCACTGTATTCATAATCAACCTTCCTCTTCAATTCCTATTATTCCTCCTACATCGACTTTCAACTTTAAATTTCCTCTCTCGGCTTCCACCTCAAGTGTCACCATAGCCAACGATTCTAGTGCGCAAAATACTGTCCCAGGTCTACTGAAACCTCGCTCCGAACTACACATTGGAGCCTTCAATGTACGAACCCTATGTCAAATTGGTCAGCAGGCTTCCTTGGCTAAAACCCTAGAGTCTCTTACCATTGACGTGTGCTGTGTCTCCGAAACACGCATACAGGATTCCAGTGTGGTCATTCACCTGACCCCACCTCGGCAAAACGGAGAACCAACGAGGTACACCCTTCGTGTATCTGGTGACCCGATGGCAAGTTCTCGTGGACTGGCAGGTGTAGGCATAGCACTAAGCATGAGGGCCGAACAAGCACTGCTAGAGTGGATCCCCGTCAACAGTCGTCTATGTGCTGTTCGGCTGAACGGCTACGTAAGAACTCGGAAGGATAGGGACACACGTCGTTGCCTTTTTGTCGTTTCTGCCTACGCTCCCACTGACTGCAGCTCAGATGATGTGAAAGATGAATTTTACAGAAAGCTGTCCGAACTTCTTCAGAAAGCTAAACGCTCAGACATAGTACTCGTAGGGGGTGATTTTAATGCTCAGATAGGCAGTTTAAAGCAAACAGAAAGGCATTTAGGTGGATATTTTAGTATTCCGACACAGCGAACAAATAATGGTGATCGTCTGCTGCAGCTGTGCTCAGACAATCGTTTATTTTTAGCAAACACAAATTTTAAGCATAAGGAGAGACATCGTCTAACATGGCGACCCCCTACACCAAACCAACGATGGACTCAAATAGACCATATTGCCATCAGTCATCGTTGGAGAGGGTCGGTAGAAGATTGTCGCTCATTCTGGAGTACCTGCTTGGACTCCGACCATGCCCTAATACGGGCACGCATCTGCTTGCGCCTCACTGGACGCAAAAAAGCCACATTAAAAAGACCCGTTAGAACTGATTTGAGTAACGAGAAAACCAAAAGTAGGTTCCAGGAACAACTGAGGTCACACTTAGGTAGTTGTGAAGACGAGGCTGACCCAGATGTTGCTTGGAAGGGCATACAATCAGCTGTGGAAACAGCAGTGACATCTATTAGTGACTTAAACCACAGAGTTGCAAGGAACCAGTGGATTTCTTCAAGGTCTGTCACACTGCTGGATTCTCACAAACTCGTCCCATCAGGTCCTGAACATGATGAAGAGCGAAAACAAATTAGATCTAGGTTAAGAAAAAGTCTAAAAAACGACCGTGAGCAGTGGTGGGTAACGAAAGCAAAAGAGATGGAAAAGGCGGCGACTATAGGGAACACAAGACAGCTTTACAGACTAATAAAAGAATCTGGAATTAATAAGTCAAGTGTAAGTGAGATTGTTTCGGAAAAGGATGATACTCTCATCTGCTCCCAGTCCAGACGTTTAGAACGATGGGCGGAACATTTTAGAGAACAGTTCAGCTGGCCTTCAGCTACTCTACAACTACCCTCCATTCCCAGACAGTGTGAATGGAACATTGAAGTAGGTCCCCCGACTCTTGCTGAAGTTCAAAAGGCTATAGTTAATCTGAAACGAGGAAGGGCAGCTGGTCCAGATGGATTGGCTCCAGAGGTCTTTAAGGATGGTGGTCCAATTTTAGCGATTAAGTTGACTAATATTTTAGCTAAGATCTGTGAATTAGAATTTATCCCATCTGACTGGTCGCAATCACTTATCGTCCCAATATATAAGAAAGGGTCAAAATCATCCTGTGACAACCACAGAGGGATTAGTTTAACAAACATAGTATCTAAAATACTGGCCTCGATAATTATCAAACGCCTAACTAAGACTCGTGAACTACAAACTCGAGAGAACCAAGCTGGCTTTAGACCTGGTCGTGGCTGCATCGACCACATATTCACCATTCGTCAGGTTCTAGAACACAGGCATACCTATCGGCGTCCGACGATGGTGGTCTTTCTTGACTTAAAAGCAGCATTTGACTCGGTAGACCGCGAGACTCTGTGGCAGTGTCTGTCATTGAAAGGCGTACCTCAGAAGTACATAAACCTTGTGAAGGCTCTTTACTCGAACACTACTAGTCGAGTCAGGGCTTATGGCGAACTGTCATCTACTTTTGCAACCTCAAGTGGTGTCCGTCAAGGCTGTCCACTTTCTCCATTTTTGTTTAACTTCATCATAGACCTACTGATGGAAATAACGCTCTCATAGACTGAATTCTCGGGTATTGATCTCCTTCCAGGAGGTCCACTTATCGACTTAGAATACGCAGATGACATAGTCCTGTTTGGCGAAGACGCTGACAAAATGCAGAGTCTTTTGGTAGCACTAAGCAACAATGCCAGAATGTTTGGAATGCGCTTCTCTCCCTCTAAATGCAAGTTGTTGCTTCAGGACTGGTCTGCGTCAACACCTGAACTAAGGATAGGGAGTGAAGTAGTCGAACGCGTTGATAACTTCACTTATCTTGGAAGTGTGATCAGCCCTAATGGGTTGGTATCGGACGAAATCTCAGCACGGATTCGAAAAGCTCGTTTGGCTTTTGCCAACTTACGTCACCTTTGGCGAAGGCGAGATATCCGTCTATCAATAAAAGGACGAGTATACTGCGTGGCAGTTCGTTCTGTTTTAATTTACGGCAGCGAAACATGGCCCTTAAGAGTAGAAGACACCCGTAAGCTACTAATATTTGACCACAGATGCCTTAGAAATATTGCTGGCATCTGTTGGGATCACCGGGTAAGTAATAGCGAGGTTAGACGCAGGGTATTAGGGAATGATGGTAAATCAGTTGATGAGGTTATGAATCTTCATCGACTGAGATGGTTGGGCCACGTATTACGTATGCCTGAACACCGATTACCACGACGTGCAATGCTATCCGGTATTGGAAATGGTTGGAAGAAAGTTAGGGGCAGCCAAACCAAAACGTGGCATCAGTGCCTGAAGTCACTAACTTCTAGTCTGAGCCATGTTGGTAGATGCAGACTACTTGGTTGGGGTCCGCGTGACTTTCGTAACCAATGGTTGGAGACTCTTGGTGACATGGCTCAGAATCGACCACAATGGCGTCGGTGCATACACTCCCTGTCTTCCCTTAAACTAAGAGACTAAAATCACTTCATTCTTTCTGTCTACGAACTAATTCTTTCTTCCTATACTATATCCTTATTGCAACCTTTGACCTAACCACTCCTATGAATCCGCTGTTCATCTTGCTGTGCTAATGAGGTATGGCAACCTGGACCGATGCACATATGTGCCTGGTCCTACGTTGTAGCTGACTGACTGACTGATTTAGGATGAGCGGGTTAGGTTTCACAGGTATAGACCAAGACTGCTCTCAATAAAGCGTTGTAAACCCTAACTTTAACAGCCAAACTGACATCAGAAGGGCACCAAAGATGACCCAAATAGTCACACGCTGTTTTGGTTTTTACTATATATAGATTGATCTCATCTACAGAGCGACCACATGCACTTAAAAAACAACAGAAATACACGAACTCTTCAACTACGTGCAACGGCACCCCACAAAAAGTGAGTGCAGGTACTGGCTCCTACCAGTCTTGTCCAAGTACTGTGGACTTAAGTGTTCAAGCATTTGGTGGCGAGTTAATATATGATATATACATCCACAACCTGAACGAAAGCCAATCTACTCCTCAGGAGTCAGTCTTTGACATGTTCTGTAGTATGGTGGTAGTCAGTCAATTAAAGGATAAGATATACTTAAATTATTTTCACATAAATCATGTGGGACGTTTCAAAAGATGAATACGGCAATGTCCTGATTCGAATACTGGAGCATCATCAGTTCATAGTTTTGCACAATTCAGCTAGTTATGAAACCATTATGTCATCTTAATTCCGAAAAAATATTGAAAGCTATGGTTCAAATCTAGTTCAAAGTGATACTTGATTTCAATTATAAGTCCAGTTTATTCAGACAGAGACTCTAACCCATGTCTAAACAATGACCCATATAGATACCTTACATTATACGAAGTAAAAACAGTATTAAAGAGACCAGGAAAATATTTACAACACATATCCCGGTTTGTGCAAGCCGTAGCCAAGATCAAAGACAATAGTCCACAAACTTTAGTGGCCTGCTTACTTTATGCATAGTGACTTCAGGACCATTAAAAACTGATGGTTCACCCATATCATTCCAGGTAAACATGGAATCTTTGCAAACAGGTTCATAAGTAAGGAATAGATTTGACCACCACTGCTGAACAGATTTATCAGTGAAATCAGGCCACGCACTAGATCCAGGCCAACACCAACCATCGAATTCGGTCCCATCTCTAGTTTTGACGAAAATCCCATTATTTTGGGAATTACTGAGAAAATATTAAAAAAGAGGTTTCCATTAAGTATAAATTTATTAGTCAGAATGATGCGTTTATGTTCACAATACTAAGAAATGTTTAACACTGATGAATAAATTCACCCTAATGCCAGATAATTTACTGGTAACTTCATTTATGAAAACGGTTTGAGAACATGGGTTAATTTAGTTTCTGAATATAATCACATAATAATAATAATAATATTAATATTAATATTAATATCAGATGACAGTAATGCTGTACACTGAACGACTGAGTACTTAGTGACAGTCTCTTTTTAATTTATCATTTGCACCAACATCCGTGTCCAAAATGTGACTAACAATTATACTTACAGGTTTCTTTAACTTAAAACCATTCACTTATTATTACCCCTCTTTGAGAGAAGGATAACTTAGATTCTTGAGAAACTTCGTCTATGCTCAATACCTTTTGTGGAACCACTTCAATATCATCTAACAATAATGCATGACAGTTTGACTACTAAACATGCCTCCAAAACCCCGAGTCAAGTATATGAATAAAAATAAACTGTAGGACTGTTTAGTAAAGTTAATTAACATAGAATCAAGACGAGAAACTGAAAATAAACTAGTCAGTATTGTCCCAGATATCAATATCTTAGAAAATGTTTGATACATTATAAAGTAGGTTTCACATATGCAGTATCGAGAGGGCTATCACAGACACCATGAAGTTTACAAACGTTTCAGATAGACATTAACAAAGTCTTCGTAATAGGATCAAAAACTTCTTTACTATCTGCAAGTCTTGGATGTAATTGTTTTGACATAACTACAACCCTCAGATTTGACCATTTTTATCACCTAATTGGTGAGAAGGCAATTATGTCAAAGATTAAGTAAAATCTTCATCGTAGTGGGGAAGTTTACCCACAGAACATTGTGTTTAAAGGAACCACACATAAACAACTTTCATCAAATGTTAAAATGTGGGAAAATTACCTGAATAAAGGCCAATTGGAGTCACGCTTAATGTGAGGGTCAACAACCGTAACGAGCTTTCGACCTTTAACATTCAGTTTATCAACCATTTCTTTTGGATTTGGAAATTTAGTTCTATCCCAAGTAAAATAACGTTTTCCATCAGTGTGTTCAATGTCTAACCACAAAACATCAACAGGCATTTCATATTCATCAAAATGTTTGTCCACAGAAAGTAAATCAGCTTCATCATTATAGTTCCATCTACACTGATGATAACCAATCGCAAACAGGGGTGGTAACTTGGTAGTACCTACCACACTAGCATAAGAACGCATTGCTTCAGATGGAGTACTACCCATAAACACATATAAATCTACTAAGCCGGACTCAGATATCCATCTCGTTTGTACTGAAGATTTCTCTGGTTTCTTCGAAAAGAAACCTGAAAATATTCCGCTATTTTGTGAGTTCGAATGATCAATGTCGATCCATGTCTCCGACGGATTCAGCCACAAGACACCCACAGTATTGTTTTGATTGTGTCCCCACATAACAGGGACAGAGCCATATAAGGCCATTTTATTATGGACCTCATATTCGAATACATCAAGATTATAAAGTCTGTAGGGGTCGCCATCACTTGTAGTTTTCAAAACGAATCCATCAGCATGTTCTGGGATCCCATAGACGTGACTGAATCCCTGAAAGTCGAAATCCATCGAGATAGAGTTTAAGCCGTGAGGTCTTGTGTCAAGATGTTCCTTGAAATATTCTGACCATGACTGATCTTCCGGAACTGTGTGCTCTGTATCTATATGATCTTGTTTTTCATCTTCTTTGTCTTCATCGGTTGTAGAGTCTTTTGGTACATCTGTATTTCCTGAAGAATCTTCGGAACTATTTACAGTAGAAATATCAACCTCATGATTTTCACTTGGTAATGCATGGTTGTCATTTTGAGATACCTTATTTTTATCGATAATCGGTTTTTTCCTCTGATGTTCAAAATTTAAAAGACTTCTCTTATTTGCTGATGCTACAACAATGTCATTCAGGAAAAAATCGATATGAAAAGGGTTATAATACACGACTGCCTTGTATCCAGACTGTCCATCCAACACTAAACTATTATCAGCAAATTTACACCTGATAGGGGCCTTTTCAACGCCTGGCAAAACGTCTCCTGTAGGCACGCGATACCTTTTATACTCATCTGTCAATTCATCAATGAGTACACGGAAGATGGAGTGTTGATTATAGGTAACATCCAGCGACAGATGATGGTTTTGATCTTCAGTGTGAATAACTGCAGTTATTCCATGTGGGTTTATCTTGACAGAACTTGGTTCTAACCTGTGCGCAAGTCCCCCGGGTTTTATTTGTCGTTGTCGAGTACAGAACCTGTAATATGAGTAAACTATAAAATCATTTAACTTACGAGCTCTGGTCACATGTTTTAAAATTAGCACGATCTACCGACCATGAGATATTGAGTATCACGAAAAGTAGACCTAAACTCTCTGGCCTCAAAAACATGTTGAAAGAACTGTATTAATAGGCTAACGGGTTTTGTTTGGTAGAGAAGTGAAGGAATAATCTTGTGTGGGATTCCAGTTCGCCAGGTCAAATAACGTAACAAGGAGTCTGAGAAAATGAAAAGCGTAGTTCTAAAACTTAATAAGCATATTTTAAATAACCATATGAATACAAGATAATAAGTAGTCAGTGATCGATCTACGGAGTAGGATTCTAGAATAACAAACGCTGATAGCTATTTTTGGAGAAAACACCTTTAACCAATTGGTATGCAGCTGTTAACACAGTAGATAAAAGCTGTTGGTCGCCCCCTATCAAGCTAGCATGATATGAAAGATAATAAGAACTTATTTATTTTTATTTTGTTTCAACACATATATATTGGTACAAGAAGGCACCAAATACATATGTGCAACACAAATCTCATTCGATATATGTGAGGGCTATGATACTGCCCGGGTGTCCAAACCGCAGTAGGTGGTTTTCTTAGGGGGTCACACCCGGAGCCTTCGACCTGAAGGTCTGATCCAAAAGGCAGTGGAGAATCGTATGGAGATGCAGTCCCATGGAAGCCGGTGACCAACAATTGGTTCATACGCCATTTGTTCTCGCAGGATACTGGAGCCCATGTGCACCATTGGTTTGGAATCCGGTTAAAGCGCCGGACATTCGCTTTTCGTCCTCTCATTTTCGTAAACAACACTCTCGCCACGAGAAGGCAGTGAGTAGGATTTGCTTGGCAGAGGCTATATACGCGTGGCCATGTGAGAGCATTTCGAGAAGGATAGCGGACCCTCCCCACTCTCGGCCGTACCAGGGCATAATAAGAACTAACCCAAGTGGATTCATTGAACACAAAATACTCATTTAGTGATAATGAAACCAGCAAAAGTTAATAGTGAGCAAGATCACCAACAATACTATCTGTAGACGAAAACCCATCTTATGTGTTCTACAGCAAATGAAAGGGGCAACCTTGTGACCAATAGCGTAATCTACTAGACACCAAACAGAAGCCGTCATAAGCCAAAGTCCATACAGACAAATGACACTCAGGAGTCTGTAAAAATGGTATGTCAGGTTTTTATGATTAGTTAATTTCAGAATAGGGTGTGTTAAATCCTGACAGTAAGATTATTATGAGTATCGTACGACTCTGACTCAGCCTAATCCATTATACAAATTACACGATTGATCGGCGAGACCCTAACCTTAACCCTAACCCTAGGCTACAACCCTAACCACTAACCCTATGGACGAGTTTCTATACCATATACATCATGAATTCAGAGCCTCTGAACCTTTATCAAACCTTAACACGTTTTCAAATCATTTAAAAGAATATCCACTGTAATTCATTACTTACAATATATTTTCACTTTATACTGTCTTCTGATTGGCTAATAATTGTCAAGGTCATTTAAGATTCGTTCAAGGGTCGTTGCCAAATTAGAGTCTCGCCACTGCTCGAAGTCAGATGGACACTAAAGACAAGCGAGCCCGACTGAAGAGGTATATGCCGCCCATCTATAACGGACTAACACAGAGTTTGCGCATCAACGAGGTTGCGGTTAGAAATTAACGTGCGCTACTACGACCTCAGCCTAATGAACAAACCCGTCATACTTTAGGAGGCTGCTGAGCCTAATGTGACTCACTACCGTTGTATCATAGGCTTGACAACCTGTTGTGATGTCCATCTTCATTACGCGGTTGCCACTGCCCCATGAACATACCCTTCAACGAGATAAGAACACAAAGCAGATGGTCTGTAGCTCGAAACGACACACTTTCTTGATAGAGTAAGCGCACTATGTGCTGTGTACAAACGGTACCACGTGTGAAGATCGTAGATTAGGAATTACATGACAGGGAAATAACCGACGACCCATAAAAGCATGTGACAGACCTACGTTCAATAGCGAACCCAAAAGACAAATGCTAATGATATCACAAACTTGAAGTTTAGGAAACCTGACAAGCCAAACCTGAAGTGAGCGAAAGCTCTTGAACGCGTCAAACGACCTACAGTCAAGACGCGCGCCGGTGAATATTCACTTCAGCACTGAATAATTCTAAATCTAAACTTGTTAAGGCCTGTTCAGAAGAGACTTTCTCTATATTAACACAGCACTTCGTGGAAATAATTCATTGTAATATCTATCTGTAGTCTTGAGCATATGAAAGAAAAGTGAGGGCATATCAGATGCGAATTTATCATCAAGTAATTTGAAAGCCATGATCAAGTCACATTTGATTCTTCTATATGATAATGGGAATAGATTAAGGCAGTCGAGCATCATACGGGAGCTTTGATATTCCGGGAATCAGTTTAGTTGCAGTTTTCTGAATATTTTTCAACAGCTCACTTTTTCCTTTTAGACAGAAGCTAGACACTTGTATTCAGTACTCAAGTTTAGGACACACAAACAATGTATACAAATTCAAAAAAGTTAAAGCATCTACATGACTAAAGGCTCTACGTATTGACCAAAGTGTTCTGAAAACTTTGGCGGCTATCGCAATGTAGTATGCAGTAGTTTATAGGTTTGAACTAACGACGGCTCCTAAAACAATGTGCTTTTGGACAACTGGCAGCTCATTAATATTCACCGTGTATGCATTTCAAGGCTAATTGTATACTGAATCTTTCATCAGGTTCAGCGACACTGTTTCTCAAACATTTCCTGGTACTGATAGTAGTGTGATGCCTTTGTAGTTCACACATGTGCCGAGATTTCTTTTCCTTGATATATTGATGGGGTATTTTCCTCTCCAGTCTGTCGTCACTTGTTCCTCCTCCTTTCGAATCTTCCTGAATAGCATGAGGAGCATGTTTGCAGTTACTTCTATGTGTGACTTCATGCTTCAACTAGTGTGTTATCAGGTCCTTCTGCTTCCCATCTGTTGATTTGTCTGACAGTCATATTGGTTTCTTCGATTTACTGTGGAGTGACATCTATAGAAAAGTCTGCATGTGTTGCTTCGCTGTTCGGTGGGTTCAGTGAGTCTGGTCTATTCAAGAGTTCTTCCGTGTTTTACCCATCTATTCTTCTGTTCTTGAATCTCGACGATTGTCTTACATTCGTCCTTGACCGGTCTCTAGTTCACTATATTTCCCTACCAGTTCCCTCATTGTGTCATAGAGTTGTTTTGTATTTCCTTCTCTTACAGCTTTTTTCCCTTTCGTTGGTATGTCTTCCATGTATTTTCGCTTGTCAGCTCTAATGCCCCTCTTCACTTGCTTATTTGCCTCTGTGTATTCATCTTGTTCTTAGACTTTCTCTGCACTTGTTCGGCTGTTGTTAATTTTGTCCAAGGTTTCTAGGAGATCCTTACCTTATGCTGATACTTCTTGCGACCCATGACGCTTTGAAGTTAGTGCTGCTTTGGTCCCTTTTCAGTTGTCCTCTACAGTAGCTTTTTTCTTTTAGTAGATCCAGTAAGCTTGGAACCCGTTGTTGAGAGCTATCTTGAATTCGTTGAGTTTGTTAGTACCTCGAAAGACGAATACATTAAACCTTTGTAATGCTTTTCTCCCAGTTATCTAGTATTTCTTTAACTTAGGTTTCATCTTGACCACAACCAGGTGACAATCTGAAGCTATGCCAGCTCCTTTCCTGGTTCTCAGGAGGTCCATAGACGTTCTTAATTTTTAAGTGATGTAAATATCATTGATCTGATTCTCTGTAATGTGATCCGGTGAGTCCCATGCAGCTTTGTGAATGTGTTTTTGAGGGGAAATATTGCCACCTATAACCATCTTGTTGACTGCACATAAATTTGCAAATCTCTCACCATTCTCGTTGCTCCCTCCCAGTCCATTTCGTCCCATGATATCTCCATACCCAATGTTAGCCACGCGAACTTGGGTGTCTAGGTCTCCCATCAGTATGGTCAGGTCGTTTCCTAGGCACTTCGCTATGATCTATTGCAGCCTTTTGTAGAACTGGTCTTTGTCGTCGTTGTTATCATTGGTGTGTGTGTAGTGGCATTAGACCATAACCACACAATCTTCAAAGCTGAAAACAAGACTACTCGGAAAATAGAAATTCAATATTTAACGCGGAGAAATACTTAACGATGGAGAAGGCTCGAACAATGAATTGAATGGACTGGATAGCATGGCTTGACCATGCAGGCGTGATCCATCTGAATGTTACCTTATATCTTCTATTCATATTAAATATATTGTTCTTTCTCTAGCCTAACCTTGTTCTACATCATGTATTGGTAATTGATACGATACAGTGAATTGGTGTAGTCGATGGTGTGACTTCCACGTAAGATCTTATAGATTAGGCAGTTATATTATGACAAATCTACAAATTTAGGATTAGGTCTATTATTAGAGCAGTACTAATATGATAGTAGACCATAATTTCCCACCAACCACATACGTTTAGGATCATCGGACATACATTTTAGTCAGTCCTGCGTTACATGCAATTCGGCTTCGCTGCCGAGACAATATAACAAGTTGGCGAAACAACAGAACTTTTTCGATGTGTCTGACAGGTGTGAAAGCATATTGGTTGAAATAATATACTCGACTCAATATTTACAACGAAATCCGACCCGGTTGTAATGCAGTTAGTAAATTTTTATGAGTGGTTGCTATATTGTCAGACTCTAGCTGCAATGGAGTTCTAGGATGGGCAGTATAATCGAAAAACATGGAAGCATAGTGAATATCTTACTCGATGTTTACCATGGAAATCATGCTTCACCATAATTAACACTGATACTGAACTTTCCGATTTATGCATCTATTTGACGCATTGCCTTGACTCTGTAGAATTATGGTCTACTATGATATTAGTAGTGCTCTAATAATAGACCTAATCCTAAATTTGTAGATTTGTCATAATATAACTGCCTAATCTATAAGATCTTACGTGGAAGTCACACCATCGACTACACCAATTCACTGTATCGTATCAATTACCAATACATGATGTAGAACAAGGTTAGGCTAGAGAAAGAACAATATATTTAATATGAATAGAAGATATAAGGTAACATTCGGCAGAGACCACGCCTGCATGGCCGAGCCATGCCATCCGATCAAACCCAGACCATTCAATTCATTACTCGCCTTCTCCATCGTTAGGTATTTATCCGCGTTAAATATTGAATATCTGTTTTCTGTGTAGTCTCGTGTTCACAGCTTTGTGGATTGTGCGGTTATTGTTCAATGCCACTACAACTCCACCGCTCCAAAACTCCACTGTGTCACTTATATCGCTAATAAAAGAAAAAATACTTTCAAAACTTTTGGGAGCAATGTGAGGAAATTGGTGCATTGCTAAAACAAATATCATGACTTGCGTGCACTTTTAAGCATCCCAAACGTACTTCCTAAATGATTCATTTAGAAGCAAGTGCCTTTTGATTACAGATAATAAAGCTCCAAGTTAGAAAGACCCAAACTTAGCCATACTTCGACTGTTCAAATCCCGTGAGGAAGGGAATTCTCTTCATACAATTACATTCTTCATAATTAACGATGACATTTTAGTCGACAGTTATGCTATTCACGTCAAATTAATCACTATTTCTGGCGGTGTCACAGTACTTTCTCATGGCAATGCACTTGTATATGTTTCTTAATCATTCGTGAAGCACGGTAGTAAACGATTTTCATTACACAGACGAAATCGGAACACCACAAATCATCGTTGATCAATCAGTTGAATGGAACTCATTACTACACATCATATCGATTTGACATTGTGGATAGGAGAAGCTTACAGAACCTTCTTAGACACTATGGTGTACCTGAGAAAATCGTCAACATCATCCGGCATCCACACGACAGACTACACTGCATGGAGGACAGCTGACAGATTCATCCTGATTGAGGATCGGAGTCAAACATGGAGTTCTCTCTCGTGCTTTTTATTACATCTGATGGTTGATTGGATGGTAAAGACCTTTACATCTTGGAAGAATCACGGAATACAACAGACAGATCGCAAGCAACCAGACGATTCGAACTTCGCAGAAGATTTGGCCCTCCTATCTCGTACACAAAAACAAATGCAGGTCAAGACAACTAGTGTATCAGAAGCCTATCTACCAGTAGGCCTCAATACACACAAGGGACAAAACAAGATCCTCGAATACAACACGGAGAACTCTGACCCAATATTACTTGATGGAGGAGCTCTGTAAGATGTGGTAACTTTCACGTACCTGTTCAGTATCATCGATGAACAAGGATGATCAAATGCAGATACAAACACACGGATCGGCAAAGTAAGGCCAGCATCCCTATAATTGAAGAATAAATAGGACTCAAAACAACTGTCAACTAGCATCAAAGTCAGAATCTTCAATAAGATAATTCGACTGTACTGAGGTGAATCATTGAAAACTACTTGTTACGTCCAATATTTTGCTCGTTCCCGTTATTGAAGTATGGTATATCGATCTATTTGCAATTCACGAGCCCTAGTTAACAATAGAACCAAACTCCAATTTAGGTACCAAAGTTTATTCGCAGTTTACAAATAGTTGACCCAAATGTCAACAACAATAATAATAATAATTACAAAACAAACCTTCAATTTTGTAGGTTCCCGGAGCAAAACCCCCCAAATACCAAGCCAAAAACAAAAGAAACCGAAGTGTCCGAAACTGATATAAACAAACAAATTCGGAAGTTGAGTAAAACAAATACATCCAAAAAACACAGTAAAATTATTAATAAAAGATATAAAAGTTGTAGTCAGCCAAATGTCTTAAGTTCTCCCGCAAAACTACTGCAACCAATGTCAAAAAAGTACAAGGATTTACGAAACAACTATCTACTCAATGTACTCGATGTCCATTGAACGGATACCATCAGCAGAGGAAGAGGAAATTCGAAAAAGAAGTTGGAGGTGGATAGAACATACATTGCAGAAGTCATCAAGCTGAATCACGAGGCAACCTCTAACTTAGAACCCCAATGAGAAATTTAAAAGAGGAAGGCCGAAGAACAAGTTGCACCGGGAATTGGAAGCAGAAATTATAAGGATGAGTAGCAACTGGATTGAGTTGGATTGAGAATGCTGATGGGCGGCCTATTCTGCTCCATGAAGGGTAAGAGTTGAAATTAAGCAAGTAAGTTTGTGGGGAGCATTTCTTCAAGCTTGAATGCTTTCAGTTATTTTTTCTCGAGGTAGATTTTTCTTTATTTTTAACTTGAGTATTACTCAGTGGGCAGGTGAGTGAACTCTCAATAGTCGAACAGATCATTAGAAAATCGTACGTCATCAAAATTGTGTTAAGTCGCCCGCTTGTGGCAATTTCTCAGATCTTCTTGACTTATTTTCTTACTTTCCGTCGTTTTACAGGCTCTGATCCCCATAAAATGGACACTTTCAGCAAGTCATAAGCTACAATTTGTGGATTGAACTAAATGCTGCGGGATAATATATTGAAGGTGCCACAGGTATTCGGAGTTTGACAACGCTTTAACCAGTAACACCTAATATGAATCGAATGCATGGCCGAGCACCTTCAGCTAGGTGAGTCCATTAAAACTAATGTGGTTAGCATCCAATGTTGAAAACTTACGGAGTTATTTATTTTGGGGATTTATTTGCCGCTACAATATCAAGTTAATTATATGATATCCATGTTTCATCTCCGAATACTAACAGAGCGTTGGTCGTAACTGTTTGAAAGTCAAACATTGAACAAGTCGTTAATTCTGCTTTTGGCTGAGAAGACACAACTAAAATGTTCTTGCTAGGTAAGTTGATCGAACCAACATTCCTGTGAAAGTTGATTCTAGGAGAAAGCTAGTGAAACAATTTAGCTCAACTGGTTAAGAGTTACTTGCAAATACCAAAGTAAATGTCAGAACATCAAGGCTCAAATATTCATTCACCTCCTTATTCCGTATAGGGATTCTGTTTCCCATTTCCTTATATTATTAGTAATTATAGCTTTATTAAATATTATATTTTGGTACAATATAGAATGTAATTTATATACTCAATGTTATTGTCTAATCGATCGAGTTGTATTCCAACCAATCCGAATTGCACCACGTTGGAGTATTTTTTATTTGATGCTAGGTGGTTGAAGGCATGGGAAGGGAACCCAGGCTGCGCGTTAATTGTGAGTACATCTCGCATACAAATATCAGCTATATTTAAACCAGGATTTAAAGTATTTAATAGTTTGTCATAATTGATAATTTGTAGGACCTTGTGATTTAGCAACAGTTATCTCGTCAAAAAAACTTCGATGTCGTTTGATTGTTTAAGAAATAAGTTTACTGTTAAAAATTGAGAAATAAACCACTAGTTTTGCTGTGAATAAGACGAAGACTAAAAAGGGACATACAAATAAACAAAAATCTAGAAACATCAAAGTGATAGTCTTACAGAAAGAATAATAAATTAATGACAACCAAGTTGGTCATCACAGTATTCTGTTACATTTAAAATAATGGAGTTCATTTTGTGTACATGTATTGTCTGACAAAATTCTTTTGACGAATTTCTTTAATTTTGGCATTGATTTGTTTGTAGTCATCTTCACGTACATCAGTGAATGTTTTTTGAGTAATATCATCTGCATTTCCGAAACGCATTTTAATAACATTGTCATCCTTAGGCTCTGAAAATAAATTAAACCACACATGATTATTTAACCAATCAATCGGATTTTCTAACGTCTGTTGATTACCATTAGTAGGAAAGGTAATTTTAGTAGTTGAAGCATTACGGGCTCTCTGACATGCAGCACATTTGTTTTCATTAATTATTCTTCGTAAATTCTTTAGTAAAGACAGTTCACATTCTTTAGAATTCGCAACTTTTACCAAATCAATATATTTTGGTGTGAGACGATGAATTAATGGACCGATTTGTTCATTAACTTGACTGAGGAATCGATTATGTACAATAGTTTGATACCACATTGGATATATAGGCCATTTACCGTTTGTTCTTTGACACAATGCCCAGTCACTTAAATTCAAATAAACGAAAATTAATATATCATTCCACGAATGCTTAGTATGATTTGATTGATAATGAACTAGTGCACGTGTCATGTAAAATTCTGATTGAAATGGTGCTAAACGAATACAGCGATCTAAATAATTTATTGCATTTGACCAGTCACTTTGTTTAATTCTACTTTTACTTAACTGGTAACAAGCTAAGCAGATTCTTCCATTGATTGAAATAATACTTTCGGGAATTTTCATCACATTGTTATCACAAATGCAATGACCAGAATCGGTCAATAGTTTACTAATTACTGACTTTGCGTTTTCATATTCTTCAAGTGATTTTTCATAATTATTCAGAAAATATTGACAGTCAGCAGATAAAATCAATAATCTATAATTTTTAGGATCCACTTCCAAGAGTTGACGAGTTAATTCATTTGATTCTTGGTATTTCTCTTGTTTTAATAGTCTTATTGCATAAAAGCTCATGGTAAGAAATAATTGATTTCTCCCTAATTGGTACAGATCAGCTGACTTCTTCTTATCAGTATCATTCCATGTATTGAATAAATTTATTCCTTGCATAATACAGTCTAAAGACTCGGTTAATCTGTCAAGTTTCCTTAGGATTGCTCCTTTATCAAAATATAAAGAAATATTCTCTGGTTGGGCATAAATCGCTATAGTGATTGAATGTAATGAATCGAAGAAACGATTTTTCAACATTAATTCAACAGCTTCCTCTTGTTTATTGGAGGATATAGTTTCAAGTTGATGTAATAAGTTGTAACTTTCTAAGTGATTTGGGCAATAACGTAATGCTTTTTTCAAATCATAATAGGCTTGTATTATTGACTGACCATTTTGTTTCGATAATAGGTTAGCTCGTGCATATAGTAGATCGGATAACTCTTTTAGGAGAAAAAATTATTTGTCATTAGTAGTATACCAAGTGAATAACTAATTTTATCACATTTATTTTGATATTGAGCTAAAGTGTCAGGAAAAATGAAGACATTTCACATAGAATTATCAACAGTAAATGACCGAAATTCTTAAAGATAACAAGTGGAATAAATAAATCACACCATGAGAAGCTGGCGAATTTCATTATTTACTTGGCTTACCTAATAATAAGTAGGATCTATATTTGCTGATTTTACACGATTCAACATGAAGAGAATATTTCTCAGAGTTTCTAGAAAATATTTCATAAGCTTGTACTTCCTAACTTTCAAAAAGAGGTAGGTATGGACAACCCGAATTAATATTGGTATCTATAGATAAATGTTTTGTTCCAGGCTGTAGTATAAAAGGAGACAATTATTCAAATAAGTAAGACTAAAAGGGGTGGGTTCGGAATAAGTATAGAGTGGTGAAGTGATCCGAATCAAGAAGACAAGTAATGAAATAAATATGCACCAACGTGATTTATTTCATACCAGTATACATCAATTAGCCAATACTAAACAATGATGATTTTGAGACAATTCTCAATGGTGTACGTTGCTACACCTCATATCAGTGCAGCACATGACAGTTAGAGAGATGGGAAGGAAGAACATTAAAATTCCCTTATTGATGATATCTGAAAAATGAACACACAACTTCTAGAATTTCCCAAATATTCTAGAGATCATGGTCACGAACCTGATATTACTCTAAATAGCTTTTAATAAGAACAACATGAATTGATACCATTGCTTGGTTTATTACCTTGTTTGCAAATCACTTCTGTCTCACTCAATAAAACATGTTGAAGTGGACTGTAATAACTTTTCGCTAAGTGTGTACAAAATGTTCGTATTTTACATTAGACTTTATTAAAAATTCATACCATTAATAAATAATTATCCTTACTCAAGTGTGTGTAACAAAGACTAAAACTGAGGTTACTAAGGCGAACAATGAAATGTACTGGATATAACAGCATAAAGTTACGTTTAAAATCCTATACAGTAAGCATAGATAAAGAAACTGCTACATGTTAAATACTATTTTATGGTTAGAACACACACACCTACGAGGTAAATATAGTCTCGAGGTTAAGATAGGATCTCCCATTAGTATTTCCTCTGGAATTTCCATATTTTCACTTTCCAAATTATTTATACATTTTGTTATCAAATCCACATAGTCATCATTACGTTTCATTGATTCATAAACTTGTAAAACACCCATCAATGTTACCAATGTTCCTGGTGTGATAGATGAGTTAGTAATTAAGTCTTTCATCTGAGCATATTGATCAATGAAGTTTCTGCCTAACTCATATTGTTTCAGGGCTTCTTCCAATTTTCCTTCATCTTTTAAATTCTTTCCATGAACTATGTGAAGCTGACCAGTCATCAATAAAGCATTTTCATATTCCATACGATCCAAACTTACAGACATGATAGATGGTGACTCCAAAGCAGCGTTTGTTAAATCTCGATTGACTGACATAGTGTCTAGTGTATTTGACCCTAAAGATATGGCCAAGTGTAGGTCGCTTATTGCATGCTGATAAGCTAATAGCTTATGTAAATTGAATAATTGAGAAAGCGAAAACAAAACAAAAACGGCAGAAAACGCTGGTTTTTAGACAATTTTATTAATACATATGGCATTAAATGCATCAAGATAGCTGATAACTTGATATATTTTCAATCCTATTGGCAGTGTTGCTTTAACAAAGTCATAGAAACCCTACACAGATGACTTCTAACTGGTTGAGAGCCAAACAAATCCAATTAACAGCATAGGAAGAAACAAAGTTCGTTGTGTAACAACACTTCTTGCGAAATACAATTAATTTTCCTGTTTATGGGCATCAGAATCAAAAACCCAAAATTGTGACTTAAATTCAGTGCGGTACAAAGTTAATGCACTTAAAAAGAATAATAAAAATGCTATAATATTTTGTTTCAGTAACATAGATTATGCAATTGATTTATTGTAAACAACCTCTGGATTCTACATGATCTTTTATTTTAAAATGTAGACAACGTCTTTACGTAAGACCATAAGTACCAGCTGCTTGTAAATCGAAATATACTATGTGGAAACTGACAGAAAATGACAGTTCAAATTATCGTTTAGGCGTTAATCTCAATATAAATGTCAGAATATTTAAATCAAATTCGGAAGAAGAACTGTCAAATAAACAACTCCTGTTTTATTATTTTTTATGTTCAGTAGTATTCTACCAAGTTTATTCTACAATTTGTTATGCGGATATTGAAAGGACTAATGAAGTATAATTATAGCTTACATGTTTTTATACCGGAACAAATATCAACGAAGATAAAGGTTTGATGCCCAAGTTTTAAGGGGTAGTAAGACGCACATAAGGTACTTGAGACTGTACGACGAATGTCTCATTATAGAAGCATTCAAAATGTATTGTATGTAACGGTGTTTCGTTTTGCAGATGAAATAATGGTTCAAAAGCTGATTACTATTACAGATTACGTGAAAGAATGTCATTTAAGCAAAGTGGATACTTTTACATTTTAGGATCATTTGATTGGGGAGATCACTGCAGAAGAAAAAGTAATGGCATAAACTCCCTGTGAAGGCAAGAGTTACGTCAAACTCTATAGACTTCACTATGCCTCATGGAGCATAAATTAATCTGAATTTAAGAACCACATTGAATTATTTTGACGTCAATTGTCGAGTAGATTTGAAAGGATTCGCCTCAGTATTTTATTCACGAGTACTTGAAAACTTTCTTAACGAACGAATGAAACAACAGATCTTGAAATGATCGTGGGGTGAGCTCTTACAAAACGTTATAAAACTGGATTTTTATTCGACTATAGTGAATAAATACAATATGTTTTTTAAATTCATCAAAATTTAGTGTCATTTTTATAGATTTCAACCGCTTCTTTAATTTGAATTCATATTAAAGATAAATAAGTAATTAGTCTTGTTATACAATTATTTGGAAAAACCAACAAACCTATCAAGCAAGATGAATTTTACTGTTCGTTGGTTATATTCATAGTAGAAAATTGGGTGTCCTAAAGAATTTCAAACTCCTCTGACTGTAAGCGTTCACATAAATTAAAATTTTATCAAATAAAAATTGGTCTTGTCTAAATCATTTAGGATAATACATATATTTTGAAAACTAGGATTTGAGGCAGAAACGGAATAGCTTGGAGTACCTTAAAAATTTTACTATTCACTAGAAGACTCGCAAAGCAAACAAAACCTCTCATGAACTTAAATTCTTTTGCGCTGAAATTTTCAGATCGAGTTGTCCACTCTCGGAATACACCAGATCTTTAAACATTAACTTAAACGTCTCCAGGATTTCAATCTGAATTATATGTTGAGGCAATGACCGGTAGTGCGATTAAAGATAAGAGTTTCAGTACTGTGGTAACTGATCAGTAAAACGTATCTGTACAGCCGACAGTATTCAGTGTGTCATCTAGATTCTGTTGCTAACTGCTATCAAGCATTCGAAGTTAAAAAAGTAAAAAAATAGTTCCAATCAAGATACTATACAACAATCTGTTTAGGATGTAGATGAGATGTAGCTTACAAGTTAAAATCCAGACAAAATTTAATTTACCTTGATATAAATTCCAGAGCGTTCTATAAGAAACTTAGCGTTGTGTGGCGCTAATTTGATGCATTGATCAATATGATGCATAGCTTTTGTCATATCTTTACTTTTCATAGCCATTTGTACACATTTATGATGTTTTCTGATAGTTGTAGAAAAATATTGTGCAGTTGTTAATTTGAATGAAGACATATAATTTTTCGATTCATTGCGAATTGAACTTGAACGAACATCGGAGAATGAATTTGAGGTTGCAATAACGGATTTCAATGTATTACTTTTTAACTCTAAATTTTTATTGAAATTCGGTTTAAGCGCAGAGAATTATTAATACCTTTAACTATAACATTGTGCCCCAGCTGTTCGTTTGCTGGATATCGTGAGCGGTTTTCAACGTCAATACAAACTACCGTGTTTTCAGGTCTCCATTCTGTTTTGTTCATTGTAACATTAATTCTACCATAGAATAAATTTTCAGTTTAAAAACATTTACAATCACTTTAAAACGGTTGAGAAACTAACTCCAAATTGATAAATATGTGTTTATAATATATGTGGGAAATTAGGATCTAATACATTTCAAGATGATCAAATAAACTAGTGTTGTTAGTTCAATCTATATAGGTAAACATGTATTTAAAGTTTTGTATTTTATAATAAACGCACATCGGCAGTTACTTGCCTAAAATAAAACAAACTCTATCTGTGCAGATAAATTTGCTATTTATCGTGAATTATACTTTTCATGGTCTAATGTATCATTCACAATTTTGACGTCATTTTCCAGCCCTCCATAACTCTCACATTTTATGTTAGTTTTATATGTGCCAAAGCGCCACCGTGAAGGCTTTTACAAAAAGTAATCAACCAACAGCTATCTCTCTTTAGCTCCGCTCCTCTTTAAGAACAAAAAACGTGAGTGGATAATAAGCTGGCACAAACGTATTTTTGTGTCTATTACACCGATTCAACATGTCAATACATGGACTAAAACTTATCAAAAGAGGAAACGTAACCAGAGTTTGGGATTGATTTTATGAGGGTAAAGTAGATCATTTAGAGATTCGTAGCTTAAAACAACTCACTACTAAAATATCTAAACAGTTTTGTTTTAAATATCGGAACAAATATTTTCATATAAATACCTTTTGGCTCACGTAACATCACTTCAGTATCTTTATACCCCGAATCTTACTAAGAGACCATAAACCAAAGCAACTTTTCAATGGTATCATACCTAAGCATACTGTTCTACAATTTAATAACACGTTCCGAATCAATATGCGATAGAAATAGGATACATGTTTAAGTACAGTCTGCCCAAAACATTTATGCCATTAAACTAGTACTTTAGATTATCTCATCATCTATTCTTACTGACCCACCGAAATTAGTTCTAATCACAAACCACACAATCAGCCAAAGTATATAGTATAAACACAAGAACTTAAAACTCAAGTGAAATTCCATGGCCTTAAATCAGTAAGAAACTGTAAAGCCTCAAAAACACAGTAGTAAAAGTTATTATGAAAAATGTTTTCGAATTAACTGTACACACGAATCAAGATCCAGAAAAATCAGTATTAGTAACAACGCTGTCAGCAAAATTATAAATAAGCTCAGCTACATCGTACGATTGTTCAAAAATAACTGTTTTAAATAGTAAAACTACTATTTTCCCTCTCTTTTAAGTACTTGGCAAGGCATTAGAAGTTAAATTTCCAAAGTTGAAAAATTATTACATAACCGTATCGTTTCATTGGTATTATGTTATTGCAAACTATATGTATCCTTGGGTGCTGAAATAATGAAAATGAGTTGGATAAAACATTTTCAATTAAAATACACAACAATAATATGTACATAATGGTTCTTAATAAGCCAGTATGGTCATTTCCCTTAACGTTCTAATTGAGGAGTAAGTATTTGGACAAAAACGCGAGTGGTTTTTCTTTATGATCAAAAAACACGGTCGACAGTAAGCAATATATTCCATAAGGATGTCTGCAGATACGTAAGCGTTTTAGTGTAAATAGGGAAATTCGAAAATCATGATAGAAAGCACGGAATGAACTTCACCTTTACCATTGAGGAGCAAGTGACGTGTAACTTCTAATATAAATGGTCGCATAAGCTCTGTCTATGAATTCACCTAAATAGACAATCAGTTTTTGGGAAATATCACAGGAGTTATCATATGTTGAGTTATCTGCAGAAAAAGATCCCTATTCATTGATAACAAAATTATTGATAGACTGTGAGCTAAATTATTCATCAGCTGATGACTAATACTCATAAGTGATTCATTAATATGTTAGATGACAATTTTCATATCCATTCCACCGTAAATGCATCACGATACTTTAATTAATTGATATGACATAATGTGATAAACACGCGCCGCCTCCCCAGGTAATATATAGCATGAATGAAATGGTAGTAGTCAATGGAAATCAAAGCCGCTTAGAGGATAAAATGAAGATTGACTCATCGAACACGAACTTCAGTATAGAAGCAAACCATAACATAAGGTCAAACGCGTTCAATAGGAGTCAGACGTGCAGAAATATGGGACCACATAGTAAAAACGGCAAAGTAGAATGAACTAAATTTACAGTTTGGTGAAAACTATGAAAGCTTGAGAGAATCGGGTTTTTTACAACCCAGAGTTTGGAATATTGGCTGAAAGCAACATACGTTAGCTAATTCTTGCGGAATCCCTGATGATTGTTTGAGTCGACTCAAACAGTCATCACCGATCAGTCGAATGATCATTCGACTAAGTAATAAAATAACTTTTTGAATGACTCTTAGGTTCATTTAATAGTCTCGTTATGATTAGCTAGTTCCGCAGTCTACAGAATAAACACGTACCTAACTTGTTTCGAACGAGTAATATAAATGGTTGTTGGTGTCAAATAAATTACTTCAGTGACGAATAAATCATCAATGACATGTAAATAAGCAAATACATTGTAACAGTTAGACCTTATTAAGATAAGTTATTGCACAAAGATAAGTCCTGTGTTCGAGGTAAGAAGACCAGGATGATAAAATCAGTAGGAGAATAGAACAGGAGAGCAGGTAAACCGACAACTCAGAACGTACATAAAATTCACTTAAATTATTAAAGGAAGTTAACAACACTGAACATTGATATAGTAGTGGAATTTAAGCAGTTTGGTAACCAGAACTGGATTTCAGTAGTGAGTAACTCGTAATTCGTGACGCGTTATGTTATCCAGAATTCGAAATGTCGCACAGAAGTTTCTATGACTTTGTTTTGTATTCGAAAGGCAATATATCATTGAAAGTGAAGTACGATCAAACGTAGCCTATTTTTAAGGTGAATCAAAATTTATATAAAATGCTAGTATCAATGTTTAAATGAGGCTTAATTGCGACTAGTTAATAATCAAATGGACGACACAACTAAACAGTCATCATGTGGCGGTAAATAAATCCACAAAATAAATAGCTCTGTAAGTTTCCGACATTGGATGCTGACCACACTGGTTTTAATGGAATTCCTTGGCTGAAGGCGCTCGGTCATGCATCCGCATCATATCACGAGTGAAAACGCCGTACTCAACATCTACTGCAATCGCTAGCCAGATTAGATCAGACGATCCTCGATATATTGATAGCCTGTCAAATATATCTTCGAACGTCTTCACTCCTGTCTTTTGATTTCACTTGGTGTATACGTTTCATACTAGAAGGTGTTACTGGGTAAAGCGTTGTCGAACCCTGAATAATTGTGGCCTCTTCAATCATTTCATCATGGTATACGGAGATCGCATACATGATACCTTAGATCTTTTACTCAGTCTTTTAAGTAACTTGAGTTACATGAATTATGACAACTTCATCAACAACAGTTAAGTACATACATTATTGTCCTGTTCGAAGCAATGTTTATTGTTGTTATTATGCTGGCATGTTCTTATTTAAATGAAAATGACCAGGAGGCCACTACTAACATTCTCTGTGCTTAGGAAATGCAAGTGATTGACGGAAACGCTTTACATTGTGAAAGTGCAATAACATACTGAAAAGCAGATAACAGCCCTACTCAAAATCTTTGATTGTAGGAGGTTAACATGTCTTTTACTCTAAATTAGGAACTGGATTACACATTCTTGTCGTAAATTAACCCTTTTTTGTTTACCTGATGCACTCAAAACATGTTTCGATTAAAGTTGTTTCTCTGATTCATGTAGCAGTTTACTGAACCTTTAGTTTCTTCGTCTCCTGCTTATATCAGAAGTAAATTATTGTTGTTTTGCAGTGGACGTTGATGAATCTTAAATCATTTAGTGTAGGCAACATAATCGTTTCTTAATTCATATCCAAGAGTGCGCTGTGATTAATGCAGAAAATGATTACACAAAATATAAATCATAGTAACACACAAGGCGGAAGAACGATCGTATAACGTTGATTATCATCGGTTCTGTATACTGTATTTTTGAGAAAGTTTTGGCCGGTACAAAACATTGTAGACCTGTCGTATGCCTAAAAACTTTCACAGGAAGAATGCTGGGGATTCTAGCGACGACAGTAAAAAGCATGCTAGCGCGGTAAACACACACATGAAAACATGTAACTTACTGTTATCTGGGAATATATATACCATTAATATTCTAAGCCTATTAAATATTCCAACTTGAAAAAAGTTGGAATCATCAAAGACGAAATGATATCTATACAACAAGCTTAACATAGGAAAAAGGGGAGTACTGAGCATCTTAATTTACATTAGTCGCATTTCAGTCCTATTATAAATCTGTAAAGAAGTACAATGAGGACGAAATCATGCAGGATGAGGGATCAGTTTTACATAACGTGGAAGCAAAATCTGTCTTATCTGAACGACATGATACAAATATCACTGAATCAAAGAGTCGCACATCCGAAACTTCCGTACCAGATCTGGTGCATTCTGAAATAAAACCACAAAGTAAGCCGGTTTGTTTATAACTTTATTCCCAGCACTTATATGGAACCCACACAAACTGATATTTGGCGATCTTTCTTAGCTTTTGTTTTAGACTCCCATCGCACATTCCTAAATCCCTACTGCTTAATTTCTTATTCTAACAATAAATCTTACCACAACAATAACATTTTAAATCCAATATATGTAATATACATAACACCGTTTAATATTATTCTTCATCACAAACACTTAATCAAATTATGTATACACCCTTCGCTGTTTCTGTTTTTATCTTCCTTCAATGTCATCGTAGTATATTTTTAAATATGACAGAACGTTTTTGAATATAGTGGATATTATCTAAACGTTGTTGAATATTGTGATTATTTGCATTTGTGATGAAACTCGGAATGGTTCAATCAAAACTCTCATGTAAGCATATGTTACATGTGAATAAACATAATATTAACATGAAGAAAGTGTTAAGGTTGCAAAATTATCGGTATGTGGTGTGTTAACTAACGGCGTCTATCAGCACTTCAAGTCTGCTTTTGTCAGTCGTACTACTGCCACAATGATCAGCGAATTCTCATGTTTTTGAACAGTACAATTTTCCAACAAATGAAGCTCTGTTATCTCAGAGGCTTTCGGCGATTTATTCACCCTCCCAATTTAGGATGGTCTAATCCTATATTGTGAAGCATGATGGTGACAGCAAGTGGCATAAAATTCAGTGTATTTCGGCACCATTTTGATATTCTTTTGTGGCTTATAGTAAGTCCTCGACTGTGGTCTTGCCTTCTTACTGATCATAAAGTACCAGTCTTGTCCACTTATAGAAATGGGTTTTCTATTCACCTTCACTGGAGACTTCGTATCATGAATCATTGGTTCGGTGACAGTTGTATTGAGCCATTTAGGCAATATGGGTCTTTTGTCCACTTTATGTCTAAGTGATCCTTCACCCTGCATGGTTTCGTCTCCAATGTGCTTCCTTGCATATTGTGAACGTGACTGAAATGGGACTTATATCAATTAAAAAGATCATTCCTCCACTTCATTCTATGTTAAGCTTGTTGTACAGACATCAATTAAGTGAGCAAGTGAGACCCAGCAAACAGTTACCTAAACATCAATATTTCATCATTGCATTTAAGAAAATAGTGGATGAAGTGACTTCAGGAAATACTAAAATAAACGGATATGCTAACTATAACAACTTTATTTTACTAACAGATTGTCGGCTAGCTTGATCGTCCAATTTCGACTGTTCCTAGTCCCACATTCCTGTCTTGGAATAGTTGTAGAATTATGGTCTACTATGATACCAGCACTGCTCTAATAATAGACCTTATCACAAAATTGTAGATTTGTAACGATATAACAGCCTAATCTATAGGATCTTACGTGGAAGTCATATTATCGTCTACACCAACTGATCGAGTCGTAACAACCACCAATACAGGGTTGAGAACAAGCTTTGGCTGGGGATAGAACAATGTATTTAATATGAGTAAAAGGTATATAACAGCATTCAAGGCCGAGCCACGCCGTCCGATCAATTCAAATGAATTCAATTCCCTGTTCCCGCCTTCTCCATCGTTGGGTTTTTCTCCATGTTAGATGCTAAATATCTTTTTTCCCAGTTGTCTGGTGTCCAGCTTTGAGGATTATGTGGTTAGGGCCCAGTGCCAATACATCGTCTTTATGGCAGCATGTTCATGAAACTATAGCGAGAAATGAATCCTCAAAATAAGTAGTTCTGTAGGTCTTTGATATTGATGCCGATTTAAACAATTTTACTGAACTCTCCTAGCTGAAAGTGTTCTGTCAGTCATCAGCACCAGATGACGGATAATTACACCTTGCTGCACATCCCTTGCAACTGTTGACTAGCTTATCTTAAAAACTTCCCAATATATCAGGAGCCTTTCAAATATATCTTACAACCACCTCATTTATGACTTCTGATTCGACTGAATTAGGCCACTTCAATGAAAAAGGTGTTACGTGTGAAGGCATTGTGAAACTTCGATTACCCGTGGCATCGTAAACCATTGGACTCCTCTTGTGTGTGTTTACATATGATAGTAGGAATATTTTTCGTCCCTATATTGTCTAGGTCTAGGCCTCTCAGAGCAGATCTGGGGGCTTTTACCCCGTGTCTAGAGCGATAGGATACGGCCACTCATTTTATTATATTTGATAGTGACGATGGAATAAACCTCGACTATCATCTCAGGCCATTCTTGAAACTGCATTTACCATCAGAGAACTCGTGGTGTTCATTGGACCCTGACGAAAAATAATTAAGGTGAACCCCAGAACTCCATGGAGACTAAATAGTTCGGCTATGTAGGCGTAATAACTGTTTATATTAGATATGTCATCATTAAGAGACCGGAATTTGTTCTTCCAAATTCTTAAATGTTATACAACTGATCGTCACGATATGACGGATCTTTCTGGTCAGTGACGTGGTTTCGTCGTAAAATCATTTGAATTAGCTAGTTACACTAAATCAGGTCAGTACTCCACAAAATTTAAAATTTAACACTTAAAGAACGTCGAAAATGCTAAATGCGGAAACACATGTTTGGTATTTCATAGTCCATTCATGAAGGCGTGATCATTCTGTCACTTATTCCACCGCATATCAAATATATCGTTGCATCCACAGTCCAGATGTGTTCTTCAGGTGCAACCACAAGTTTTCACGATGGGATGGGTCAGTATAAACAATAAAGTGGCTTCCACATAATTGGGCAGCCACACGATAGTAAAAACACTGTTTTGGTGCCTGGTGAATTATCTTAGTAGAAAAGATAAGTATAGTGATGCTCATGTAAACCATAATTCTGCAAACCAGTACCAATGTTATTACTAAATCTACAGTTCAAGTTTTGACGACAATTGAACAAACTGAAATCGTACCGAAGCATTAAAATGAAATGTTTCAGCTAACGACGGCGAGAGGTCAGCGTACTTTATATTTTGACGTATTATTGACGAATTCTCTTTTCAATGAAAGCACATCATCTTACGATTTATGGAATACCAGATGGACATAATTGCAGAATAAATGGAAATGCTTTTCGATTCCCCTATGAGACATTAAAACCACGAGATGATTAGATAATAATATTATTTGGTTCAGTCAATATAACTGGTGATAAACGTTCGAGAAATAGATGCTGCTTAATCAGAATTAGAAGTGCTTTTTGATTAAGTTGTTCTCTTCATTATGCATAATTATCATGAGCGGATATCGCAAACGGATAATCGTTAACCTGTTTCTTTTTCGTCTCACTAAAATGACCTTTAAAGAGCTACAAAATAGTCTGTTCTAATACCTGATGATGGAACTGAACTAGAACAGTCTGAAAATTATGTTGTTGAGACGAACAATATTGGTATATGACGCCTAACGAAAAAGCCTTCCAGCCACTCAACGTGTTCAGCATAGATCACACAGTCAGTTTAAACGTGAAACAGTAATAATGTCGAGACGTAAGTATTACTTGAGTAGACCTATGCATAGTTTTACTGACAAAATAAGCTAATAGAAAGATTTGAGTGTCCCGGTTGAGACGACAACTCGATGGCCATCAGAATCAGACTTCTGGCACGATTGTACCAAAGCGAACGGGCATGAATATGGCTCCTGCTACACAGTAGTAAATAGAACGTCTTTGTCACAGGCTATAGTTTGTAATGATTTAGGAATCATGGCAAATAGTGATTTGAAATCCCTATAAGGGAGTTATCTGGTCCTCCAAATGAAAAATATCAAGAATACAGTATACAACTTGTGCGGAGCAGCTTGAAAGGCGTCATCGACGGGGCGCTGAGGTTGTGACAGGTCATGAAGATGAATTGAGATGCTTCGACCGAAATCGGCAATGTTTTAATTAACTAGGATTTAATCTATACTGTTTTACTGTTGAGTGGACGGTGATTGGTTTGCCTAGGAGATATTCCAAGAGATCTCAAAAAAGAAATCACGTGATCTGCACTTGAACAGTTGTTTAGCGCACAGAACGTTAAAATACGGAAGTGATCAGTCAAACCAAACTTGTCCATACATTGTATTAAATCGCTCATAATCAAATCAAGTCTTATCAGTGCTCCAAACTTCGAGACATACGATTTAGCCTGTTGATTTATTATCTACTTTCGACCGCAGCATTATCCTTATCTCAAATTTATGTTATTTTTTAGTTATTGTCGATTGCTTTCCTTATTAACAATGCATTTTGTAAGGTTACTGGAGCGTTGGGTCACCTAATTTTTCGTTATTCCGTTTTCTAAATCTCCACACTGACGCTACTCTCCAAGCTCCTCTAGCACAAAATGCACCTTCTGGCTAGATTTAAACCTGCTCAAGTGGGAGTCGATTTACCTTCCTTAAATCCGAAAATTTCGAGCTCAATTGTTTTTCCACGCCAAAAAGTCATCACTTGTGTCCTTGTGCTGAAACGACACAATGAATTTGTAAACTACTGTTACTTGATAATGTTGTCCACTAGATATAAGGAGTAAGTCGTTTTATGTTAAGTGTTTGATGACTAAGTTACGAAGACACAAACATGGAATATGATGTTGGGAAGGGGTTCAGTTTGTTAACAAATACCATTATTTAGACTAGAGACTAGTTTCCACTTGATTTTAGACTAGCACGGAAGGTATGAGGTGATATACACATATGGTGTCCTTAATAAAACAAAAAAAGGTTGTTTTCAGTCTAAATTATTGAACTCAATCAGAACAGAGTGTTTATTTTTATGTGACTGACACTTAAGTCCCAGTTGTTGATATGTCAACAGAAACATAATTCTGTTTTTTAATCTGAACGCAAACCACTGTTATTGATAGCTTCAAAGTTCATTATTTCTAGGAGCAGTAGGTGAAGACAATTATTTCTCTGTTTGTTCCACACTACAAAACTTCGTGAGGGATAGTTCAGTAGCATCTCGGAAACCAGGAAGACTATTATCGGGACTAACATGCGATAAGCATATGCGTTAGTACGCAGTCACCGGTTCTGATGTAAAAGCCATTTTCAGCAAGTGATTGATTAATCCTAGGTCACTGAAACTCCAAACATAGAAACCTTCAAGATGTACATAATGGTTATGTGGCGAAATGTCAAGTAATCAATACTGTTGTAAACGTATGTTAACTAAGTTGACTGGATTATATGCTAAACGTAAATATCCACAAACGTTTGTGGTATGTGGAGTTTAGTATTGGAATGTTCAAGCCTAAAGATGAATCACACCACTGCGGTCACAAACTGTGTTTGATCATTCAGGAGCTACAAGTTGGTAGCTTGGGTTAATAGGGCTTCAGTGGCTGCAGGTTCGAAATTTTGAGCCAAAGCTTTACAATAACTATACTGAAACAAATATACTCACTTGCATATTTTTACGCCGGTATCAAATACATTTTTACTTCATGTCTATCCAAAGTTATCACTTCCTTCCTTCGAGAAGTTAAGGAACCTTTACGGTGTTGTGTGAAATGTAAATATTTCTCTTCGTTTATAACCTATTATATAAGGCTTGCATCAGAAAGCCTATCTAGACAAACAAAATAATCAGCTTTAAAAAGTAAAATACTAATTTCACAGAGCTTAGGTGTTTGCTTGTCAACATTGTCAGTATTTAAATCCATTTTTTATTAAAACCGTTAAACTAATTCATATATTTTTTGTTACGTTCCAATGAGTAGAAAAATAGTATTTCTGACGCTTTGTGACAGCGTAAAACACTTTGCTCTGAAGAAGTGGCTTACATTAAGTCACGAAATGTCACTTTGATAAAAAATGTATTTATTATTTACTTTCTATCCAATGCTCAATTTATCTGAAGGTATCAAGTACAACTTTGGCATCGATACTTATAAACTCAAACTGTTTCGGACAAAGCAAAATGTGCTTGATCGAACTTTATTGGTATTTCATGTCCTTAATCCGAAGTCTCGATTTCACTAAAAATTAGTAGGAGTTAACTCATAATTCTTGATCAGTGATCGGTGTAGATCATATCATTTTTTAACAGCCACTACATTTTAGTGATTCATCTTTGTGCCTGAATGTGGTCAAAAATAAATGTTTGAGTTTCAGACAGAACTGTTTTGTCATCGAAACAGACAAATAGTTGGAATTTAGCATCAATTTAGCATCAGCGAATATTCATTGGTAAATACTTGAATTCCCCATAAAGTCGTCACACAATCTTTTAGCGAAACCTACTTTTTCCAATATTTAGCTTGAAGCCTAGACATCAAGCAAAATGTTCTCATTCTGATACGAAATCTATAAGGCAGATGACTTTCTGTATTTGAGTAAATGAGAAGTTAGCGAAGATGAATTTAATATTGTCAATTAAAAATGATCTATGAGTTGTTTTAATCATTTATTCAAAACTCTCTTTAGGTCCTCTAAATCCATTGGTCAATTTTCTGTGGATTCACATAGACCCAAAATAACCAAATCATGGAGTTTACGGGATAGTTTTTTTGGTTTGAGACGTGGTCGAGGGTCGATTTCGGATACTCATGAATGGCAGTATATTGCCCCAAAGTTGTATCAGTTAGAAGATCAGTTTCATCATCCAGCTTCAAAATGTGATGTTTGGCGATCTCTTTGCCCTCAAGAGTTACCTAATGCAGCTGTTTATCCTACAATACCTGTTTACAGTTTGTCTAATAAAGTCTTTGCTTCCTCTACAGGCCCCAAAAAGGGCTTGTTAGCGGTGAAAAAGTGGCATGGGTCAAAGGACAGCCACAATGTCTGTAAGTGTTTGTAGTCGTCGTATCTCATAGTTGCTTAAAACATTTGTACAACATTAAAGGTGTTTTGCAGTATGATACATGCACTCTTAGATTTGATTATACAAACGTTCGTAATAGATCTAGTATCAGTTTTGTGCTCGCTACAAGACGCCAAAATGAATAAAGGATGAAAATTACTTTAGAGCAAAACTTCAACTCAATGCCTTGATTCCAGTGATATAATTCAGAGAAAAATTGCTATAAGCTGTAGTAGAAAACAAGTGAGACCGAAAATTTTAATCTGTTCACATAAATTGTAAAACAGATATAGTAGGATAAAAGAGAAGCATTTCTAGTAATTTCACATTTTTCCTAGGTCTACCTTTAAATATCTGATTAATCAGTTTATGATTAAGTTCATCAGGTTTTATCTTGCGAGCCATTTGAACAAGCGATATGTTTATCCGATAAGTTTTAGCGTATACATAACTGTGATAAAAACCTGAAATGAAAAATTAGTATTCACATCGTGCTCTGACGCTATCTGCAGTCACTTGGCAAAATGGAATCAAAGCGACATAATTTATACGTGAGTACTTTTGAATTTTTGTGTTGCACAGAACGATTCTTCAGTCAATCCTAAAACCCAAACGGATTTGAGTATCTTAAATAATGCTTAAAAAGTAGATAAATTTACTATATACCCAGATTGTGACAAAGAGAGTTATTGCATGCGTTAATGTCATAAATTGTGGGAGACATATAAATCTTAATAAATAACTATTTTTCATTAGATTTGTTCAACAAGTTGTGCATTAAAAATGTTTGATCTTGAGGTATTAAAATATGCCGATTGTAACAAGTTAAACTTAATCGCTTATCCAGTTTCATTTTTACTTTCGTCATATATAAAGTACTTCAGCAACAGACTTCTTCTTGTACTGAGGTTCAAACGACTAGGTGGGGGACTACTAGCATGAGACTGGGTGTAAAGTTATTTGTAGATTAACCTTTGTATCCCATGATCATATAGTTGAAACTAATGAACGTAACTGTGTACAGTATCTATGTAACTTCAAGAAACAACATTTGGACAGATAGATCAGTAATTTTGAGTGTCACACTTGGTATATAGGAATTCGAAATCAGCTTCACTGGAACGTTACAGTAAAGCATATTCATATAAATAAGTTTCAGCTTGCGTGAAACTTAGACGGTTGATTTTAACGGGTACGTAAATTGTGGGTACTTTTGATACTGTAAAGAACAGTCTTATAATTAAATGTAGATGTATTTCCAGCGATTTCCGTCAGTTAAAAGTTTTTTAAACACCAGTCCACTATACCAACTTATATTTATTTCTTGTATGTCACTTAAAGACCAAAGGACAATTTTGGTACCATATGTATATCATTTTTGACTTTCTACAGATCATTCCAACTACTGGAAGACAATGGAGAATCGAAAAGCACATGGAATATCTGTTTCTCTATACGAGAAAAATATATTTACTGGAAAACCAAATGGTACGTAAAATATTTTTGACTAAGGCATCGTAAAGATTCTTAGTCTTATCCCTACCATTTCTTGTCTGAGAACTGATTAACATTTGCTTCCAGGGGGCCATGTAATTTATGAAAATGGAAGCCGATTTCCACAAAACCGTTTACAAGTACCCTAGTTCATTTTTTGGGTTAGCGTTTTGTTATCGAGGTTCTTTTTTGCAAGGTGAGGTCGCTTACTCCATCCCCAACCCTTTCTCTGTTCAGACTTAGATCGGAAGTAACTGTAGAGAGGCTCCAGACGATCAAGTATTTTGGTACCTTAATATGACTGTATAGTGTTGTGAAATCATAGGTTGAGGATATAGAATACTTTAACTGTTGCTATAATAGTCAAATCATCAGTCTACTGTTAAATATTTTAAATCATGTTTTATTTTTGCAACGTTGAGATATTAGCCCACTTTTGGAATTTAAATGGATTGCGAAATCTTTAAACTATTTCTGCGCAATGAATTAATGCTTCATCATCACTTCTGTGCAGATTAATTACTTTATCAACTAGGGACTTCCAATCAATCGTAAAAGTTCACACCAGGAACAAATCAACTGATTATGACACCAGCTAAGAGTCGAACTTCTGTTTATATTAAAAAGCTTTACTTAGTTATGAGTATTGTTATTGCTAACGCCATAGTCGTATGGTTAGGAAAAAACTATCATTCCTAGATAGTAATATGATGTCTGTAGCAGGTTGTGTCTAGCTAGGAGATATTTTATGTACTGAGGGAACATTGAAAGTAGCGTCAGTGGGGAGATCTTGAAAAGGGAATAACAAAGAAAAAGGTGACCCGAAGACCAAGCAACCTCACAAAATTCATTTTTAATAAGAACAATAACTAAAACTAACATTAACCGCAGATAAGGGCAGTCTTGAAACAGAAACTAGAAGCAGATAGAGGGGAGATTTCAAGTCGTCATATGTCTCACCGTTTAGAGAACGTCATTGAAAAGTTTATTATTCTACTGCTCAATCTAATATTTCATTATGACAATTAGAATAAGATGAAGACATTTCATACCCACAATGCCACTGAATCATAATTATTATGGTTATTCTGTTTTTTATTGAGTACTGAGAAGGAATACTTAGTATTGGTGTATCTCAAAAACTTTCTCGTGTTTACTATTATTAATACTAAGGTCAGATCATCTTAAAACACACAACGGGGGTTTGCTTATCAGTTTGTTAGTTTATTACAAATAAATACTTCAGGTCAACTAGGTTTTCCGTTATACATTATATGTGTGTGTTAAAAATGGTCATTCTTCTTAACTTATTTACTTTGCTATTTGTGATTTTTTTGGTAATGATTAATCAATGCTTTTTTAATCATAATTTGTACTTAATTGACTGATAGTCCAGCTATATTTGAATAAAGATCCAGGAGAATTCTGTTTGCTCTTAATTAATTTTTGAACATGAACTCTGGGACGCAGGCACATTCAGCTGATGAGTCCCACATAAGACGAAACACACGCCCTGGATTTCACTGTTAGCCAACATAGATTTGTGTTTTTAAACTTACATCTCTTGATATTCTTCGTGCATTAAGATTAGCTTTGTTTAGTCTTTTCCTTCTGAAACTCAATTAAAAGCCTATTTAAATTACTCCCAACAATTTGACAAACAAGATTCATCAGAGAATATCATACTGCTAATTGGCTTTAGTTCAACATAAAATAAAACTTGGGAACGGGTGTCTCATTCTTATTGAAAAGTTGGATTTTATTCAATTCAGTACCTGAGTAACTTAAAACTCTTGTATATTTTGTCTGTAAAGCCTTTTGTTTCATTTATGTTGACTATTGGCGGGTTTATTTGATTATTAACATACAATTCAGCGGTTGAGGAAGTGGTAATGTGTAGATAGCATTTAAAACCAAAGGATACAATCATTTTTAATAAGCTTAACTAATTCTTCTCTATTTTCTTGTATTTTCATGTTATTAAACAAACACCAACGTGTTGTATGAAGTTTGATTTTTATTTAGTACGCCTGCATTGTTGACTACTTATATTTTTGGTGCCAAATTTATTTTTGTTTATTCTTTTATACTTATTTATCAGCATGTCACCATTTCAGTACATATTTACTATTTTCTAGAGATAGGCTAGTTTCGTCTTATGTAGTGTGCAAATTTAATTGCTTAGTTACACTTCATAGCAAAACATGCATACATAGATCTTGTTTTGTTCTAAACTATTCTTCTAACCATATTTATCACATCTTAAACGAGTATGTAGTGTGATACAAAGTAATTTTATAAAAATCGTATCTAAGTAAAAATTCTATCATATTAAAAAGATAAATAACACACGTTGATATTATTTTCACATAATTTTTTGACTTGATTATGAATTTAAAGATTAAACAACTGATTAATTCAAACAACATCTACTGAAATACAACTCAGTAGCATTAAATGTTCATTGTTGAAATGGATTTTTCATCAAGCTACTAAATGTTTAAATAAAGTCTGACATATATTTTAAACAACTTAATAGTTGAATTCATGGGCCGAATTAAGTTAGACCATCATTGAAAACCTGAAAGCACTGGACGGCCGTTTCGTTCTAGTGTGGGACTCCTCAGCAGCATGTATCCACGATCCCGTACGCGGGAACGCTTAACCTCTAGACCACTGAGCTGGCAGGCATTCTATTGTGCTAATGTCTAAGCTCAACAAATCCACGATATCGCGCAACCGTCCGCCATTGTCTTCAGTAGGTAACTGCCTCGTAACAGACGCGGTTGGACTCCACTGGTCACGGCTTCTCACTAGAACTCCAGGAAATACCTCTTGAAGCCAGTTACTAGTGAGCATGTGATGATTATCAGAATCGGGGGTTGTGTGGATTCAACCATGGAATTACTACAATCTCCACAAAACATCATTCTGAGGATATGTTTTAGGCTTAAAAGGCTAAATATTTCCGATCAATTATAAAAAAACTGTTTACACCACGACTATTAATTTGTCAAACCAATGGTAAATGGAATAATTAATTTTACAGTAAATATCATGTTTAAAATTTAAATAAACTGATTCATGAATTGCTCAAGTGTATGATTCATACTCTAAGTGTTAGTGGTAATGATATTACTCAGTTACCTAAGCCGAAGTAGATGAAACAGGGTTCTAACCTGGGACTTAGTGGCTGAATTTTGAATGCTTTAATCACTAACCCACCACAATTCAAATGTATAAGCTAACAACTCGTCACTGAAATTAATTAGTGAATTAAGATTAATTTAAAATACTTATTAACGTGACAGAAAACTGCTTGGATGTATAAAGAAAAAGTGTAGTTATTAGAATTAACCCCTAACTTTACAATGGCACCCATATTCCTTGCAAAGTTTAACTTCTAAGGAACATTAATTAGCTGCAATAAAAAACGCTGTTTACTACAAACACTATTTCAAATAACAGGCTAACTGACCGGTAATTATTGGAAGATATTTTAACTCCATTCTTCTAAATCGTTTCAGTTCTAAAACTTCAAGTTTTTAATTTATTATTTTTGGTTGGTTGCTTCATCCTTGTTTACTTATACTGACTGACACCAGATAAGTTATCAATATTATATCAGCCTATTGACTACAAAAAATTATGTATGGGAAAGATTTGTAGAAGACTTCCATAAATTGTAAGCACTGATACTGTTTACAATGACGATGAAAGCTTTGCAAGCAAACCACCTAACACAGAAAATAATTCAAACAAAATTCCTGTTTGTTCATTTTTCTTAACGATATTAGCTCTTTCCATCTTATCCGTATCACTGAACTGCAAAAGGTGATTTTTGCCGACTATATTCGTAAGAGAAAGAATATTTTTTGTTCACCATAGTAGTTAAACTTGTCAAACCTCAAAACTATTTGTTAATAAATATGTTTTATGTTTTATTTAATTTCTAGGTGGTCCTATTGCTGATGCATTCGTTGTACGAGCTCGGCATGATTCTGCCTATTTAGCTGTGGCAGATGGTGTAAATTGGGGCAATGAATCAATGAAAGCTGCTAGATCGGCAATTTCAGCTATTTACACCTATTTAGAATCGCATTTATTTGGTTGTATGAAAGAGAAACACAACGTAAAAGACACAAGAGTAAGAACTTGTATTATTTGAAATCAATATGTATAACAGTTCCAGTATTATGAGTACAGAAATATTTATTGAGATTTATTATTTACACGTTTAAGTTTATATAAATCTTTTGATGATATTGACATATGTAGTCTCAAGTTAAAATGTAAACTCTACTTTTTGTCGATAATATACACCTTGAGAAATCCGTTTAACGAAAGAAATGTAACTAAATAAAATACATTTCACGGAAAGCCAGATCACTTTATTCTTCCAGAAACATTCACTAATACTGGGAAACAGTTTACAATTTGAACAGCTGAAGAGATTTTTATGTGCTGTCTTATTTAAGTGATGACAGGTCATATTCCGTAACAGTAGTGATAAAATATAGGTTGAAAATGAAGCACAAAACATAGCGTTCTAAGTTTCTGTTACTAAACCAGCATATAAATACTTCACAACTTAAATTTCATGTTTCTTTTAAAGCTCACTATCATAGTGTTTCTGTAACCGTTGAGAAAATCAAGTTCGTATGTAAGTCACATTTTTAACCGAAAGTGACTCAACAATGGATTAGTGTATGCTTTGTGTTACCTTTCCTTAAGACTAGATAATGTCTACAGATTGACGATTATTAATTTTAAGACAAGAACCTGAAAATTTCACAAGAAGTAAAGGGGTTTTAATTGTCCAGTAACATTACGGTGAAAGTTCCTGGTTAACTTTTTAGTTTTCAAGGAGATAAATCACTTTTTTTAACAGACCGGTTAAATACTTATTTCATTTACATATTGCACAGGCATATTGTAAACTGGTTAAATTTTCAATAGAATTCACGTTTAACGTGAACAATGCTGTGTTTGAGCCTTGATGTGGCCGTCAACACTAGAGTGCAAGTTTATCAAGCTGACCAGTCCTAACTAAGACGAAACAGGCTCACTGGATTTTAATGCTAGTCACAATCCATATTTTCTCTGAAATATATTATTAAATAGTTATATCATAGAAATACACACAGGATCCATGTATGCCTACAAAGACTGATTGGAATTTAGATCTAGACAGCATGGGAATTATTGAAGTCCTTACTTACAAATAGTATCTAGTTCACTTTCACTGCTAATGTGTTCACTTTTCTTATTGTGATTGCATTACAGGATGCGGCCCAATTATTATTTGAGGCTTTTTCTTTTGCTCAAGAGGAAATTGTCTCCGTTACCACTGGTCTTACTACTCTTTGCGTTGCACTAATTTTACCGGTACTAACAACTACAACCTATGAATCACATGGATTAACAAATGAACAAACTTCAGCATATGGCAAAGCTCAATTTTCTGTTATAATAGCAAGCGTTGGTGATTGTCAAGCATTTCTTTTAAGTAAATTCCATGGTATACGTGAAATAACCGGTTGGGTAAGAACCTCTGTCTTGTCATCTGATAATTTATCAACACAATCAAATGAACAAAATAAATTAGAGAAAATACTTGGACCACCTGTACGGGATTTTCGAGATACTGGTGGTGCATTGGGTGCTGTGTATAAAAATGGCAATCCAGAATTAAACAATCTTATATGTGCTGGTAAGTACTCATTATTTATTGTGTTTTCATAATATTTTAATATCAAAATCTTATCATAAATTTTGTCAAAAGCCTCATATAATGATAAACCTACAAACGTAAACGATATAGAATTAGCTACAACTGTGTAACAGTTTAATTTGCCAAGTTTCATATTTTGTCACAGTTGAAGATAAAGCAATAATAAATGGATGAAATTTAGTTATAAAAAGGACAGAATAATTCTGTCCACAAGAATTTAAAGTAGATGAAAGATGAATACATCTAAATTATTGCAACTGAATCTGATCAATAACATATCTTGATCTGATTGGCTTTAGGTTCATTTCAGCCTACATCTATGATGATTGACATTACATACGAGATATATATTTTAATTACTTCGTTTGATAAGAGTTTACAAACTCATCAAATAATTTAACGGACTGTTATACTGCTCGTAACCTGGATAAATAAATATGTTTATATTTTGCAAGTCCAAAATGTTTTATTTAAGTTTATTTAAGTTCCGTCAATTTCATTATCCATTGTTTGTTTAGTTTTTTTTGCGCGACAACCACTTTAAGTTTTCAGCTGAATAAGTGCATATGAAACAACAAGCCTATAAATACTTTCACTATAATTTAAGGCATTAAGTAAACTGATAGCGAAATCGATAGTATTCCAAGTTTAATGCAAGAAAAAAATAGTTCTCAAGTTTCTAGCAGGTTGACTTGTGGATTATTTTGTACATTTCAGAATTTTTTAGAAAAATTAACAAATTCATAAATTTTGGGTTCACTTACCAATTAAACATCATAGTCACGTCATTAAATAATGACTTAAATTCTATCAGAAGGCTTGATATTCATGTTTTTAATTATGTATTTGTTATTGGTACTAACATAAACTTATAGTAATAAGCAGTCTAAAGATATGACTACGTGACATCCCTTCAGTCATAGGTGAATCACACAGCTTATTAAGGCAACTGAATTTTAAAAGTTGATACTGACCATCACGGAAATCCAAAGGGGGTACTCTTGTTTTTTTGAATAAATTCAGCGAATGTTTCCGTACTAAGGAGGACTAGATCCTCACTTTGATTTAAATTCAAATTACATTTGTTCTTTAGAATGTTATCTAGGATTTCATTTATTTTATTCGGTTTTGAATCGTCAATTTTTTTGTTTCAGGTCTACTTTATTGTCTTTTTCTTAAATATTATCATATTCAATGTTTTTTTATTATTTCCATCTCCTTCAAAAGTTGAACGATTATTCAACAAAATTAAATAAACCATTAAATGGTGTACATAGTTTTTCTTTATGACTAATTAAATATAAGTACGTCGTTTTATTATTCATCATCGGTATCAGTGGGTAGTCACAAACTTACATTTTTATTGTATTCTGCGTAACTTATGATTGCCTATTAGGATTAATCTTTAAATGAATTACTGAACTTAGGAATACACTATTTATGATGAAAAATTTTATTGTTTTGTTTGTTTAACTACAAGTTAGTTGGTGTAATAAGCAGTAATTGGAAAATAAACATTCTATTACTCATTTGTTTTCGTGTTCATTGATCCGTGTGTAATCGATTATTTAATCACTGAGGAATATAAATTGGCTTTTAAAATTCTAAGGGAAAGTGACTTCTGGGCTTGAAATGACTCCTCTGTATGTGTACGTTTGTATGTTTCAGCAAAAGTAAAACGATGGAGATGACAGTTCGGTTGATAAGACTATTAATCTTTATTATTCGAAGTTGTTAGGATGTATGTTCCCTGTGTCCACTAATCTCTTATCCTGACGTTTAGTGTTGATTATCACTGGAGTAGGTTGAAGAAGACTTAGAGTGGAAAAAACTAAGACGTGAAGTTAGTTCACAAAGTCATCAACTGTTAAACTTAATCGTATCTGTAGGAACGGAGTAGACGATTCAAATTCTTGCTATAATTACTACCCAAGATTAGTGATATTAAGTAACAGACGTATTCACTCCCTATCTTTCTTGAATTTTTGAGTTATATTATTGTCCTACATTTATTATTTTTTCAATTTCATTAATTTCTTCCGGACTATAATCTTCAGAATTGCTATTGCTATTATCTGTACTCTTATTAATTCAACCTACTTGGCTTTTATCTTGAAGAGTTTCTGTTGTGCTTCCAATCTGAAGTTTGGCAACTTTAGTCGAATAAACATTATCAGAAGGGGTTTGTGGAGATTTTTAGAAATTTTCACATTGAAATCATTAGTCAGTTGAAGCTAGACCACCAACCAGGTCTATTGTGAGATATCAGCTCACTGAAGATAATGGTATATGGTGGCGCAATTTCGTGGATTGGTTGAAGTTAGACATTAACACCGCTGGATGCCGGCTCAGTGGTCTAATGGTTAAGTGCTCGCGCGCGAAGCCAGTAGGTCCTGGGTCCAAGCCCCGCGTGGTGCGGGATCGTGGATGCACACTGCTGAGGAGTCCCATACTAGGACAAAACGGCCGTCCAGTGCTTCCAGGTTTTCAATGGTGGTCTAGCTTCAACTGATTCATGATTTCAATCTGTGAGAATAAACATTAGTTCAAGATCTTCGATTGGGTATAATTGATTAATTCGTAATTTTAATATATAATACTGACAGATGAGATTATTTTGATTGTAACTAAGGAATCTCTTTCTAAAATCCATTTTATCTCTTTACAGTTGACGCGATGAAGATTATTGAAATATAAATTCTTGCCTGTATCATATAATTCAATAAAGTTTTATGTTAAAATTGGCTTACATCTCACTTGTTAACTAAAGAATTCATAATTACAAATATGTGTGAAGAACACATTATTTTCTAAGTCAAATCACAATTAAATTTATGTGGAAAAAAAGTGAAGATACTTTCGCAAAAGAAAAAGCTTCTCTGGTATCTACGGTCTATAACATGGAATGCTATTTAATTGGATAAAAATTGAATCAGTACCCTTTTGTGATGATCTCCATTAACAGCTGTGGACTTTAACGCAGTTTTATTACTAAGCACATAGAAAAGACCGAAATAACATTTTTTCAATATTTTCCTTGAAACCAATTTATCAAGGGAATAAGAGTGTTCATAAGTTCTATTATTGAACATTCAATAGATAGTGGAGATAAGATGGATATCATAAAGACATTCAAATTTCCCATTTAGTCCTCTTTGGAGAGACCATTATCATCAAGCTCTTTTGACCTGATCTCTGTACACAGAAAGAAAGTTTGATAAACCTCTGCTTCCCACATCGACATAGATATAATGTATAACCTCATCTATTACAGACAAATTTTTTTATCCTGGAACTCCTAATAATTACAGACTTACTACCACCTTTTGATCTTGTCTTTTAAATACTTTATTTATTACTGGTTATAATTTTATATGTGAACTAACAGGTGACCGATACTAAAAAATTTTACCATTTGCTTACCTGCTAAAGTCTACTTTCAATCCACTGAATTCGATTTCGATTTCAAATTTTCGACGAATTATTTGACTTTTTTTTATAAACTGAATTTCTCTCTTTCTACTAATTAACATAGTTATTAGCTTCTCTTAATGTAGGATAATTCAAATTTTTTCTTCCTTTTTTTCAACTATTAACTATTCTAGTTCACACACTTATGAATTTTCCTCTCCTTTTACTTGTACAGACAATTAAGTAAATAAAAACTTCAAAGGTTTTTACTAATCAATTCGACGTTTATGATGAATGAAGACTTTTTTTTTCTCAACTTGATAAATGTTATTTGTTGTTTGTAACTATAGCGTTCATTGTCATCATATACATATAGACAGCACACACAATACTTATAGTGACTTATTCATTGTTTCTTTTCACTGTCTATGTTCTTTACTTTTAAAAAAAATTGCTATAGGCTTAGTCATTGATTGACGGAGAAAATGTAGTTTTATTATGGCCAGTGAAACACATGTGTACCGTCCATGTATATGTATGTATATGCGGTGTGTTGTGCTCTTTTAATCGATAATTCAAAGGTGATTTATTCATCCCATGGATTATTTGCATTAGGCCTACTTTCAATTAATTACCTCTTTCAAGCTAATATTAATAGGCTTTGTTTACGTGGCATAGTTCTAATCTATAATTTATATCGACTAATCTAATCTTATTCCACTGGGATTCTCTGTTAATCAATTGGAAATTAAGGTGCTGTAAATTACATGACTCTTGGAATTTTTAAAGGAAAATTAAATTTGTAGAAATCTCATTGATTGAACTGTAAGTCGATCCGACGTTTCGCCTGGCAATCTGTAAACAATGTTGAAAGCGAGATATCTTGTAGTGCGTATAGTACATTTGATGTGGAGAAAATGTAAATAACAATTCAGCGATGATATTGTATATTCAATAGAGTCTGGCCATACGATCGGTTATAATGACACAAGAATCCTACAAAAACGTTTTATTTCATACAAAGAGAGATTAACAGCTGAAGTTCTACAGGTATGGGTGAATCCAAACAATACTAATAGGGGAATTGGAATATAGTAACCTGTTGTATGTTAAATAACGGTTAATAAGTGAATCCGAAGTCCTTAATAACATTCACTTCATTTAATCTATTGCTTATTATGTGAACAACAACAGTTACTTCCATTTGTTCTAATTATTTCGTTTATCTGAATATATGATGTACAATAGGCTTGATCAGCACAATAAAATAACAATAGAGGAAGGTGGCAAGGTATTGCTTTACAACTGATGTCAGTTCGTGTCGAAAACGCTAACCCTATTTTGTAAACTTAACTTACCCTTTTTTCCTTTATTACAAGGGATAATTTGACTTGTAAGGGTCAATTACCACAATCAAAGCTGTTATTTCATTACTTTATTTTGTTATATTTTTATAACTTGTAGGAGTTTTTTGATTGGCTGATAAGTTACTCAAGGTCATCAATGTATTATGCTTTAACCACTTAGCATTAAGATATTTAATAATCATTACTCAATACCAGTTCCCATATAGTTATAATAAGATTATTTTATCCGAATGCAATGCTTAATCCACCATGTAAAAATTACTCACTGAAAATGAACACAGAAGAACTCATTTATAAATTGGTTGAAATAAATGACTGGATATTTTGTGAGGACGGACCACGGGTGAACTCGAGGAACCTGTAAGAGGCTCAGAAGGAGCCGAAGATATTCCATCCAATCACTTCTTGGAAGAATATTCTAGAATGTTCCTGTATGCGGACTGGATGACTGTAATGATGATTTCGTTCTCACTAAAAACTATAAATACCTGACAATTTTGTACCATAATCGACACTGTCTGGAACAATGTTCCTTTCACTAGTCTTCTGTCTTCTCACTGCGACTTGGAAGGGTTCTGGCGTTCTAGTTATACGCTCAAGTTATACGCAGTGTATCAAGAAAACAACCATCTAACATATTTCTTTAGCGTTTACTGTTAATAAATATTTTAATCATTACTATTCATTAAGTAGTTAGATCGTGTGTTTTTGTCATTCATTTCTAATATACCGTAGAATATATGAAGTGTTTCTAATCAATGATTGATTTCCTGTTATAATTCCAAGTAAAATATGTAGTATTAAAAACTTTTGATTTCTCTATCTCACAGCACTAAAATTATCATTGGGGATATGCGAATATTATTGAATTTTATTCAGATAAGGCACTAAACCAGTTCAGTGGTCTGAAAACATAGTGAGATTTCTTTTTGGGAAAATACAAGTATCCTTTCTTAATAAAAAATAGGGATTTTATAAAATTTTGTCATTTCTGAAATAAATTATAATTGTCATACTCTTGATTTTTCCTTAATGGTTGGTTTTACTTATCCTTATCGTATCCATTTTTGTTAAACTCTATTCAGTACTATGAAAATATACTTCATCCTTTGAAAAATTTGAAGTAGAATGAAAGTAAAGTGAAACAAGGTTTGAAGGGTAAATTGAATTGGTCATTCTATTTCAAGGTTTATCATCAGATGCAAACTGCTTAAGGTTGCGAAGAATAACATGATTCGAAACAAAAATGTGACTTATTTTCATAAATACATATTTCATGCAATTATATTTTTCTAGTGGGATTAAAGTTCACCTTTTATACACAGTGGTAGCTAGTTCTTTAACTGTATAAATTAAGTTTTCGAGAAAGACATAACTGAATGTAATATGATATTCCAATCTAAAAAATAGTAATTTGTCAAATGTTTATTAGCACTCTAAAAATATATTTTTATTGCTTGATTTTATTTCAGTAACACTTTGTGATCCAGGTGATATAGTTCTGCTTGGATCAGATGGACTAATCGATAATTTCGATCCAGTTATTACACAACTAGCTGTTCCTGAATCACCGCATTTAGATTTTGTTGATGAAGATGATGAACACGAAGGACAAGAAGGTGGTGAGGAGGAAAGCTCATCCATTGATGATATAGGTATTCATGAAGTAAACAATAACAACAAAAATTCTGTCAAAAGTACTTCATCTTTATCTTCAGATTCTTTAAGGTGTAATTTTAATAAATCGCCAACTTCACCATTATGTCGCCCATCCAAATCGTTGCTACATAATTCTCCTTTAACCCCACCACCTCGAGTAAATATTTGGCCACAACCCCCACCCCCACCAAATGATCCAACAAAATTAACTTATACACCCGTTACAAATATAAATACTACTAACAGTAATAATAATAACAATAATACTAATGATAACAATGAAACTGAGACAATTTATGCACATCAAATTAACTTCACCAATCAACTTGAATTAAACTGGTATGAACGTAGAAAATATGCAGCGAAAGAATTAGAACGTGTGTGGCATGAATTAGATATTAGTACAGAGAATGCTAGTAGTAAAAAAGGCACTTTTAGTTCCAAAGATTTATGCGAAGCACTAATTGATCATGCATACAGAATTACAACAAAACGACGTGAATGGTTAGAGAATCCGGATTATGCACATTTAAGACAAAATCAAAATGTAGTACAAAACAATAATAATAATAATAAACACTTTGATAATACTTATTCAACTGATTCACAAAGAAAATGGTTTAATGATATGCTTAGACGTATGCCTGGTAAATTAGATCATGCAACTGTAGTTGCCTATGAAGTTGGAGTTTATCGTGGTAATGAAAATGAAGTATATGAAGAGACAGCTCATCGGTTTCTAGCCGCAAATAATTCGAACTCTCCAACTAATCACTCAATTATAACACATTCAGAGCCATAATAATAATAAAGTAACTTAAGTAAAAGCACACTATACTTGTATATGCAATAAGTGATCTTAGATATGAGGTATTCCCATTTCCATTTATTTATTATTTGTTTTTTTTATATTTTCAAAGATGGTTCTTACTTTCTCTTTTGTATAGATATATATTTTTTTTCGGTGTTGTTGTTTATCTTCTCATCATAAAAATAGGTCACCATATTGAAAGGTTGTTATTATTTTTTACCAAATTATAAGTATTTATATCATTAGTAGCTTTTATTTATAAACATGAATAAGATTATACTACATAATATAGACACAAATACATGTATATCATACCTTCATTCAGTGTTTCAATCCCAACATAAATCATTGTGTTTTTTCTGTAACTACGCTTATATAACCAGTCTACACTTTTCTCTTCACAAAAAGAATGAATATTTATTTAAATAAGGATCTTATCTTATGTTATTTATTTTTGTTATGTACAGTACATTGTAAGCTTTTATGCTGAATATTTAAAAAAAAATGAATGTATGAATGAACGAACGAATTATTTATGTATTCTAGATTCATGTCTTCAAATATGGGCTTATTTCTCATAATATTCATTGACCACCACTATATCTGTGCTGGTTTATTACATTGTGTTCATAAATTGGTTCTTTGATTTTAAAATAAAGATAACAAACAATGGAATAGAAGTCTAGTTAGATAAATTAAAACTGAGTGAAAGTTTTGAAGTTAACTTTTAGTTGAATAACATAATATCTAAGTTTTATGTTACTGTTTATGCATAGAAAAAGAATATTTTGCAAAGTTTTCATTTGCTAAGCTTATATTTGACTTCTTTAATTCCCTTATTCGCTAACGCGAGTTAAGTCAATAATTATATGCGAAGATCGGCGACATGTTTAAGACGATAACGACAATCACATGATCGAATTGGAGTCAGATATTCCAGGGCCACCGAAGTGATTTGAAAGTTGATCGAAGGTTCTGGGTTGGATTTCAAAGTACGGGTTCAGGACTGTTCACTTCTGAAGAGTCATATACTCTGAACAAACGACCTTCCAGTGCCTCCAGGTGTTTTGATGGTTATCTAACTTTCACCAGTTCAGGATTTAAGTAAAACAACTTAGTTTGTTAGCTGCGGACGTTAATTAAACTTTGGGATAACTTATTGTCATCGATTGGGGTCAACTGAAAAGCAATTATAAACTATAGTGTACTGAGCCGCTATTTCATCTCTGTAAAGATCGTTAAGAGGACTGCTGAGAAGTCAAAAACTGAGAAGAAATACATTTTATTGAACTCCGTTTTCTTGAAGCTTTCCCAACAGAAGTTGATCAATAAGGAAAATTTTTTGTTATCTTCCGTTTACAAGCTTATAAAGAAAATTGTATCGCAGAATGTTTCTGTAACAAATTTAGTGAATTAATCCTTCCCAATTTTTTTTCATACGAACAACCGTAAATCGATATCATGGCTAACAAATAGATCATCTCTAATTTCCAGCTTTTTTAAACCCGATATGTGCTCATAAACGTTAGTATCTTTTTTCTTCAATAACTTGTCAACGTATTCCTATTTTTACCGAAATATTTAAATAATCCCAACGTTTCGACCAGTAAACTGGTCTGGACTTCCTCAGCGTAATAATCAGAATCAAAATTATCAAAAATATCCTTTAATAAGACCAGACAAATTTGCTGGACAAAACGATGGAATTATATAAATTTCAGTCGCTGAGACTGTTTCAGCTATAGATTTTTATCAACACCTAATGAAGTGATTTGAATTAATTTCAATGCCAATCATTTATTAAAGTCCTATGTGAATACGTGCAAGATTTTAATAAGTATAAGTAAATTATAAGCAAAGATAGATAGTGTCTAGCAGTGATATCGGAGATACGCGTTTCGTTCTATTCGGTATTCGCCAGCTGGATTCACCTGCATCTTAGAGTTGATGTTCACTCTGAGACTGGAACCTAGTACCGTCCACTTCAAACGCCATCATGTTATCCATTCAGCTACTGAGTCCTGACATACACTTGCCTGTTCAATGGGGTGAAGTTGAAATTCACTTGGTATTTTTTACTTGAGTCTTCATATTGATGTCTGGGACTGCACTTGATCCTTCTCTTATTCGCATATGTGCATACTATGCGTATTGCCTCGATATTGCCTTAATTCACAAGCACTATAAGCTGACGAGTCCCGAATAGGACGGAACTCGCGTTCTGGATTCCACTGCTAGCCACTAACCAACTTTGCTTATAATGCTTGTGAATTACGGCAATATCGAGGCAATACTCACAGTATGCACATATGTCAATAAGAGACGGATTAATTGGAATCCTGAACATCAATGGGAAAATTCAAGTAAACAATACCATGTGTATAGGTAAATTCATTCTAAAAATTGTGGTGGACCAAAAACGTATTAACTCAAAAATAGCAATAAAGTTATTACGTCCAGATGTTAATATTATAGTATGCAAATTATAAGTTATAAACACAAATAAAAGTTAAGGGAAGTTACTTATATCAGCAGATTTGTGCATGTTTGATTGCGTTTGGTACCAGAATCCACAATTACAGATAATTCCAATGAGGTTGTTGTAGTTCTAGTGATATAGCCAAGCGTAGAATATAATGGAAATGTAGCCGCAGTTTATAAATGTAGATGATAGATGTTTCAGAGTTCAGTTATTGTAACTACAAGCAACGAAGAACAAGAGACGTGTGTATAGTAGTGTATTTACGAGTGGTTAACAACGTGTGTCATTCAAAGTGTTACACAACGGAAGAAATTCATTAGCCCCACGGCAATGTGTGTTCAAGGTCATACACTTAAACAACATGTACAATCATTTTGTGGTAAATGTACAGACTGTAAAAGTCAACAAAATAAATGCAAATAATATCAAAAACTATTTACAAAGTAATTTTGTCTTGCCTATCTCCACAAAATTACACCTAATTAATGCTCAAACACATCTTCATAATGTTTTTAACTATTTTAGACAAAATCTGAATTCCTTAAGTTAGACATATGATGGAGTTTTATCATTTTAAAACAAAAGTATCGAACTTCAACATTGTAAAACGATCACATACGAATTAAAACAAATAAACAACCTATAGATGTCGGTCTAAAAGTGTAACATTACTCATTTAACTCTACCTATCAGAATGATTCATTCACAAGCTTTAAATCTCAAGGGGATTATTACTGATAAATGAAAATAATAACTTACTGTACATTAATCATCTTAAATTTTTTATTTACAGTTTATGAATGATTTAAAAAACTACATAAATTTAAACGACATAATGTTTACTGAAAACTGGATATAAACAAAACAAATATACCTCTGATCTTTGTTTTAGACTAAGTATTGGAACTAGCCTTTTAATTTATAGATTAAGCAATTGAGCTATGTAATATTTGTTGGTAAAAATGGTCAATGTGTTTCTTTTATCGCATGCGATATTATCTCATTGGAAATATACAATAAAAACATTGAAGGAAATAGTTTAGATAAAAATCGATATTTAAGGTCAGTAATCCATTAACCGGAATTGTGTTTATTTTTACTTCTTTTGATTACATTGATGAAAAGATAAAAATACAATTCCAAGTTTCTAAATGACTCCCAGTTTATTTCCTCTATTGATCAAATAAAACATGGTTTAATTTGGAATTGAAAGATTTGTGAAGATGTTAATCTACCTAATATCTGTTGTTCCACTTAAGGTTTTTCAAATAATAAAAATGTTATTCGACTCTAAGTATTTCAAGTCGAACCAGGTAACTGACCAGGATAGTTGTTTTTTTGCGGGAGATTTCTTTTTTATTTGACAAAGAAATAATGTAGAGTAATTTTATCGTTAAGTTCTGTATGATTATATCTTTCTCACTATAAAATAAAAAAATATATTTTAAACACTTTCTCCAATTTATAGATCTTAATTCTATTGTATTCTCCATTCAAGCTAAGACATTCATAGTTTATATTGATTTCTGTGTAAACATTACTAAGAGCATGGTCAAAAACTTACTTGTGTTAAATGTTAATCCCGGATTTGTAAGATTTGGCTGTGAACAGCCCCAATAATATATATATATATATATATATATATATATATATATATATATATGAAGAGGGAGAGAGAACTATACTATGAACCAAAGTAATGATCTTTATTTAATATCACGAAAGTTGGAATCAAATAACAGGGATTAGAGAATTCGTCTTTAATCTTTATCTCAAATAATAATAAAAAGTTTTTATTACCATAGAATTAGTATAGTTCAATCCATCCAAGAATTTCGCATTACAGAATCTGCATAATTCCCATTTACTGGACAACTTAGTGTCTATAAAAAGTCTTAAGAAACTTTACTGGTTGGCTTAATTCTTAAGTAAGCTTATTGTAAATAAATTAAAAGGTTAGTCATTTATGTGTTCAGTTAAGAATTGTTTTAACATTCAGACATTTGGTATTGTTGAGTTCTCTGAGTTAGATGGTTTGATTTTTAAACTTTTATTGTCGTTTTGGACAACATTATCAAAGCCTATTTCATGCTTCCAAGCTGTACCTTCTTATTTCGTTCTAAATTATAGTTCGAAAGATAAAATATCAGTAGTGTGTACTAATGGCTTATTAATATTACCTACCGGTCACCAACTTTTGAAATATGAAACCAAATAACACTAGTGAGATATGCTTACATCAGCAATCTGTAAGAAAATATACTCCATATGTTATTAGGTTCGGAAAAAAATCCTTAATTTTAACTGAAGAAGCACGGCAAAACAAAAGGATATAATTGGCATCATTTGTTGCATAGAGTTAATAAAAGTAATTCCGTAAAGATGAAGAATTTAGCGATTTGTTTGGGCAGTTGTTTTGTTTAAATTTTTTTATTCCTAGTAATGCGAACTCAAAATTGTCTTATAGCATCAAACACAAAAAAAAATCGAGTTTCAATGTAAACACAATTTACTTTAACCACTGAACTGTAATCTGCTAGTCATCATTTTCGAGTTCAAACTATTCCTAATATAACGCGATAATTATCAAGTTCTCTCAGTGCCTATTGACTTACATTTGTCATGGTTAGACTTCATCTGCCATGAACTTCCACTAAAGCCTCCAGAGCCCGTCTTCAAAACATGTAATTGTTGAACTCACAGTTATTATTTGGTTGAATGATGTTTCAGAATAGGTCTTAACAACTGTTCAAAATTTTCTAGTTTTCAACAGTTCTCCAACTTTTGTTAATGCATAGCATCCGTTGACAGATATTGCTTCATTTTTGTTATAGAAATCATTACCAACTGAATATAAAAATCATAATCTGAAATATCATGTTAACTAGAGAAGCTCTATGCTAACTCCACCCCTTTAACTACTCATATGCCTAATAACAGCTATAACTGCATAATTATTCGAAACATTGCATGATCATTATCTAAAATACATTTAAGCAAACTAAGAGCTGTCTTAAACTATGTTTGAATTTTTTAAAGGTTTTTCAACAATTACAGAATTTCCATACTGAATTAAATGTGCTTTAGGAAAAAAGCTAAGTAATAATAAGTAACTTGGGAAAGTCATTCCATTCCAGATTTGAAGGACTATATATTAATTTGTACTTTAAATAACCATTATTCTGAATCAGCTTGACCTTGATGTAACCTGTCTTAATGTGAATACTTATGAAAAAACCCCCAGTAAACTCTTATTGAAGATAATCATCCATAATTTATTCACTGTAAGCTGTGTATATAAGGTGTAAATGCATGTTTTATTGCCCTTGTTTCAATGATTATATTTTCTATTTTTATAAGAAAGAGTTAAAGTTGCGATTGTTTTAACTATATTATAACATGATAGGTAAACTAGGTCCCACAGTAATGAATTATCATTAATAATTAATCTGATTTATAAATGCTGACCTTTAAAAATTGAGTTCATTCAGCATCATAAATTTTCAAGTTAATTCATGTCAAAAATGTATACTTTCAACTGGAACATTTGTATTTTCCTATAATTTATGTTTTGTCCTTAATGTGAACTTATTAATAAAATGTGATTTAGATGTTGAGTGTTTGCACGCGAGACCGAAGATCCCAGGTTAGATTCCTGCTTGAAAACTGGTTGTGGGTGTGCACAGTTGAGAAGTTCCATGCTAGGACGAAACGGCCATCCTGTGCTTCTGTGCTTTGAATGGTAATAAGGTTAAGATCAGTTAATGATTCCAACTGTGGAAATGTTACAAACTTCACAAATCTCCTCTGCTTAATATAAAATTTGCCGTACTATTTGCTAAGTCTTTCGATTGACTCTAGTTTATTTTGTAAGACAAATATTATGTGCTCCTACTTCCATTATACAGTAGTTAACTCAATGTGGCATTTACGAAATCATATGAACTCAGAAACGACAACTGTTTCCCTTCACTTATTCATTTGTATTTTCACATATACATGTATATGTGTAT